TTGGGGTCAGTTGAGCGTGGCCGGTTGAGCGTCAGCCGACATTTGAACGGCTATAACTTTTTTAGCCTTGATCCAATACGAATGAATCATATATCATTCAAAAGCCCTCGATGAGTCCAATCTTTATCCAAACTGGATGGATCAAGTCTGATCCCGGTTAAAAGGTTATAAGTTGATAAGTGCAGAAAATCGTTGTTTTTCACACTTATCGACTTGTAACTTTTTAAATAGCGATCAATCATGATCCATCCAATTGAAACAAATATAGCGCTTAACGAGGGCTTTCGAATGATATATGTTTCATTAGTATTGAATCAAGCGGAAAAAAGTTATAGCCGTTCAAATGTCGGCTGACGCTCAACCGGCCACGCTCAACTGGCCCGTTCCGGTTGAAATAGACATTGTTGGTGTAGTGGGTTAGTGCTTGATATTTCAACAAAAAAGGGTTCCAGGTTCGAACCCTATAGGGGTAATTGACTTGTTTTTTGTTAATTATTTAAAATTGGAAAATAAACCGAATTTTACAGATTCGAAGGATAAAATTTTTTTACAAATTTTAAACTAACCAAAATAATGTTTACAGTCAGAAATCGATTTTGTCATTATTGAGGGTGTATCCAAAGCATTGGCTAAAGGAACTAAACCATGTCTTGATAAATGTCCATAGGAAGGTTTGAATCCATAAACACCATTTAAAACAGCTGGATAACGTGCAGAACCGCCTGTATCACTTGCTAAGCCACACTTGAGAATTAAAAAAGAAATTTTTGAATTTTTAAAAAATTAAAAGAATTGACTTCTAAACCTTTAACCAATAAAGGATTGAAAATAAAATTGTCAAAAAAGAGATAAAATTCACCCCCCATAAAATTCACCCATTCACCCATCAAAAGTTGATTTGGGTTTATGATCGAGAGCTTTCAGAATTTTCTTTGGATTTGACTTTAAATTTCGCGTCGAAAAAAGTCCAGAGGGGAGGTGAGAGTTTTGGGTATCAGTTTTATCCCTAATCAGCATCGAAGCAGAGGTGGGTAAAAGTTTAAAATTTATCTTTCACCACTTCGTCCTTTACGAAATCAAAGGGACAACAAAACCCCTAGATTAAAAAGGAAGACGTAAAAATGGCTCAAACCCCTCCCAAAATAATTTAAAAATCCCCATAAATTAAAAAAAAAATCTTTAAAAAATCTTTAAAAAAATTACTTTCGCAACCCCCGTAGCCACAGCAACAGCACAACCGCCAGAAGAACCACCAGCAATTAAAAAATCATCATCTCCGTCCTTTTCGTCTTCAAATGACTGATTAGTTGCATAAATTGAATGTTTAACAGGTCCAAAATATCCACTTGTACATGTTGAACCCATTGCTTTTTTAACAAAATTAAAAAAATTTTTTCCAAAAATTACCAAATTCATCCATATTTGATTTTCCAATTAAACATCCACCTTGAAAATTAAAAAATGTTTTCGAACCTAAATCGAATAAAAAACCTCCATCCACAAGTCTCTGAACACAAGTTGCTGTATATGGAGCAATAAAGTCTTTGAGCATTTTAGAAGCACAAGTCATCCTTACATCTTTAACACTGAAAGTTTTTAAAAATTAAAAAAAAACATCATGGATGCCCCTCTCGGAAAGGGATATACCCGTGGCGTTTCCAGGGGCCTGAAAGTAAACGCCAAAGCGCTGGGCGCATACCAGATTATAAGGGACACGCCCAAGTAGGCGCGTTTCTGGACCTTAAGAATTTTGGTACTCTTTGCTCTATGAGAGGAATCGTTTAATACTTTAAGTTATAGCTTTGAGCCTACTTTGACCATACCCCACATCATAGCCGTCTTGAACTCCGACCCCAGAATAGGATATGGTGTACAACGACCCAAGCAGTACATCCCCTCCCAAAAAGTTTTTTCTTAGAATTTTAACTAGCCTAACCTAACTCCAAAACCAATAAAAATAGTAAAATAAAAGAAAAACAAACGCATAATTATCTTTCACAACAAATTCAAAAGGTTGTTTTCCATTTTTAACAGCTTCTTCACATTGTTTTTCAGCCAAATCAAAAGTTTCAGTTATAAGAAAATTTAAATGTCGCAATTCTTTTACTTTAGAAATTGAAGTTTTGATCTGTTCTAATGCTGTATACATTCAAAAAAAACTTTTATTAAAAAATTTAAAGAAATTTTTATTAAAAAACCTTTGTCCGCAACTTTTTTGCGGACAAAATTTTTTGTCCGCAAATTTTTTGCGGACAAAAAATTTTTTTGCGGATAAAAGTTGCGACTTATTTATATACATTTAATAAGCTTAAATTAAATATTTATAATTAATTTTAAATAAATTTATAAAAAAATCAGTTGGAAAAACAAAATATTTTTTAACACACACCAAAAAAGTCGAAACATTTCAATTAAAAAAAAGAAAATAATTTTTGGTTATATTTAGGAGCAATTATTTAAGATTAAAATTAATAACACATATTATTTTTATGTGAAGCAAAAAAAATATTTCTTTTTAATTTAACAATTTTAGATTTTAATAAAAAAAATTTAGTCCGCAAATATTTTGCGGACAGTCCGCAAGTTTTTTGCGGACACTTCAATTTTTCAAATTTCTTACCAAATAAAAATCCAAAATTGTTAAATCAAAAAAGGGGTCAAAAAGGATAAATTTGATTGATATATTAATTAATTTTGATATATAAAAACACACACAAATCACATCTTTTTAAATTAATTTTTTTATATTAACGAGACAAAGTCAAGAGGCACAAACACAAAAAAAGTCTCTTTTATTTTCCTTAAAATTAACCTCTCCTTTTTTCCCTCTCCATTTTAATTATTAGACTCATTTAACCTTGATTCTTCAATTGGTTACTCAACCAGTCCAAACCTTCATACAAACCATCTCCTGAAGTGGCACAAGTCGCCTGGATATACCAATTACGATTTCTCAGCTTTAAAAATAAAAAAAATTTTTTTTTATTAGAATTTTGTTATGTGTGAAACATAATAGATTCTTCTCCTACATTCTCTTCCAAAAAATAAAAATACAAGGGAGTATTAAGACGCCGGACTTAAGGGAGGAAGGGCTAAAATGGGAGGCGCGATAAAAATTATGGCGCTTACCCATTAAAATTCAAAAAAGAAAAATTTTGGCCAAAAAAAGTAAAATATTCTAAAAAAATTTTATTCCGAAAAATAAATGAAAGTATGTTCGTTTCACCAAGTTAAGGACCCAGTTCAAGGAAAACTCGCAAAATTTTGAAGGCAAGAAATCGGGATCGTAAAATGACTTCGATTCATTCTAACAGGTAAACAACAAAAACAACCTATGTAAAAAAGCAGATAAGAATTATACCGTGTGAAGTCCAAGTTTGTCTGTAAGTTCAGCAGCGTTCATAGCATTCGGCAAGTCCTGAAAAAATATTTTTAATTTCAAAAAACTTTTTCCAAAAAAACCTGTTTGTTAGCAAACACGAGGAGTACAGAATCGCGAAGTTCGTCTTCAGACAACATACGCATCAATTCCTCACGAGCTTCAACAATACGCTCCTTGTCGTTACTGTCCACAACGAATATAAGACCTTCAAATTTGGAATTTAAACTAAAATTAGTGTGTAAATAAAACAAACCTTGAGTATTCTGGAAATAGTAACGCCATAGAGGACGGATTTTGTCTTGACCACCGACATCCCAAACAGTAAAGGACTGAAATAAAAAGAAAATTAGAAGTTAAATTAGAGACAAGACATGCAAGGGTTTACGAGAATAATACGAGATATCTCAAAAAAAATTACAAAAATTTTGTTCGAAATCCCCGTTCGGTCTTCAACTTAAATTAATATTGAATCGTATTTTGATGACTCATAAAATTTATATTTACTTAAAATAGAGTATTTTACTCTATCTCTGAAAGCTTTGGAATTTACGTTTGATAGATTTAAAGGCCTAAAGAAAAAAGGCCGTAAATACACAACATGAAAAGAGCTTAAACATTTGTTTACACAATAGCGTATTGCGACTAAAAAACAACGTTCAAAAGGAAAATTCGGGGGCCTAAGAAAACCCTAATCGCTATATTTGGTCGCACAACGCAAAGCGGTAAACACACAAATGCTTATAATTTACTTACAATGTTTCTGTACTCAACGGTCTCAACATTGAATCCTGAAAAGTTAATAAAATTAAAATAATTTTTATAAAAAAACCAATAGTCGGGATTGTAGTAACAATTTCTCCCAATTTGAGCTTATAAAGAATTGTCGTTTTTCCAGCAGCATCCAAACCAACCATAAGAATTCTGACTTGTCTTTTGCCAAATAAACGACTGAAGAGACCAGAAAGTGTAAGACCCATTTTTCTTCCTTTTTTAGATTTTTTCAACAAAAGTTTTGTTTTCTAAAAATGTTTTAAAGAATGATTGATACTTTTTTGTAAAATCCAACATGGCAAGACAAAAATGGAAAAATTAACAGAACGCCAAAAAAAGGAAAAAGAAATGCCAAAAATGGAGTGGAGATTTAAATGTCTGAATTTCCCCCAGGCTCGAAAAAATTTCAAAAAATTTTTTAAAACACTTAAACAGAAAATTCTGGGGCCTATTCCACAAACCAGCATTGACATTAAATGTCGCGACATTTGGTAATCGTTTGACATTCCGATTGTGTTCCACAAAGCGACCTCAAAATTATTTTGTGATGACATCAACATTTGATGTCAATGTCGCTTTGTGGAATAAGTCCCTGGCCCCCCTCTCTCTTTTTTCTACTCACGCAGGAATTAGATCCAAACATCTCTTGTCATGTTGGGTTAAAAAATAATGAAGAAAAAACATACAAAAATTTAAAAAAAAAGAAAAATAAAATAAAGTTACACGTCACAATAACTTTCTAACAACACAATTAAAATTTTTTTTCTTAAAGATTTTCTTAAACTCTTTAAATATCAACAATAAAATTTTTTAAAAAATTAACAATATTAAAAAATCAATTTTAATTTTAAATTAATGCGCTTTTTGTAAACGACGTAATTGAGCTGTTTTGATCAAAAATTGGTTGAATTTCTTTTACAACATTTTTTTGAAGTTCTAGAAGCCTTTGTAAATTCTTTGAAAAAAATTTTTTTAATTTTAAAAAATTGTATGATGCCGTAAATACTAAACGCCGAAATACCAAACCCCTAAAAGACATGTTGAAATACACCAAAAAATGTTTTGTTAACAATCTCCCCCTACATGTTGATGGAGTCTTTGCTTTTTATAATACAATTTCCAGTGTTTGGAACATACTCCTACATATTAGGGGTTCTTCCCGAATTTAAAAAAGCGGGGGACAGAAAGCGAAAGAAAATGGAAGAAAATAAAAAGCGGAATAAGGCAGAAGCGGAGAGTAAAAAAAGACAAAAATTGGCGGAAGAAATCACATCCCTACTAGAGACTCGATCGAGACGAGATTTTGAACGAAAATCTCGAGTATCGAGATCGACATTTTTCGAGATATCTCGACACTCCAAGTCCGGTTTCTAATCCCTACTATATATCTATGTTTGTATTTTTCCACAGTTTGGTATTTCGGCGTTTTTTGAGGGACTTTGATATTTCAGCATGTGATACCATGGTGCTCCCAAAAAATTAAAAAAAAAAACCTTTAATAAAACACTTTGTTCTTCATCTTTTTCCAATTTTTCATCCACAGATAAATTTTCCTCCTCATCTTTTTTTCGTCTTCCTCCTCCCCCTCCTCCTCCCTTTCTTCCCTTCCATAAATTTTCTCTATGAAGATTTAAAAATGCTGCCATATAACTTTGAATTAAATCAAAATCTCTTCTAATTTCTAAAACAGCAATTAACATTGCTACAAATTGTCCAAGCTTTGCGCCGTTTAAAGCTCGAATTTGAAAATCTATTGAAGCTAAACTTTGGGTTTTTAATTGATCAAATACATGGAGAAGATCGTTGTTGCTTCCTGCTCTGAAAAAATAATAAAAAAATTTTAATAAAAGTCAAAAAGGGGTGTAAATTGGAATCCTTTTGGATCCCAAAAATGCCACAAATTTATGAAAAACTATATGAACAAAATTTTTTATCGAAGCTAGGACACCATTGAGGATGTAAGGAAGTAAAGATCCAGCTTGTTAGCATCTAAGGTGTAAGAGCTCGTGTCAGTCAGTACAACAAGTGTGACACGTATCTAGCTAGCTACTCGATTTTTCAAAAAATTATTTCTTTTAGGTCAGCTATTCTAGATCCCTAACCTGTACAAGGTGAGGCAAAGCTCCCCTAGCAATTTCCAGGAAGTTGCAGGTTCGATCCTGCTTCGTAAAGTTAACAATAACGCTTTCAACTAACCCCTTCCAAAATATCTCTCATTTAATTTATAAATGCTTCCCCCCCCCCCCCCCCAAACATAACAACAAACAAAAAAATATTTTCTACAAACCTCAACAATTTTGCTCCCCATTCTGTCTGAAATTCTTCCAATTGCCTTTTTGCAATTAACATTGTCCTCTTTCCATTCTTTTTTTCTTCATTCTCTTCTTCCTCTTTTTTATTAAATAATTCTTCACTAAATACCACACCTTTTTCAGTTTCAATTGTTGGTAAAAAGAATGGTAATTCTTTTGCCTTTTTTGGTGGTTCTTTTGGTTTATTTCTTTCTTTAATTAATTCATAAATGGGCAAACTGGCCCAGCTACTTAAAAATTAGAAAAAAAATTTTGAAAATTTTTTTGGAAATTATTTGCAAGTTTTTTGAAAATTTCAGAAAAAATTTTTTTGGAAATTTTTTGGAAATTTTTTCGAAATTTTTGTAATTTTTTATGAACTTTGAAATTTTCAAAAAAAAATCGAAAAAATTTTCAAAAAATTTCTAAAAATTTTTATAAAATTTCAAAAAAATTTTTTTTGGAAATTTTTGAAAAATTTTTGAAAATTTTTTTTGAAAATTTCAAAAAAAATTAAAAAAAAATTTTTTTTTTGAAATTTTCAAAAAAAATCGAAAAAATTTTCAAAAAATTTCTAAAAAATTTTCCAGAAATTTGAAAAAAAAATTTCCAAAAAAATTTTTTTTGGAAATTTTTGAAAAATTTTTGAAAATTTTTTTTGAAAATTTCAAAAAAAATTTCCAAAAAAATTTTTTTTGAAATTTCAAAAAAAAATTTCAGAATAAAAAAAAACCTTGTTGGCTGCCCCGAGAGAGTAAACAATTTTGCATCCAATTGTTTAGCCCTTCTATGTTCAAGTAAAGACAAAAATTTTAATTGATGTAAATGACTAGAACCACCACCACCAGCACCCGAACACGTTGCCCAATCTCCACTAGTTCCTTCTTCCCCAACTTCTTCATCCTCATCTTCCTCTTCATCAATCATAACTACACGTTCTTCTTGTGATGAATATATTGATGAAATTTCTCTTTCTTCTTCAACAACTTCATCCAAAAATTTTCCTTTTTGTTGAATTGAAGGTAATGATTGAGAAGTTACTGGAATATCTTCTTCTAATAGCTAGGAAAAAAATTTTTTTTAATTTAAAAAAATTGTCAGAAAAAAATATTTGGCGTTGGTATATGCCGTGATGGTAGTGGTTAACACACCCGATTTCTATTTAATGAGATACTCAGGTTCGATGCTTTGCGGCAGTTGGTGCCACCTGCTCTAGTGTAGTCCCTAAATAACACTTAAACAAACGGCACCCCCCCCCCCACAAGGAAGCAATCATGTTTGCGATTCCCAAGCAGCAACTGATTCCCAAGGAAGTAATCCTCTAACAATAAACACAGACTTATTAGACTTATAAACTAACCCTGAATATTTTTATAAAAACAGAAAACCTTGTTATTACGCTCTTCTACACAAATTCTAGTAGCTGAAGAATACAACAATTTATTAGCCCATAAATAAATTCCACGTTGACCTTCATGACAAGTAGCAAGTAAATTACCTCTTGGATTAAAAGCCATAGCTATACAAGGATTTGAGTGGTAAACAACATCAATTAAAAGACCAGAAGATAAATCCCAAACCTTTAAATTTTAAAAAAATTTAGTGGAAATTACTTAAAAAAAATTAAACCTTGACAAAGCCTTGACTGTCTGCAGACAACAGCCACTTTCCATCACTTGAAAATTCTAAAGCAGTTAATGTACTTCCTTCAGGCCAGTCAGTACATGATGAATGACTAAAGCGTCGAGCCAACTTTCTTTAAAAAAATTTTTTTATAATTTTACTTGTCATTAAGTTTTTTGATAATCATTTTCTCCCGGGGAAAGGGCAGGGTTGGAACAGGAAATGGATCGGGAAACCTGACTCACATCTGGTCGGAACGACAGAATGTGTCGGAAATCGAAACATTCCGATACGAATGCTCGAACTCGAATAATAAAAAATAGAGACGCCAAAACCTGGAAAAAGTTCGGACCCGCCCATCAAGAAAAATATAAACTTGAAAAAAATTTCCGATCCACCCATCAAGAGAAAAATATCTTAGTTAGGTCCGTCGAAATTAAAAAATAAAGCAGAGAGAAATCCTATGCAACTTACAAAAACAAAAAAAACTAAAAAAAAATAAAAAACCTGCAAAGAATATCAACTATTCCAACTTCCCCATTCGCCAACCCAACAGCTAACAAAGAATTTAACAAATCCAAACGAAATAATTGAACACCAGAAGCAACTTTCATTATAGAACGTAAAATAGAAGGATTCCCAAATTTCCAAAAATAAATTTTTCCATCTGCAGAGCCAGTAACAACATTACGATTTAATATATCTAAAGCTATTCCAGCAACTAAAGAATCGTGTGCTCTTGTATTTTTGCTGTTATCATTTTTTGGTGTTGTTTTTGTTGACTTTTCATCTTCCAAAAATTTTTTCGATTCCAAAGAAAATTTATATTTTCCACTTTGCATATTAAAAACATCTACATGTCCAGAAGAATAGCCAATTAAAACAAAATTTCCACAATTACTTATACAAATTGATGAAGCAAAAGAATTTAGGAGGTTTGGATCGGTGCTAAAACGTTCATGATAGAGCTTTAAAATTTTAAGAAAATTATTAAAAAAAAAAAGTAAAAAAACCAAGTGACGACCACGTTTCTTTAGCCTTGTACTCCATGTTGAAACGAGTGGAGAATTTAAATGTCTTAAAATAGATTTTTATTTAAAAATAGGAATAAAAAAAAAATTAAAAATCGGAGATTAATTTAAAAAACAAAAATATTACAAAAAAATTTGTCTATTTATAGAGAGACTTTTTTAAAGCTTGACGTTCACTTAGAAATCGCGTGCGTCATGCGAAAGACGCCGCTCAGCGACACGATGCCGGCAATAAATGTGCTGTTGTGGGTGTGTTGTGATCAATGCCGAATTGCTATTTGTATATGAACACAAATTTAAATAGAAAACGTCTACCATCGGGCCTCTATCATGAGACGAGCGCGATTTTCATGGAACATAGCTTACAATTAAGAGATCGTCCCAGAAAATTCATCAAAACACTTTAAAAATACAAACCTGCAAACAGCATTATCCCAAACAGCTTCTCTACCAAAACTTAACTCCATCTGCAAAATAGGTTCCAAAGTAACATCAATAAAACGATCCTTCCCAATATCTCCTCTTTAAAATTAAAAAATTTTCAAAATATTTTTACAAAAAATACCAACTTTCTAACTTCTCTAGCAAGACCAAAATCTTTACATAATGCAGTTCTTACAGAGTCGAATTGTCGAACATGTCCATCCTTGCTAGCAGAAACAATTAAATCGTCATCAAAAAATTTTAGAGTTGTTGCCTAAATTTTTAAAAATTTTTTGAAAATTTTAAAAATTCTTTACAGGTCCAGAATGTCCTTGAAGACAATTTTGTACTTCTGGAAGAGAATTTTCATTACGAAAAACCCATTTAACGAGTTTATTGTCTTCTCCAGCACTCAACAAATAAGCTTGACCCAAAAGAAAATTTAGCCAAGTAATTGAAGATTGGTGTGCTTGGGTTAATTGACCAATTAAAATGCGCTCATTTAAATCCCAAATAGCTATGGAACCCTCAGAATTGGCACTGGCAAGTGTATCAACACCATCTGATCTGAAAAGGAAAAGTATTAAGATTTTTATTTTTTAGAATTAAATACAGACTGACTTCACTTTTACGTATTTCTTTTGGGGCTGAAAAATTTTAGAAGTTCGTTTAGGTATCCATCCAGTGACAAACCAAAATGAAAAATAAACCTCAAATTGAATGGACCTTAACTCGACATCTCATAGAAAGTGCTTTTTAGAAACGAAAGACACAAAATTCCAAAAAAAAAAACAAAAAATGGCAAAGACGAAGGACAAAAGGCAAAATTGGCCTTAAACCTTAACTTAACATCTCATAGATTGCAGACCCAATGTGCGGATGTACATAAAATTGAAGCCCGACTTTTATTAAGTATTAGCGAATTATGTATATGATAATAAATGTGTTGATTTCGTTATTAAAAAATAAGAAAATTTATTAACCTAAAAGCCAATGCAGTAATTTCTCCAGTTTGACGGAATGAACATATTAAAGTATCAAATTTAATATTTTTTAAAATAATTTTCCCATTAGACATTCCAATTCCAACAACATCAATAACTGGCGATTGTTGTAATACATTAATTGCTGTTGTATCATCACCCAAAGATTCAAATTCATAAATTAATTTTCCATTTCTTAAATTCCAAATATGCGTACGACCATCGGAAGAGCCTACCAAAATCTTTAAAAAATTTTTTTTAATTTTTGGAAAAATTTTTGTAAAGAAAAAAAAATTTTTTTTGGAAAATTTTTTTTTAAAGAAAAACCTTGTTTAAGTAATTGTCTGGGTGCAAAATTGAAGTAATATTAAACGATGAAGAACTTTCAAGTTGAACAATTAAATGGCCATCTTCTGTGTTATAAACATTTATTGTATTGTCCTTGTCAACAACAACTAAAATATCGGTTAATGATAGAAGCATTTTTGGACCACCATTTCCAATAATTAAGCGACGTTCAATCTTTGAAAGGAAAAAAATTTATTTTTGAAAGATAAATTTGCAATTGTAACCGGACCTAATTTTTTAGATACCCCTAGATTTAAGATACTCCTCCAAGTTAAAATTAACTAACGGATTGGGAGTGTAGTAAAAGAATAGGGATCTATATCTCAAAAAATCTCTATCTAAATAATCGATACATACTTTTGGTAGAGGTCTCGTTACGGTCCAATCTCTCTTCAAAACAACATTTTTCTTAAATTAGGTTAGCCACTGGGCGAGGAAGACGACTCTACTGATCATCCTCCTTACAAGATACCGCATTTCAATAAAATAGCCTCCCTCTAGAAGACGATCAAAAAAATAGCCCCCCGCCAGAAGTCGATCAAAAAATAACCCTAGGGCTATTTTAGAGGATTTACGTTATACATATGTAGTATAGGTAAAAAATATTTTTTTCGAGTAATCAAAAATTAGTGGGAACCTAAAAAATAGGTTAAGTCCCTGGACATAAGAAAATCCAAAAAATCTCTAAAATACCTTTGAAAAATGATTACTAATAATTGCCACACAAAATCCAAAAGCAACATAAGTCCTTTCCATATCAGCTGCAACTGCCGTGATTTCTGTATCAACAGGAGGGCATACCGAAGTAAAATGAAGCTTCTTGCTTGAATAAAAAACGCATTGATTTTCTATAGCACAAGCAATATTTCCGTCAGTATCTTCTGCATTAGGAGTTGAATAGGTGAAGGCTGGGGGAACTTTAATAAAAGAAAATTCAAAATTTATTTAAAAAATTAGAAACCTTTAGAACAGAAAAGGCCAATAGCTTGACAAGGTGTAAATAAATTGGTTTCACCGCGAAGAGCCATAACTTCAAAAAAATTTTCCTTAAATTTTTAAAATTAAAAAAAATTTGAATTTTTACAACAAATAAATAGCCGTTAAAACAGCAAAAAAAAGTTTCAAAAAATTTTTGTCGAAAATCCGAATAAAAATTGTTTAATTATTAAAATATACAACAATATTTACTAAACAATTAAAAAAAAATTGAAAATTAGAAAAATAAAATTAGAAAAAAAAAATATTTTTTAAGATGTCGGATTCGTTATTGAAAATATTGGGGATGTAGCAATACTTGTAGCTGATGTTGCTGTTGTAACTATAACACGTTGTTGTTGACCCGGTTGTTGTGAAGTTATGGCCATTGGAGACGAACAACCTTTTAAAGGGGGACTTATTGTTAGCTTGGTAGCATTTAAAATGCTTGTTAGGCGGGAGTTTAGAGTATATTAAAGGAGGAAGGCAAGCGACGCCCATTAGCACACAAATGGAACCTTTCTTTGAACCTCTAAATGGAATAAATCGGACCTCTGATTTTCCGATATAGAGAGGTCCTATTATGAAAAAAATTTCCTAGCAGATAATATTGTAGCAAAAAGAGGAGACCATGTTATAGTTCTCCTAGCAATAACTACCATGAGTAGGGTTAGCGGCTTCTGATAAATATGGTAAAGCATATTCCTACATATTTACTCCCTAAAGCTGTTCTCAAAAATGGCAAGATGGCATGTCATTTATGGCAAATGGCGGATATTGGAATAACCCCCAGGCCTTAAAGGATATCTGGATCGCCACACCTTGTGGATATTTACCAGGACCACACACCCAAGAGATGATAGGGCGCCGTCTAGTTCCTGCCCAGTGACTTAATTTTTAACTTAACTTTCTCACAAACCTTTAGGTAAACCAATAATCTTTGCATTGTCATTACAATCATCTTCATCATCTTCCATCATTCTATTACTACATGTTGTATTTGGATCTAATTTGTCTAATCCTTTTGCAGGCAATCTTCTTGTACGTTTATGACAACCACTTTGTTGTTGTTGTTTTAATATACTAGATTCAAACATTGTGTCCAAATTTTCATCTCTAGTGTCCAAAAAGAAAGGCTCTTGAAGTGTTTGATCTGCTGCAAATTGCATAACTTTTTCTAGTGCTGTCTTTAATAAATCATCGCCAGGTTTTAATGCTAATGCTTTATTTAATGCTTCAATACTGTTGTCAATATATTTGGAAAAGCTGGTGCTTAAAATATATGAGGGAGTAGCGCCGCCAGTTTCATTCAATTTTGAAACCATTGAGGCATAACAGATGCCAATACAAGCCCAAGCATCGACTTTGGAAGTTCCAAGAACAAGTGATTTTCTGCAAACACAAAAATTGGCCCAAAATAGAATTTTATAGTTAAAATTAGCGTGTCAGGACAGCTCACCGTCCGACAAAAATACAGTCCACCCACTAGAGTATAAAATACCGTCCGAGCAAAAATTTTTGAAATAAAATTTTCAGGCATACAAGTTATAGAACTAATTAAGCCCAATAGCCGTATAATCCAATATAAATCTAATTTGTTATCAGTAAAAGTGGACGGTGTTTTAACTCTAGCGTTCGGACGGCATTTTGGTCAGACGGTGAGTTATCCCTCACCCAAAATTAGTTGTTGGTGACCGGTTAATTTTCGCCTATGGCGGCTCAAAAAGGGAACTTTAAGGACATTTGAGCAGTCAAAGGCAAATATTACCCGGTCTCCAACAACTAGTTTAAAAAAATCAAAAACCTGTGAACAGAAATAGCTTGAGAATATTTTCCCAACTTTCGCAAAGTATGTCCAAGATTGTTAAATAGAGGCTCCCAAAAATCGCTGATTTCAGAATCCAATAAATCTTGTAAAGAATCAACATTATTTTTATTTGTTATTAGTCTCAATGCTTCCATAAAAATTTGTTCAGCTTCTAAAAGAAGAAAATTTTTATCTTAAAAAAATAAAAAAATACTTTTAAAATTGTGTTCCACAAATGCTGCTGTACCCTGTTCATGTAAAACAATAGCATTTGAACCAGCAACCATTTCAGCATCATGTAAAAAATCGTTGGCCAATTTAAAATTGTTTCCAAAACAATATTCTACAGCAATATATAAAAGTGGTTCAAAATGTCCTTCAAGAATTCGTGAAGCCTCAAAATTTAGGAAAAATTAAATAAAAATATCTCAAAAAGAATTACACGAAGATAGTAATTCATAGCCTGTTCATGCTCGTCAATATAAAACAAAGTGTGTCCGTAGGCTATCCATCCCTCTCCAAAACCGGAATTCATTGTTGTGCATTTGTCTAAAGAAATATAAAATAAATGATTAAATTTTTTTAATAAGTGGGGCTGTTCGAAAAATAATCCTTGAAAATCGAGAGAAATTCGAAAATATCGAAATCGAAAATAATTTTCAAAATCTTAGAGATAAAAAGTCAAAATTTCAAAAGAGCATTGGGTTTAACAAAGGCAACTGTCATTCTTCGATACCACCAAAATTTAGACACTTACAAATAATTACGATGTCTTTAAAAAAATTTGGCTAATAACCGAGTAAGCCCAAGATAAGCGACCACATATAGAATCCCCCATAATAAACTAAAAATTTTTTCAACACAATAAAGTATCTCAAAATGAGTTTCGTATTAAAGTTTCATCGGAACTTGCGGTCCCACAAAGTTCCAGTGTTTTTTGGTTCCGTTTCGGGATCCGGAACTCAAATTGGATCCGGTTCTTGTGAAACCATAGTTCGTATCATTAACTCACTCAAAAATTTCTTCGCAGTTGTATATTGTCCTGTTGCATAATAATAACAACCAACAGTGTACCAAGTAATTTCTCGTTCAGGTTGTAGTTTAACCATTGAATGTCCAAGTTGGTAAAGTTCACTAGTTTTGCTTAAATGGACCAAACAGCCAATATGAACGAGAAAACATTTCTTTAAAAAATTTTTTTTAAAGTTTGACGCTTGAAATTTACTCACGCTATAATAACCAAATTCATGCATAATTGTAGAAGTTATGTTGTAAGCCTCACGAACATTTCCCTGACTGTAAAGGCGAAAAGAATTTGCTGATTGGAAAGAGAGATCATCGGAGAGTAATGAACCAAGACGTAAAGAATTGGCAGAGAATGAACTCGTTTCTCTCTGAAACAAAGAAAAATGCTTAAATATTGACTATAAAATTTGTAAAATCAACTAACGTTAATATCATAAATTTCCAGCAAATGACAAATAATTTTACTCCCAGACGAATTAACCGCTGCAGAAGAAGAGCCTACAATTTCTTGAAGTTCGCAAGCTTTCAAAAGGCGTGAATCAATGGCCAGATGAAGAGCTTCGCTGCAGTATGGATTAGCCAAAAGGCAATGCCTTTGAATTTTCAAGTTATGAGAAATTAAAAAAATAAAAAAAACCTTAAACAGCTTGAAGCTGCCGGACGGTTTTGAACCATTAAATAAGTTTTAGCAAGTAAAAACAAAAGGCGGGCATCATATTTATGTGTTTTGACCAGATCATCAAGTTTTGCACAAATCTCAGGATTTCGTGATATATCATTGTGAGCGAATATATATGTTGCTGTATCGTGGGTTATAAAAGGGACTCCCTCCCAATGACACTAAAATTTTAAAATTTTGATTTAAAAAAATTAAAAAAAACCAAATGTCCAATAGGAAGAGCAATTATTTCAGAAAACATTTCTTTATTGAACAAAGCATTTACATTGAAAAATGCAAAAACCAAATGTTTCGAAAAGAGGTCATGACGTTCGACTAGAGTAACAATTGTTTGCCATGCTCTTGCTGCTGTTAAAACCTGAAAAAATTTTGGAGAAAAAATTTTTTAGGAAGGTTTGGAAAAATCTTGTCTTTTTAAGGATAAGAATTTTGTAACATATCATATATCATATACCCTAAAGTACTACCGATGAAGCTAGAAATCTTATAGGTCAGTATTCCGTACCCGATACGGGACACAGCTAAATAATAAAAAATATCATTGGTAGCATATTAACCTTCTATCACTACTCTCGTCCATTTAGCGAAAATCAGCAAAAAAAAAATTTTAAATGTTGTTATAAAAGGAACTCCCTCCCAGTGATACTAAAAACCTTAAGAAAAATCACATAACAAAATCCATAAAAAATTTAAAAAAAACCTCGCTAGTTCCTCAAATTTCATAATTTAAAACTCACAATTAAATAATTGGCAATCTGTGGTAGTCGTTCACTTAAAGAGCGATCACCTTGTCTTCTACTTATTGCCAACAACTTTTCTGCCCAAAAAGCAGCAGTGTGACAATCATCACTTCTTAAATGTTGTTCTACCAACTGTTCAATTTCTTCTATATTTAACAAATTATTTGATATATTGCTTCCTCCTTCCATTGCTTCATCTTCTTCTTCTGGTTCCAAATCCTGAAGAATATTAAATTTACTTTTCATTTTTGAAGAAACAAATCTAGAAAAAGTGACAATTTAAAAAATTGTGTAAATAAGATAAAAGAGATCATATGGCTAACTACCATAGAAAAAACTAAATTTTATTTAATAAATTAAAATAAATTTATAAAAATTAAAAGTAAAATAATAACAAAAATAAGTTACAAATCATTGACGTTGAATGTGTGCCGAGATTTGGGAACAATATAGAAAAGAATCGTGAATTGGTTAGTTTGTAAAAATTGTCTGGGGTATTAATTTAATTTTTGTTTTACTTTAAGTTACCTAGGTGTTAATTTAAAATTATTTTAAAGTTAATCTGCGATTTTTTGTCATTGCGAAAATGAAGGTAATGATTTTCAATTAGATAGACAAATAAAAATCAAGATAATGCAATTGTGAGCCAGAAGACATCTTCTTAGGAGAAGTGAATTTTGCCTTAACGGGAGGTGTGGAAGGAGAATTTGGTGGTGTAGAGACCTTTGGTGGTGTAGTTGCCTTTTTTGGAGATGGAGAAGTTTTGTTTAGAGATTGAGAAACTTTCATATTCTTAGCCGGTGGCGTAGACGAGAGCAGCGGTTGGCGATTTTTGCAACATGGCTGATTTCCGTTTCGTTATCCAAACTTCGCGGCTATGTTGCAAAAATCGCCAACCGCTGCTCTCGTCTACGCCACCGGCTAAGAATATGAAAGTTTCTCAATCTCTAAACAAAACTTATCCATCTCCAAAAAAGGCAACTACACCACCAAAGGTCTCTACACCACCAAATTCTCCTTCCACACCTCCCGTTACGGCAAAATTCACTTCTCCTAAGAAGATGTCTTCTGGCTCACAATTGCATTATCTTGATTTTTATTTGTCTATCTAATTGAAAATCATTACCTTCATTTTCGCAATGACAAAAAATCGCAGATTAACTTTAAAATAATTTTAAATTAACACCTAGGTAACTTAAAGTAAAACAAAAATTAAATTAATACCCCAGACAATTTTTACAAACTAACCAATGCATGTTTTTTCTATATTGTTCCCAAACCTCGGCATACATTTAACGTCAATGATTTGTAAAAATTCAACAAAATAATTAAAAAATATTAAATTTCTTCTTTTTTGCCTAAACAAGCCAATTCCATTTCCTTTTGCGATTCTTTACTAAAATCTATTCTCATCAATTCCCTCAAAGCAATTGTTGCATAAGTTCCAGAGGGAAGCGTAAATTGAAGTTTTAATGCCTTAAAAACTTTTTCTTGCTTCTTTTCTTCATTTTGTTCTTCTTTTACTTCATTTTTTGGAATAAATTCACAAGTTTGAAGCTGTTCATCACGAAAGGAATATTCAAGTAATTGCCAAGAAACATCTTGAGGTTTTGAAATAAATGGGCGATAAACATTGCCGAGACCAAAATGGCTTAAAAAATATTTTTTCTTTTAATTTCAGACTTTTCCAAGGATGCCACGGGTTACCAGAAACCCAATATCCAAACTTTTTCTCATGATACATCCCCAATCACCCAGTACTGACCAAAAATCTAATGAAATCCTCAAACAAAAAGCCATGTATTGACTTCACCTGGACCTTTTTTGAATCGGAACCCAGAATTTTACCTAATACACTTGTTAATCCCACAAATCCTCCGGTAATGATTCGGCCAGATATCATAACCTTTTTCGACCTGAACCCAGACTTTTTCCCATCCTAAGTCATTCCCAGTTACTCTCACAAAATTAAACCTTTCAATTTTCTTGAAGGATTCATAATCAATTTCGTCATCCTTTGCAATTTGTTTATACCATTCTCCAACTGGAATTACAAAAAAATTTTTTTTCAAATATTATTAAAAAACCTTCATTTTCAGGCAATTTATTTTCAAAAGATGGAAGAGGAAGGCAAACATTTTCAATTTTACAAGTTTCATCAGTTAATATATTTCCTAGTACATCCAAATCACCAGGTAAACATGCAAGTCCAAACGATTTTTTGCGCCTAAAAATTGTTTTTTTTAAGATTAAATTCAACAAAAAAACCTTGAAAGAATATGATTGAAAACAGCACTTTGATAGGCGTGGACATACCTGAAAATTTTATTTAATTTTAGAATGTGTGCCGAAAAAGCATGAGTAAATTACAAGAGAGAATACGGACAAGGAGCTGGAATGGGGGAACTCTTCACAAATGGGGGAAAATAGAAAAAATCGTAAGATGAGGTTAATAAAGAGGCTAATTTTTCCACTTCCAAAATTTTGCGTTACAGGGTTTTTCAACACTTTCCTTTCCAGGCCCGTAGTCAGGGGGTGGGAAATTAGCGGAGGACTTAAGATAATTCTATAAAATTCTTACATTGTTCGTACATTCCTTGGCAACGCTAACAATGCTCCTTTATAACCATTTGGATAGTTTGACAAAAAACGAAGTAATGAGATTTCGATACTGCTGAATCTGTCAGGATATCTAAGTAGTTGAAGTGCTTCTTTTGCATTGCCAGAATCGGTATAGTGTTTTAAACATTCGTTTACTGAAATTAAAGGAAACATTAAAGCAGCCTGAACAGAGAATTTGAACAAAATTCAGGTCAAAAGTTGATATTGCGGACAAAAATGAAAGTCCGCAAAGAAGTTGCGGACAAAAAATGCGAACTTTATGCTATAAGACTAGAACCAAAAAAAACCCCAAAAATTCAAACTACCAACAAACTTTTAGTCGAAGAAGAATCACTCCTAGGTTTAAGCAAAGCCTTTACTGCCTCCTCCCATTTTTGGTTTAAAATTAAACGTCCAATCTCAGCAGTTTGCACACCACAAGCACCAAAACGTTGAGAACCGAAATAATTGAGAAAACCATTTGTCTTCCATTGTTGTACCCTTTTATCGAATTCTTCAAGGTTTAAATTGTTGTCAACATCTCTAAATTTAACAAAAAAAATTTTTCTTAAAATTTAAGGAAAAGAAAACCTCAAAATTATCGAAAAATAATTTCCCGTTGCATCTCCTAATTCCAATTTTGTTTTAAAATAGCCAAAATCAGAGAGCCATAGACCACGAAAATTTTGTCTGCAAAGACGACGCTTCTCAATTCGATAGGCAGAAACTCGCTGGACTGTAATAGCACGGCGATCTTTTGTTCCGGAAACAGAAAAGAGTGAGGGTTTCAAACTGGAAATGGAATAAATTAGAAATTGAGGTAGAAAGTGGATTTGGACCAAAAAATGTGCTCATGTCAAATCCAAACCTTAGAATCAAAATCTCTATTAAAATTAAGACCAATGAATTCTAAAGAGGTCTAATTGTAATCCAAAAATCTGCTCATTAAAAACATTCAAGACCTAGTAAAAAATAATAACAAACTTTAATCTATTAGCAATTAGATCAATACAAGTATTTGTGTCCATATTCTCTTTTGTTATTGTAAAATGTAGATAGTCTCCTCTATCATTTGGCCAAAATTTGCGTTTTCTATTTTCATTCCTAAAAAATAATCGGTAATAGTGTCGTTTCCAGGCCCCATTTTTTCTTCCCAATTTTTTACCCTATGTTTGCACGGAATGGTCAAATTTTCCCCTTTCTTTCATCAAATTTGCCTTTCCATATTTTGCCTAAAAACAATCAAAAAGCTTGGTGTTTCTCTTGGTGTTTCTCTCAACGCCCCCAATCATCCATACATCTTTCTTTGATGGTTGTCTGTCTGCCTCTTTCATATTTTCTTCTCACAACAACAGTCTTCCATTTTTATTTATTGGGAAAATGATTATTCTCATTACTCTAATACTTTTTTAAATATCACAAATTAATCTTTTTGATTGTTTTTAGGCAAAATATGGAAAGGCAAATTTGATGAAAGAAAGTGGAAAATTTGACCATTCCGTGCAAACATAGGGTAAAAAATTGGGAAGAAAAAATGGGGCCTGGAAACGACACTATTACCAAATAATCATATAAAAATTTGAAGTTTGATCCATTTAAAGTGTCTGGAAATCAGAGAATGGCCGGAAAAAAGAACCCCCCTTAACAAAAGTCAAGATCAAGGCATTTTTTAGTGTTCGTTGGCATTTTTTAGTGTTCGTTGATTTCCCCCCGACTTGAGGTCAAAAATCCGGTCAACATCCTCAACCAAATTCAAGGTCAACGTTTTTTTTAATTTCCTATCTCCAATGGAAATTATAATCAAAAAGACTTGTCAAGAACTCTTTGAGGTACAAAATATTAAAAAACAAACCAGCTAGCCTTTTCAACAGTCAAAATTCCATCTTTACAGTTCGTTTGTAATTGATCTTTAAAATTGTTTCTGATAAAATCATAAAGTTGTTTACGGACATCCTTGGAGAATTCCTACAAAATTGTTAAAATAACACAAAAAATCATTCAAAAAACCTTCAAATCAATAACACATTCTTCAATTTCTCCTTCTACAATTTGCGGAAATTTAGAAATTTGTTCAGATATGCATTCCAATTCTTTAGGTAATTCTCCTGAATTTGTTTTGTTTTCTTCATTATTCTCTTCTTTATCCTCATTCTCCTCTTCATTATTGTTATAATTTGGTTTTAAAATGTTTCCATCTTTTGGAATTTCGATTACAACAAAATCACTGTAAAGTCGTTTAAGAATGCATTTCAATTCTGGCCAAACCTCTCCTGACACATATTCTGTGATATTGTTTGAGAACATTTAATGAAACACGAAGGAAAAATAGACAAAAATTTCAGTTAATCGGATTAAAGAATATTTACCGAATTTTAAGTTGACACTTTGAAATTTTACATTTTGTAATATTTTATATCCGAAAATACAAAATATCTAAAATTATTTGGCATAAATTTTTTTGAATAAAATTTTCAACAGTATCTCGAGAATTTTTGAATATTTTTCTGCTATAAAAGCTGATAACTTTGGTTTCTACTCTTTCTTTTATCAGGCAATATATCCTTTGTTTATTCTTGTTTTTCAGTCAAATAAAAATGTTTGTTCGTCTTCCGAGTGAGGTCCATTTGGACATAGCCAAATGCCTCAACTTTAATCAGTTATTTTTTGTTAAACAAGTCAATCGCTACTTTTCTTCGTTTATTGGCAAATATGAGGGGGAATTGGCTCGCAAATTTTTCAAGCATATCGGACCGGTAACATTTTTCCTAATCTTTCTTAGAAATTTCCCTTTTCTTTAGATCGAACTTGAGTACTTTTATAAACAACACAAAAGAGAGAATGGTCAGCTTGATTACAAAATTGTATCTCTTCAAGAGCTTGGACGTTATGTTGTTCGTTTTTCGTTGGATAAATGGCTTAAGGAGAGGGTAAGAATTTTTGCATAAATTTTCGCCTAGAAATTTTTTTTAGTGGGAAACCGCAATAGATATAGAAACTCGTACGTATTGCTATACAGGTCGTTGGGACCGTCCGAAATATTACCATTATTTGCGTTTAACGGATGGTATTAACTTTACAATTAATATTGTTAAGGTTCAATTATTTCTAGAATCTCGTCATTTAATCTTGCAATTGCCTCCGTTTCCAGAGTATATTGAAGAACTGCAAATTATTCGTTTTTGGTTACTCCAGCTGTTCAATTGTTCTTTTGAAGAAGTTGACTTTACATTTGCTACATTCAATCCTTCAATGATTAAATTACTTTTTGACACCGACAAAACAATTTCTACCAAATTTCTTACTAGACGTGCAACAATATTTGACTCAGTTCCTAGATTAAGAAATATTTTCAAAAACAATCTGACAATTTTGGAAAGTCTTAAAATAAAACCTAGTTGGGCAGTGGAGAATTATCGTGTTTTGTTGCCAATATTTTTCAATAAAATTCCTTATGTTTTTTCCGATCATGATGCATATCCTACGCTTTGCAACTTGATTTTGGATGTAAGTTTAACTTTTGCTTAGATAAGTATATTTTGGGATAGCTAGGATTTCCTTAAAAAATACTTGGAAAATCCTAAAATGCGAATTGTGAACTTTGTTTGACCTCTATTTCTCCCAAAATCTATGGTGATAAGTACCCAGCTCTTCGTTTTATGGAACCTAGTCTGATGAGAGAAAATAAAAAGGGACCGGTCTTACAACGTTCACAAGTCCCCTTAACATTTTTAAATTTTAGCATATTGAAAATTCAACTGATTGTCAAATTATGGTGGATAAAACTGAGTTTCATTACATGAATTGGCCTCTTTTTACTGTGAGTGAAAGGGCAATAAATGTTGAAAGGAGGATGGTTGATAGATTCAATTATGTCAAATACGAACTTGCCAATGTTCACAATCCGAATATCAAGTTCCTTGTTCAGTGGATATATACAGAAACAGCAATGAATGTTCATGCACAACATATAGGTCTACAAGCTTATTTTGCGATTGAAAGAATGAAAGGACAGAATATTGAATCGCTCCTTGAGTATGATCTGAATAAGATTTTTCATTAGGGTATTATTTGTTTGTCTTCCTATGTTATTGTAAAGAGTAATATCTGTATAATTTTTGGTTTTTAATCCTGAATAAAATGATATAATTAAAAAGCTCTTTGTTTTTTTTCAAGTTTTATGTTTACGATCATTTTTAATTATCTGTTATATTTATTTTTATTTAAATTTTTTTGTTAGTTTCAGCTTTTTAAAAGATGTATCATCATCTTCCTAGTGAGGTGCATTTAGACATTTTTAAATGCCTCAACTTTAATCAGTTATTTTTTGTTAAACAAGTCAATCGCTACTTTCTTTGGTTTATTGGTAAATATGAAGAGCAATTGGCTCGCAAGTTTTTCAAATATATGGAACCGGTAATTTTTAAAATCATTTTTTAAACAAATTTCCCTTTCTTTAGATCGAACTTAGAGGTTTTTATTATCAACACAAAAAAGAGAATGGACAGCTTGATTACAAAATTGTATCTCCTGAAGAGCTTGGACGTTATGTTGTTCGTTTTCCGTTGGATAATGAACTTTTGGAGAAGGTAGAAATTTTTTTTGAATGAATTTCGTCCAAACCTTAAATATTTTTTCAGTGGCAATCTGCAATTGATAAACGAATCCGTTTGTATGCCTATTCAACTTGTTGGGGCCGTTCGAAATATTACCATGTTTTGCGTTTAACGGATGGTATTAACTTTATACTCAATATTTTGATTCCCAATATTTTCTAGAATCTCGTCATTTACTTTTACAATTGCCTCTGTTTCCAAAGAATATTGAGGAAATGCAAATTATTCGTTTTTGGTTAATTCAACTGTTCTTTTGTTTTTTTGAGCGAGCTAAATTGACACGTGCTTCAATCAATCCTCAAATGATTAAATTACTTTTCGACAACGACAAAACAATTTCTACCAAATTTCAAACTGAACGGGCAATGACAACTTCGGACATTCCTTTATTAACGGATATTTTTAAAAACAATATGACAATTCTTGGAAGCCTTGAGATACAGTGTGATCATCATTCATTTGCGCAATACGATGTTTTATTTCATCTATTTACGACTGTTAGAATTCCCTGTGTTTTTCTCAATCATGCTATGGATTTTACAATTGCCGACGTATCTCTTTACAAGTCAATTATAAAGGTACGACTTGTTTGCAAAATATATTTTAAGACCAAGAGGATTTTTAAAAAAATAAAGATCGCGAAAACTTCTTTTTCGACCATTCCCTTTTATCGTTTAAAATAGAATTTGACCCCGACTTGAACCCCGCCCCGAAACAATTCGAAAACCCCGTACCCCGACATACCCGCCCCCGGGGGTCAAACCCTAGTTTAAAAAGACTTGCACATGGAAGGGATTCTCTTGCATTGGGAGGTCAATAACATAGGCATCCTGAATATTTGACAGACAGAATTTGGCCGTCTGACCATTTGACTGTTTGACCATCTGTCTGTTATCTTTATATATCCATCCATGTACAAGTCTGTTTTAAAATATATATTTTTTCTCGATCCCTTATGGAACGTAAAGAAAAATTCCTTTTTCCGAAATTTTGTGTACTTCTGAAGATCCAAATAATTTTATAAATTTAGTATATTGAAACTTCAACCGATTTTCTTCTTATGGTGGATAAATTCAAGTTTCATTACCTCACTTGGCGTGATTTTACTATGAGCGAAAGGGCAGAGAACATTGAAAAGAAAAGAGTTAATGGATTCAATTTCGTTAAATATGAACTTTCTAATATTCACAATTTAAATGTGAAGTTTCTTGTTCAATGGATACATAAAGACAACTTTGATGTGCGTGTTCCTCCGTGTATTTTGGTTGAAAGAATGAAGGGACAGGAGATTAAATCGCTTCTGGATGAGTATAATTAAATTAGGATTTTTTTGATAGTGTGTTAATTTGTTTGTCATAGAATTGTTATAGTAAATATAATTAATGAGTAGTTCAGAACAGGGATGTCTCTAGTTTTTTTTGCCTGAAACCCGATACTTTTTTCGACCCCCGGTCCGAAGAAAATTTTTGAAGGCCCCATCCTCTTTTCTCTTTCTACCTATGACATCCCTGCTCCAGAATGGAGTTAGGATACATATTTTGTCTTTGAATTGAATGATTACGTAATATTTAAATAAGGCTTTCGAATAAAATTTAAACAGTATGCCAAGAATTTTTTAAATAGTATATAAATACTGCATACTTTATACTGTTTTTATTCAAGCTGTTTAATATTTATTAGTTTCAGCCTTTTAATGTATTATCATCTTACGAGTGTTGTCCATTTTGATGTTTTTAAATATCTCAACTTTAATCAATTATTTTCTGTTAAACAAGTCAATCGCTACTTTCTTTCGTTTATTGAACGTTATGAGGGGGGATTGGCTCGCAAGTTTTTTGGTTATATGGGACCGGTAATTTTTTTTAACTCTTTTAAACACATTCTTTTCCTTTCTTTAGGTCGAACTTGAAGGTTTTTATATGCATCTCAAATGGATAGAGCGTGAACAGTTTGATTACAAAGTATTGGACCTTAATGAGCTTGGACGTTATGGTGTTCATTCACCTGTGGATAATGAACTTTTGGAGAAGGTAAAAATTTGTTTGAATGAATTGGGTGGGCCATACAGGATTGTGGGACAATAAAAACAAGGGCAATGTACTATCCAAGACTCATTGGTCGTAGGTCCCGAAATCAAGGTAACTGTCCGTACCTTGAAATGTTCGGATATGTCCATTCCGATATGTCCGCATGCCCTGAATTTCGCCCAAACCTTAAATATTTTTTCAGTGGCAGTCTGCAATTGATAAACAAATTCGTTTGTATGCGTCTTCAGGCCGATGGGACCGTTTGAAATATTATCATGTTTTGCGTTTAACGGAGGGTAATAACTTCGAGATTATTATAGTTAATCTTCAATTATTTTTAGAATCTCGACATTTACTCTTGCAATTGCCTCCGTATCCAAAGAATATCGAAGAACTTCAAATTATCCGTTTTTGGTTAATTCAACTGTTTAAGTGTGGTTTTGGAGAAATTAACCTTGCACATGGTTCAATCAATCCTTTTTTGATTAAATTACTTTTCGACAACGACAAAACAATTTCTACCAAATTTCAAACTAAACATTTAATGACAACTGATGCCTTTCCTTTATCAACAATTATTTTCAAAAACATTATTGTAATTCTTGAAAGCCTTAAGATAAGTCTTGGCGGACATTATGAGCAAAAGCAACACGATGTTTTATTTCATCTATTTTTGAATCTTAGAATTCCCTTTGTTTTTCTCGATCATCCTATGAATAATACTCTGTACAAGTTAATTATGAACGTAAGTTTGACTTTTTAGTTCAACTTGAAAATACATTTTAAGACTAAGGAGGATTTTTAAAAAATAACCGAGATCAAGAAAACTTCGTTTTCGTGCATTCCCCTCGTTTATGAAGACCTGTGGACCGAGATATAGGTCCCCGAAACTCGAAAAACCATAGGGGGGAGTAAGCACAATTTTGGGGTGAAAAATTTGATTTTTTATATGATAGCTCATTAGGAAGAGCTCGTCGAACACATGGGCACGGAATTGCTATCCGGACATATCTGGCAGATAGCGGCAGGGATCTGACTGTTATCTCTATTATTTTTACGTATCCATGGTCAAGTCTGATTTAAAAAATATTTTTTCGATGCCTTAAGGGATGTAAGGGATTTTTTTTCTTTTTTATTTACGTGTACGAAAACGAAATTTTGAAACGAAAATCTCTTTGCCAGATCCAAAAAATTTTAAAATTTTAGCATATTGAAACTTCAACCGATTTTCATCTTATGGTGGATAAATTCAAGTTTCATTACCTCAATTGGCGTCCTTTTACTTTGAGCGAAAGGGCTGAGAATGTTGAAAAGAAAAGATTTAATGGATATGGTTTTACTAAATATGAACTTTCAAATATTCACAATCCAAATGTGAAGTTCCAAATTCAGTGGTTACATATAGACAACTTTGATGTGCGTGTTCAGCCTTGTATTTTGATAGAAAGAATGAAGGGACAGGAGATTAAATCGCTTTTGGATGAGTATAATTTAAATTGAATTTTTTGATGGTGTGTTAATTTGTTTGTCTTTCAATTGTTGTAATAAGTATAGTTATTGTGTACTCCAGACCAGGGTTGTCACGGGTTACCGGATACCTAGAACCTTGTCTTTCAACCTGAAACTCTATCCGAGGTAAATTTTGAAGATCCGACCCGACTTTTTTTCTCAACTCGTGACATCCCTGCTTCAGAATGGAGTTAGGATAAATATTTTGTCTTTGAATTTAATAAGACTTTAGAATAAAATTTTAACATTATTCCAATAATTTTTAAAAATAGTTGTAGTATAAAAGCTGCAGACTTTACTTTTTCTGTTCTCTTTTTATTCATTTCTATATTGTCTAGTTTCAGCCTTTCAAAAATGTATCATCATCTTCCGATTGAAGTTCATTTGGATATTTTTAGATATCTCAACTTTAATCAGTTATTTTTTGTTAAACAAGTCAATCGCTACTTTTCTTCGTTTATTGGTAAATATGAGGGGGAATTGGCTCGAAAATTTTTTAAGCATATGGAACTTGTAATTTTCTTTTTAAAATCATTTTTTAAACACACACTTCCCTTTAGGTCGAACTTAAAGGTTTTTATTATCAACACAAAAGAGAGAATGGACAGCTTGATTACAAAGTATTGGACCTTAAAGAGCTTGGACGTTATGTTGTTCATTCACCTGTGGATAATGAGCTTTTGGAGAAGGTAGAAATTTTTTTTGCCTAAATTTCGCTCAAACCTTAAATATTTTTTCAGTGGAAATCCGCACTTGATAAACAAATTCGTTTGTTTGGATATGTAGGCACTATGATCCGTCCGAAAATGTATCATGTTCTACGTCTAACGGATGGTAATTAACTTTGAAATTATTAGAGAGCGGGCAGGATCTGGATCCAGACCTTGATTTTTCCTGGATTCAGAGTTTAGATCAAGGCATTTATAGCGTTCCTTGATTTTTCCCTGACTCAAGGTCAAGAATCTGGTCAGGGTATCCGACCAAAGTCAAGCCTAGCAGCATTCAAAACGCTTAGGCGGGGGTTAAACGATCTAAAAAGGAAAAAGAGAAAGCATTGGTCGATGCCTCGGTAGCTCAGAGGTAGAGCTCCTGCATATAGTGAGCGAAAGCGCCTAGCAACAACTAGCAGGTGGTCGTAGGTTCGAATCCTGTCTGGTGGCTAGCTAAACTTTTGCAAACTTTCTAAATCAAGGTCTAGGTTTTTTTTGCAAACCTCGCTCTCTAGAAATTATTATGGTTAATCTTCAATTTTTTTAGAATCTCGACATTTACTCTTGCAATTGCCTCCGAGTCCAAAGAATATTGAAGAACTGCAAATTATTCGTTTCTGGTTACTCCAACTGTTTAAATGTTTTTTCGAGCAAGTTCAGTTTACATCTGCTATATTTCATCCTCAAATGATTAAATTACTTTTTGACAACGACAAAACAATTTCTACCAAATTTCAAACTGAACGGGCAATGACACGTGATTTCTTTGCTTTAGTACCGGATATTTTTAAAGACAATTTAATTATTCTTGAGAGCCTTGAGATACGTACTGGTGGACATTTTGAGCAACAGACACACGATGCTTTATTTTATCTATTTTTAAATGTTGGAATTCCCTATGTTTTTCTCCGTCATCCTATGCATGATACTGTGTACAAATTAATTATGAATGTAAGTTTAACTTTTTAGTACGACTTGTTTTGAAAATACGTTCTGAGACCAAAGAGGGATTTAAAAAAAATACAGGAGATAAAAGTTGGGGACAGGCCCAGGTAGGCGCGCGGCCAAGTAGGTGCAAAGCCACAACTACTTTGAAAGTTTCTGACCCTTATCAATTTTGGCACCAATCTCTTTAGCTCGATGATAGGAATCGTTTAATACTAAATTTGATAAGATTCGGAGATCTTGAAGCAAGTTATGGCTTTGCGCCTACTTGGCCGCGCGTCTACTTGGGCTGTACCCAAAAGTTGTACGGAAACTCGTTTTCGTCCATTCCCCTAAATCGTTTAAAAAGACTTGCACATCGACACAGATTCTCTTCCATTGAGAGGGAGAAGTCAACCAGGCATCCTGTATAGGGTTGGGAGCCCGATCCGGCCCGGTCTGAAAGATCTAGTCGGGCATTGAATTTTGGCCCGAAAAGGACTCGGTCGGGCCGGCCCGAAAAAACGAGTCTCGAAAAGAATGACTCGAACGTCGGCCCGACTTGAGAACCCCAACCCTAATCCTGATGATTCAGGCAGGATACCTGTGTTATTGACAGACAGAATTTGGCCGATCTCTAGATATATCTTTCAGATATCGGCAGGCAACTGACAAGGATCTTTATGTATCCTTGTAAAAGTCTGATTTAAAATTTTTTTTCGATGCCTTAAGGGACATTTTTTGTATTTCTGTAGAGTCAAAAAAATCTTTAAAATTTTAGCATATTGAAACTTCAACCGATTTTCATCTTATGGTGGATAAATTCAAGTTTCATTACCTCCATTGGCGTCCTTTTACTGTGAGTGAGAGAGCGGAGAATGTTGAAAAGAAAAGATTTAATGGATATGGTTTCACTAAATATGAACTTTCTAATATTCACAATCCAAATGTGAAGTTTCTTGTTCAGTGGTTACATGTAGACAACTTTGATGGGCGTGTTCACCCTTGTATTTTAATTGAAAGAATGAAAGGACAGGAGATTAAGTCGCTTCTTGATGAGTATAATTAAATTAGGATTGCATTATTTTTTGTCTACCTATTGTTATAGTAAATATAGTTTCTGTATAGTTTTTTCGGTTTTAGTAATTTAGAATAAAATGGTAAAATTAATGCTCCAAAGTTTTTGAAGTTTTATTTGTTTCAATCAGTTTTAAAAATATTTACTGTTTAGATACATTATTTTATTAGTTTCAGCCAAAAATAACTAAAATGTATTATCTCTTCCCATCAATGTCCCATTTTTAATCAGATATATTTTTTTCATTTTTGGAATAAAGGCTTGAAGCTGTTCATCACGAAATAAATATTCAAGTAATTCCCCACTTCCAATTTTTTCTTTCTCTCCAGCATTTTTTAAATCATTTTTAATTGTTGTTTTCTCTATTTTAACTCACAGCTCATCGCGTCTAAATATTAATTTTTTTTTTAAATTTTCTCTTCAACATAAAACTAGATTAGTCTACTAGTACTTACAAGGCTATAGCCATTTGATAATTTATCCACGTCTTAAATTCCTTAGCACGTAGAAAAAGATGACTGTTGCTTTTCTGGTCAAGTCCACTATAAATTTTTCCTATCACACTTTTTCGGTGTTCCTTCCAAATAACAGCTCCACCGGAGTCTCCTTCCACGAGGTTTCCTGAAGTCGCAAACAAATGGACCCAGTGTCCAATTGTTCCCTTCACGATGATTGTTGTTTTTTGAAGTGTTGTTGGTAGTTGTACAGAGTTTAGGAAGCCGCTGATACCGAAGCCTAAAAATTTTTAAATGGGTCTATTATCTTACTAGGACATGTATACGGATTTTGCTATCCGTATCCGGATATATCCGTGGGGTCAATATCCGTATCCGTTTATATCCGTCCAACTTTTGAGTCATATCCATCCGCGGATATCCAAGGATATTCGGATATTATCCGTATCCATGACATACCTGGTCTATATATTATAAAATATATATTACCAAAGAAGGTTCCTATCTCCCTGAGTCTCTCTGCTCTAGATGCCAGACCAATTCTGTTTCCACTTTCAATCTCATCTTCCGTTAAAAGTAGAGCCAGATCTTCAGAATCATGAGTGATTATTTTCTTGATTTTAATGTGGCCGCCTTTTCCTAATTTGGTTGCCCCGATTCTAACTTTAATTTTTTGCAGCGAGTCTTCTTTATTAAAACAATGTGATGAAGAAACAATAAAACGTTCGGCAATTGCTGCGCCACCACAAAACTGAAAATAGGATTGATTTTTTTATAAAATAGAGTAAAGCTCTGGGATATTCGAGAGAGGTGAATTTTTCGAGTTTTGAAATTTGAACGTGTAGTAGGGTATTTGGGGGAGGGGGATTATTGTTTCAACCCATCTGTGGCATGGGGAATTAATCGAGGGAGGTGAATTATTCGAGAGAGGTGAATTAATCGAGTAAATAGAATTAACTTACAGTGTATGAACCATCCCTATTAAAGTTGAATATTTGGCAGAAAAATAATGCCTCTGATAACACCGCATCTGTGCCATCCATCACTCTAACGTCCGTTATATTCCTTATCTTTAGACCTATAAATTATGAAAAATTGTAGGCCTCATTGTAACGTTCCTAGTGAACGACATATCGACTTTTTCTTAAGGAAAAAAAGTCGTTTTAAAAAAATCTACAATTATTCGCGAACGACTTTTTTTTAAACACACAACGCCAGAACTACGTAAATATCGATGTTTTGCGCCAAACGATTGCGAAACGACTTTTTTGTGTCTCTTTTTCTCTAATTTCACATTATATTTCCTTTCTCTTTTTCTATTAATTTTCGTTTGTGTAGTCTCTCCTTTGGAATTTGCAATTTTCCATTTTTATAAATGTTCAGTCCCTTTTCTGTAATTTTTAGGGATTTTTCCACATATATTCTTACTAAATGGATGAATTTGAAAATGAATTAAGAGTCGCATTCGAAAGCGGCGATCTCGAAGAACCTGTGACACCGTCATCGAAACGTCGAAAATCCATATCCTTAAGGATTAGATCTAGGAAGTCCGAAGAGTAGGCGATCATGGAATATGTTAAATATATCGAGCCTGGTTCTCAACATCACCACCAAGCAACTGCTGGCCAACCTGTAAACACTATTAACGCGAAACAAAGTCAAATTGAAGATCAGTACCAACGTTTAATGGTTTTGGGTGATCAACGAAAGAGAAAACTGGAAAAGGCTTACAAAGGTTGTTTAGAAAACAATCCCAAAATTATCTTTAAATCCCTTTTATTTAAAGCCTACCAATTATTGCGTGAAGCAAATGACCTCGCAGAGTGGATAAAGTCACGAGAAACAGTTGCTTCTCAACAAGAAATTGGTCAAGATTTGGAACATGCAGAAGTATTACAAACAAAATTCAATGACTTTAAATGTGACTTGAAAGCAAATGAAGTTAGATTACAAGAAATGAATCAAATTGCTACTAGTTGGAAGGCTTTAGAACAAAAGGCGGAACAAAGAGGGCAGCAATTAGAATCTGCACATGAAGTTCAACGTTTCCATAAGGACGTGGAGGAGACGAGGGATTGGATACAAGAAAAGAATGAAGCTTTGGATACTGAAGATTTTGGTCGTGATCTTCGTTCAGTCCAAGCTCTACAAAGAAAACATGAGGGAGTTGAAAGGGATTTGGCTGCTTTAGGGGATAAAATACGTGCTTTAGATGAAAAAGTTAAAAATTGAATCCTTTTAAAAGCAATTTTTGTTTATTAGGCCAATCGTTTACGCTTTTCTCGCTCAAGAGGACCCGACTGGGGATAATGTTGAATCTCTAATTAAAAAACATGAAGATTTTGATAAAGCTATTGCTTCACAACAAGAAAAATTAAATAATTTGGATCAATTAGCAAAACAATTAGTACACTTATTTCATTTTCTACACTTATTTCATTACAATCATTATTTAAAGATGAATAAAATTTTGTTGTTTTATTTTTTTTAAACTTTAGAAAACGAAAACCTAACAAAAATTCCAATGGAGAGACAACGACATAGAAAATTAATAGAAAAAGAGAAAGGAAATATAATGTGAAATTAGAGAAAAAGAGACACAAAAAAGTCGTTTCGCAATCGTTTGGCGCAAAACATCGATATTAACGTAGTTCTGGCATTATGTATTAAAAAAAAGTCGTTCGCGAATAAAAGTAGTTATTCGCCGCGAATCGACGAAAACGTAGATATGTCGTTCACTAAACGTTCCTAGCTAATTTTCTGTTAAAATCACCTTTCAAGTATGTGTCCATAATTAAATTCTCTTCAATATCACGGTCAAAATCTTTTTTTAATTTTGCAAATTGCTCTTCTAAAAATATGGCTTGTTTACTTTAGGTATTACCAGAAATTTTTTTTAATTAAGAACCTGTAAGATTTAGTTTTAAAGGCATTGCGGGCTTGTAATCTGCATTGTAAACCTTAAAATGTAAAAATATTGGTATTCAAAACTTTCAACAGGTGACCCCGACCGGAAACAGTTTAGTCCATTTTTAAAGAAAGGTATATCTATATTTTCTTTTGATTTTGTGAATAGGTGAGGCGTTACTCGGGCCACAATTGACTTAGAGAGGTTCGAATTATAGGCCTAAGACATAAATCATGTTGCGTCTCCTTCCAAAAATAAATGATTTACTTTTAATTTTGTTTTAAAAATATTTTTATTTTTAAGTCTGAGCCTTAACAATCACTTAGGCTTTGCAGTGCCTGCGACACTGCAAAGAGGACTACTACTAATTGGCCTCCCAAATGTCCACATCTTCGAAAATGTCCTACATTTCCGGAAAGGTAATACACGAATTTTCGGCTTCGATGAATCTTTATTTCAGCAACTTAACTAAAATTCAATTTTTTACCCCAGAATCGTTTTTTTAATTTCAATACTCATTTTGGGAAGAACCGTTAAGCAAATGACTACTAATAATATTTTAAAATACCTTTCCATTCACGGTGTACCAACATAATAAAACAAATAGAATTAAGCCTCGCATTTCAAATAATTCAACTAATTTTTTGCTCAGAATGAGAATAGAATGAGAATGAATGTTTTTTTTAGTAAAAGGCCAATTTTCTATATACCACAGAAATAAAGCAAAAATGAATCGCGTTTGACCTATTCTCCCATCAATTGGTAAAAATAATGCTTTGTAACCTTTTGTGCTAAGCACAGCATAAGTTTTCTTATTCACGATATAACCTTTCTATAAAAGATATTGAAAAATATATTTTGTGGGTAGGGACAAAACACCGTACGAACATTAGAGAAAACACCGGTTACAGATAATAAATTCGATTTTTGAAGATTTTATGTTGTCATAATATCTTTAGGCCAGAGTTGTCCTTTTGCCTACTTTTTAGGGGGTTTTTGCCCTTTTTCGACCTCTTCGCCCCATTTTCTACAATGCCACTTTTTCCCCCTTTTTTGAGAAACCATGCCCCTTTTTAGTCATTTGGAAAGGGCTGCCCTGCTTTAGGCCCTCTATCAAATATTTTTGTGAGTCTTGGTTGTTACTATACTTTGCCTAAAATTTTGGGTAAAATTTGTTTATTCCAAGTGAAATGGCCGGCATGACTGTATAATAAAATTAAATTGTCCCGACATATTTTATATCAAATTTTTAATAAAGAACCTTTATACACATATAATTTAAACATTAAAATTTTATAAAATTTAAAAACAAAATTTAAAAAATATTTGGGAATAACTAAAAAAATTATTTTTATTTCATTAGAGCATTAAAAATTAAATTTTTGGAATTAATTCGTATCTCAAAAAATATTTTTTTTACATCACAATTTCTTTAACAAGTTGAGTTAATGGGGTAGATGCTGAATTTGTTCTTAAAAATTTTAATTTTTCTTCTTTCCCTTTCTTCTTTTTACTATAACAACAACAGGCAAATCTTTCATTTTTGTCAAACAAAACTTTGAAAGGCTGTCTCAAAGATTTTGTAAAATTATTCCTTAAAATTAATGCTTGTGCTGTACATAAAGCCCCTCCAACAAGATAACGAACAAAATGATCCCCAATCATGGCCCCTATAGCGAAAAGAGAAGAGTCGTTGGTTGAACAATAATTTGTTGAGGAAAATTGTTCTAAGTTGTCTATAGCTACTCCTTTCAATAGTGGAAATTCTGTCTGCCTTCCGATACAAATGGATAGACATAGAAATTGTTCCTGAAAATATAAATATTTCCGGAAAGTTTTATATTATATTTATGGAAATATTATATAAAAATTCCGGAAAGTTTTGGGTATATTTTTTCCGGAAAGTTTATTTAATTCTATGGGAAGATTATATTTATATTCCCGTAAAGTTTTATATTAAATAAACTTTCCGGAAAAAATATACCTAAAACTTTCCGGAATTTTTATACAAATGATTTATATATTCCGGAAAGTTTGATATATTCTATTTCCGTTTACTATTTAATTCCGGAAGGTTGTAAGTATATTTTTTCCGGAAAGTTTTATATATTTCCGTTAGGTTTTACGAAAAGTTTTATATTTTAAAGTTCCAGAAGGTTGTAAGTATTCAATTCCGGAAAGTCTTAAATAATCTTTTCAAACCTGTTTATATTACATTTCCGGAAAGTTTGATAATTTTAACAGTTTTTCCGGAAAGTTTTAATAATAATTAATCAACATTGTCTAACTTTTATAATTCCGCCTGGAGTATTTAATTCAATTACGTTTCCGGAAACACTGCGTATAGTAGTTTCAGTAAGTTTTGTATAATTTTCCTCTTTTTTCTGCCCACTCATTAATTGATACACTCTTACATATTCAGGATATACGAGAGGTGACAGACGCGAAATCATTACATCTTAAAAAATTTCTTTTAATTTTTTAAATTTTTTCTAGATTTTCCCCAAACTTTTTAATTGTCTATCACTCCTTCTAATTAAATGTAAAACTTGACAGTTTCTCTCCAAAGCACAAATAACTGCATCTGCAGCAGAAATACCATCACCAACAATAATTACTGGGTGATTTTTTGATGAAACTTTTGTGGTTGAAATACAGTTTTTGAGGGAATTTAGATCGTAAACAATTGAAGTTGAGTTGGAATCAAACTGAGAATTGAGGGAAAAATATTCTTTCGTTTTTAAGTGTTTTAAGTAAGTTAGGGACCTTACGAGGCGAGGACCGATTATAAGGAGAAAGGAGATTAAGGGGAATTCGAGCTGCTGGTACAAAGAACGGAGGATCTGGAGGAGACCTCCCTCGTTCTCTGGGGAATTCCCCTTCCTCTAGAAAGAGCAACCCCTTTTTTAGTGATCTTTCAGTGTTTAATTACAGACCTGGGCAGAAAAATTCTTGAATAATAAAAAAGGAGAGCTTATGGGATAAAAGAATATCTAGCCAAAAAATGTCTAAAAATTATTTTAAAATTTAAAAATTATTTTAGGCCAAAAAGAGCACTCCTGTCCCCTAAGGAGTGCTCTAATCCAAATTGTCCTCAAAAAATTCAAAATAAATTTCAAATAATTTTAAAATACCTCAAGCCTTCTCTGTTTATTCTTTCCACAAGCTAAAACCACATTTCTACATCGAATAATAAAAATTTTATTTGTAGGTGTATCAACACCATTCACTTTCCAATAACTACCAGTAGTTTTATTGTATAATTTCTGGAAGGAAAAAAATTTTGGGAAAATTTTTGAAAAATTTTCAAAAAAAAATTTTTTTAAATTAAAAAAAATCTTCAAAAAATTTTCGAAAATTTCAAAAAATTTTTTAAAAATATTTTTAATTTTTTTAAAAAATTTTCGGGAAAAAAAAATTTTCGGAATTTTTGAAAAAATTTTGAAATTAAAAAAATTTTTTTGAAATTTCCGAAAATTTCTTTTATTTTCAAAAAATTTTTAAAAAGTTAAAAAAAAATTTCGGAAATTTTTTCAAAAATTTTCAAAAAATTTTTTTAATTTCAAAATTTTTCTAAAGATTTTCAAAAATTAATTTCCTCACCTTAATTTGCAAAACCTTTGTATTCGGCCTAAAATTCTTCAAAATACCCATAACATTGCAATATGTAGTTAAATAATTTCGGAATGTTTTAGCTGTTGGGCGTTGATTATTTAAACTTGGATCGCCTAAAAAGTCTTCAGCAAGTGAATAGCCTGGCAAATCCATCCAATTGCTTATACTTACAGCTTTTATCTTTAAAATTAAAATTTAGAAATTAAAAAAAAATTTTTTAATAAATTATAGTAATTAATGCAGTTTCCCTCCCATGGCCCCTTCGTTTTTCCTTGAAAAAATGAAAATTTTTGGTTTCGAAAATTCCAAAGATTAATTAATCTCCCCCGTGAATTTTCCTATAAATATGCTCCGATGCTCTTTCAAGTGTACATATTTTCTCCAAAAATATGTTTTGTTATTCACGTGAAGGATTGGACAGATCTAGTCCAAGACTTAAATCCAGGCATATCCTGGGCAATCATTTGGACTCGGAACTGGTATCCGAAACGAGAATTATAAAGTAATACATATGTATATTTTTAAATTTATGAGTCAAAAATATTTTTGTTAGTCCTCTAAAGGCTTCAGAACAAGAAGTTATAAGAGGCTATATTCTTAGGAATATTCTTCTCCTTTGCAATTTTCTAGGTATTTAAAATTAAAATTCCATAAATAAATTCTCTTCCTCTCTCACCCTCCTTTCCCCCTATTTTTAAAAATAAAAAATTTTTTTCTTTAAATTTTTTCAAATCAAATCCACACACCTCATCTTCAAATCCAGTCCAAGACCCACCAATTTGTGTATCCCCCAATACAATGTGTGGAACAGAATTATTTAGAATTTGCCTCCATATAATTGAAGATTTATTTGGATTATTTTCATTTTCAGTTTGTAAATCATTAAAAAATGAGGGTCGAACGAGGGAATCATAAAGACAACCAAAAGGGGTTAAATTGGAAGTTGAGTGTTCTGAAGAAGTTAAAAGGGTGGCGGCGGAAGTTAAATCCTTTAAAATTTAAAAATTAAAGAAGAAATGAGGTAAAAAGGGATTTTTAACTAAAAAAAACGGGCTAGAAAATTTTTTAAAAATTTCTAAAATTTTATAAAATTTTCTCTAAAATTTTCAGAAATTTTTTAATTTTTCGAAAATTTTTTGAAAATTAAAAAAAATTTTTTTTTTAATTTCTAAAAATTTTTAAAAATTTTTCTCTAATTTTTTGGAATAAAAAAATTTTTTTTCTCAAAAATTAAAGAATTTTTTGAAAAAATTTTTAGGAAATATTTTGAAAAAAAAAACATTTTTTAACGAAAATTTTTTAGAAAATTTCTAAAATTTTCTACTTGAAAAAGAAGAGATTGATTTTCAGTTGAAGTAAATTGTGCGTGGATTTGAGGATTTGGATGGGGGTTGGAATTTGCTGTATCCCTCCTAATCAAATAAACAAACTAAAAATAAATGTTGCATTCACATGCATTCACAGGCACATATATTTTGACCTCTTTCTATATTAAAAGGAATCCCGACCGTTATCAGAGTCTATCACAATTCCCGACCCTTATCTTAATATTTGTTATTCACTTGTTTTCGCCAATCTCGACTTATTAATGTCCCCTATAAATACTCATCCAAAATGGTCATTCAAATCTAATTAGAAGTGTTTTTATCAGGTCTGGCCAGACTCTTGTAATTGTCCCCTTTTCCCTCCCTTATGTATATATTTTAATTTGTAAATAGTTAGATGTAAATAAAGTTATTTAAAGAGTAGAATTTGTATAATCCTCGAAAGGCTTCGGAACCCAAACCCAACATTTGGTGCCACTTGTCCCGGGCAAGCCTTGTCGAGAGAAATGCGCATGAAATTAAAGCATAAAAAACGGAATTCCAGAAAAGTCGTAAATTAAATAATTAAATGTGCTGAAAGTAGAATAAAGAGATTAACAAATCCTCAAAAAATTGAGAGCTCGAGCTTAAACTCCTTAAATGATCTAAAATAAGAATTTTGCAAAAAGAGGTTAAATGAAGACAAAATTAGAACAAATTAGAATCGAAAGTTAAAAGTCGAAGAAAATAAAATTAAAATATTGAGCTAGAAGAATGTCATGAAATTTTTTTGTTTGGTTAAAAAGTGTTCTAAAGTTTAAAGTTTTAAAAAGTAGAAAAGATATGCTAACCGTTAGTTTTAAATCAAAATCAGAGAAACAAAGTAGCGCCGCGGTATTGAAAAATGCTCTTTGCTACCTCTTGATTATCTCTTTGCACATGTGAATAAAAGTTGTAGTACTGAAGGCAGGTGAAGCTAGGTGCACACTCTGTCGGCTAGGTGCCAGGTACTTAATATAATAATGAAAATCTGTACAGTAATAATAATAAATCAAGGCGGGTGCAGCTAGGTGCACACTCCGTCGGCTAGGTGCCTTGAGAAGGATATTAAGCGGGTAAAGCTGGGTGCATACGCCGCAGGCTTAAAAGCCAGATACTCCTTGAGATTTAAATATCTCGAAATTTTTTTTCAGTGAATATTTTGTATATGAAGATTTAAAACAACGGCAAGGTACAAAATTGAAGATAAATTTTTTTGATAATTTCTGAATGAAATGGAAAATTTGTAGAAGAGATTGAACGAAATGGAAAATGTAGAAAATACCATAGCTTAGGCTTCAAAATTGGTATCCAACGAAATTAAAGTGCAAAATTTCGTTGAGAAAGGAGAAAATTATTATATAATCAACAAAAGTAATCATGTAATGTTAGTTACCTATGAATAAGATATTAAAATATGAATTAAATTAAAAACTTGTTAGAAAGAAAAGTAAATAATAGTTCAGAAAGAACAATTTAATTCATTAGTTCAAAAAAAAACAGAAGCTATATTAAATAAATTGAGATAAAACGCTAAAATAAAAAATAACCTAAATTTGTCGAACATTTCTTAACAACATAAGAAATCTGGTCAGACCCACTTAAAATAGTAAGCGAGAATCAAATTTTAACCGTCAAATACACATTAAAAACTTAAACTGACGAGAATTGTAAAACAATTAGTATAACTTATGGAATAGTAAAACTTTCCGCTCTAAATAATTGACATTGCTAGGCTAAATTTGTGTTGAAAAAAAAAATATTTATTAGATAAAAGTAAAGGTTTAAATATTTATATGGAGGAAAAACAACAAACATTTAGAAATAGATTGTGGAAAATGACACAAATTTCAGAAAATTATGTTCAATTAAATATTTTTAGTTCAGAGGAAGAAAAATGGATATCCAGAGAATTTAAATGTTAAATTAATTTACAAATCGGTGGTTAGTTTACTTAAAATTAAATTTGAAGCTATCACTGATATTTTAACTCCTCTAAAATTAGTACAACATAATTATTTTAATTCGGCTGGAAGTGGGGATATAAATCAACCAGATTTACAAGTCTATACTGCTGGAAAACTTAATTTGCCATAAAAAATAAAAGGATTAAATAATCAAGATACCCTCCACTTGGAGGAATTTGTTTAGAAGATAGACAATTTCCAGATGCTGTTAATCATCCAAAAGTTTTTCCATCCATAATCATTTCACCAACAAATCTTACACTCGATTGAAAAAAAATGCGGAAACTTAAGCATATAGATAAACTTAAAATAAAGTAAAATACCCCTATAAAGAGAAATGGCAATAAAATTTTTTGAGATGTGAGAGAAAATGATATACTGATTAGAATCCAATTACAATACCATTAATACCGAGAATTCGCATAAAACTCCGGTCATGAAAAAAAAAATTATTTTTCTCAACTAATAACTTAAGCAAGCGTAAAATTTGAGCCCTCAGACAAAAAACACCAAACTGCGAATATTAGTTATATTAAACAGAACTAAATAAAATTTAGAAGAAAGCCAAAAATAAAAATAATTTAACAAATCCAATAGTTTCTAGTTTTCTCAAGTGAAAATAAATTTAGAATAGACTTTGGAGTTCATTTTTAAACACAATTGGAAGAAAGTCTTTAAAATTAAAAAAGGAGGTTTCGGAAAAAACTGCATTAAAAAAGCCTCTCCAATCTCCAAATTTTTGAGTAGAACTGAAAAAAATCACTAGACATGCTTTGATCACTATTATACAGGAAATGGATTTATTATAAGGAAGCAGAATGTAGAGAATTTATGTGAATCTGTAGACAATTAAAAGAAAAACAATTTCATTATAGGGGCGAACACAGAAAAAATATATTTGGACTTTTAATTAAATAATTCTCTTGATCCGATTATAATTCTCTTGATCCGATTATCACCCAACTGTTAGTATTGGGAATTCAGAAAAATATAAAAAGGTCATTGAAAAATAAGAGATAAGTGATCAAATTTTAACCGCAGATACATATTAAAATAAGTAACTTACCTTAAAGTATGCCATTGTTACAACTGTTAAAATACATAGAGCAGATGATAAACATATTTTAAAAGAATGTAAAAATACTCATAAAGAAAAGAGATGGAAACTAAATAAGATACATCCGAAGTAAGGATTTAAATAAAAAATGCCATGTGAGAGAATTGTCAATCAAGGCGAAATGACAATGTAGAAGATAATCAGTTCAGAAAATGATCCTCATTAAAAATATTAATCCTCAAACGAGAGTAGAGTTGAAAGTCATGCAAACCCACTAATTTAAAAAAAAAGGATGCTTAAACGATTTTAAAATATATATAAAATTAGGCTGTCAGATAAAATTCGGGCTCATTCAAAGACAGGCTAAATTAAAATTATAAAGAAGAAATTTTTCTATCACGAAATCAAATGATTTAACCGAGATGTTAAAACATAGCCCTGGACATAACAAATATTGGATTCCGGTTACTAGTTGCCTTTATCAATTTAAAAAAAAAAATATTAGGCAGCATTGAATAAACATTAAAAAAAATACAGAGATCGGAATAATTTAAAACAAAAACCCTCAGGTTCTTAATTGGAACTATAGAAGTAACTTTAAAAATAATTATTTCGTTGTTCAATAAAAAATACTTTGATGTAAAACCAAATCGCCGCACCTGCGAGCTTAAAAAAAATTCAACAAGCCTCGTTAATCAAATTTTAAAAGAGAATGGATATTAATCAGCAAATTAAATATTATTTTAAGTTATAACTGGTTCAGCCTAAAAGCTCACAAGGAGACTAAATAATTCCGAGTATTTTTCTTTCGAAAATTTATATGTAATTTTGCAGAGATACACAGTTCCCCGTATATCTTATAACAGGAGCTTCAAATATTGCTTAATCAGAATCTCTATGCAGAGTTGAGTAGTAACGCATTGACCAGTGCAAAAATAGAGACAACAAATATCTAGTGAAAAAATCCTAGATACATAAAGTAATCATTCAAATTGAAACTCTGAAAGACAGTAACATAACTCTTAAATCAAAAAATAATAAAGAAATTTGAATTACTTGCGAGAAAATAAAAAATTAAAAATTCGTGCAGATCTATAAGAGGCCTAATTAAAAAATCGGAAAAAAGAAATTTTAAGTTAGCGGCGGACACATCGGACACATTTAAAAATATATTCTGGCTTTTCAATAAAAATAAATAATTGAGAGTTACACATCCAAAAACCCCGTTTTGTCATCCAACTGGTATCGTGAATTCAGTAAAATATTATGTACAAAAAAGTCATTGAATAAAAGGGATAAAAGATACAATGAGATATTTCTAACGGGTCATCATATGTCTAGTAAATAAATAATACACAACTGGATATGCTAAGACACCGGCAAGGATAAATAACCATAAGTATCATCAACTGTACTATCAACTATGCTCACGCCGAGAAAAACACTAATTTCTTTACATAGTGAACTAGTTTGGGTCAGGAGTTTTTAGATAGCCGTCGATCATCAACTTGAGCCGGACTCAAAGCTGCACGAAGAGTAAAATAAAAAGAGTAATCCCTAAAAAATAGCAAAAGCCCATTCTAAAAAAAAAACAAGGACTTGACTAAAAAAAAAAAAATTTTTTTTTAATAATGGAGAGGGAAGTACAAAACCGGGAACTAAAAAACCGAGAAACAAAAGCCGAGAAAAACTAGCAGAGAAAAATCCCCCACTTAAAATTGGGAGAATCGACAGAATCATCAGAAGGATACAACTTCCAGCAACGATAACAACACAATCTCCTGCAGTAAAATCAACTCACAAAACTGGAGTATCAGCTGAAGATTGGTCATCTATATATCAACAAAAAATTTGTTCTGCAACTTGAAAGACCCCACTAAATTGCTGCTTTTTGAATGAATTTAAATAAAATCGTTTAATTTATTTATGCTAATTATCCCAACTTTCCCTCACCTTGTTTTCAGTTTATTTTCCCAAAAATTTCTGTACCTATGTAAAATATCCCCTAAATAATCATTAGTTCTGTAATGTAATATTTCTTTCCTCATCAGTGTTTACTTAATTCGTCGGAGAACATGGAGGTAAAAGAAGTAAAACAAAAACACATTAGAAAGAGAATTAAAGCCTTTATAATAATTACTTAAATGTAGTAAAAATAAATCCGCTGCCGTCATAAAGACGAGAAACAATACTAAATTTAAAATATAATACAAAAAAAAATATTAAAATTTTAACGATAAAGCTCGGTCAGAAAAAATATAAAATTAAAAAAAAAAGTCAGGAAATATTTTTTAAAAAACCGTCGTTCATAATTGTACTATGAGAAAATAAAAATAATGCTTAGAGAATTAAAATTAAAAAAATATATATTTTAAAATAATCCTAAATTACCCTTATTAAAGGAAAATTAATGTGCCACCCGTTTAATCGGAGAAAAGTTAGTTTAAAGAAAAGCAGTTAATTAAAAAGGCAGCCTTAGCAAATTTCCCGAAAAGTAGAACGTGGACGTTCTTTTCGAAGGGGGAAGGAATGCTGTATCCCTCCTAATCAAATAAACAAACTAAAAATAAATGTTGCATTCACATGCATTCACAGGCACATATATTTTGACCTCTTTCTATATTAAAAGGAATCCCGACCGTTATCAGAGTCTATCACAATTCCCGACCCTTATCTTAATATTTGTTATTCACTTGTTTTCGCCAATCTCGACTTATTAATGTCCCCTATAAATACTCATCCAAAATGGTCATTCAAATCTAATTAGAAGTGTTTTTATCAGGTCTGGCCAGACTCTTGTAATTGTCCCCTTTTCCCTCCCTTATGTATATATTTTAATTTGTAAATAGTTAGATGTAAATAAAGTTATTTAAAGAGTAGAATTTGTATAATCCTCGAAAGGCTTCGGAACCCAAACCCAACAGAATTGTTATAGAATGGATGCCATCCTGCAAGCATTGCAGAAAGGGAAATTCCTGCTGGGCCATTTCCTGGAAGATTTTTTTTTAATTTTTTAAAAATAATTTTTTGAATTTTGGAATGAAAATTCGACGAAAAATTTTTTAAATTTAGCTCAAATAATTTAAAAAAATTTTACCCACCTACAATAACCGTATCTGTATCAATTTCCACATCAAAATTAATAGGATTCGATTTTTGCTAAAATAATAGAATTTTATTTAAAAATAATCGAGAAATTATTAAAAAAAATTTTTTAAATTTTAAAAATTTTTAAAATTAAAAAAAATTTTTTTTGAAAAAAAATTAATTTAAAAAAAATTTTTTTGGAAAAAAAATTAATTAAAAAAATTTTTTTTTAAATTAAATCCCCCATTAAAAAAATAATTTTTAAAAAATTAAATAATTAATTACCTCATCATCCTTTTCTTCAATTTTCTCATTTGAACTAATTTCGCAAAGATCGCTTGAATCGTAAAAGGGAAAGTGCATCTTGTTCTTTTTAAAGATAAAATTCTGTTAATCAAGGACAAGGACAAGAACAGCAGGGACAACCACAAATTGCCTCAATTTTAATGGTGAGAATATTGTTGAAATTAAAAATCATAAGGTTGCTTAATTTATTAATTCTGAAAATTAAAAGGGAAAAAATACAAATTTAGAAAAATGTATTTTAATTTTAATATTAAATGAGAAAATACATAAAAGGAAAACACAAATGAAAGACATAAAATAAGAAGAAACTCTGAATAAAATAATAACAAGAAATCAGAATTTAAAAATACAAAAACCAAAATTAATAAAATAAAAGAAATCAGAATTTAAAAATACAAAAATCAGAATAAATAAAATACAAAAAATCAGAATTAAATAAAATACAAAAAATCAGAACAAATAAAATACAAAAATCAGAACAAATAAAATACAAAAATCAGAACATCACCGATAGGAAAATACAAAATCATAATAACCAAAAATAAAAATCAGAATATTAAAGATATTACAAAAAATACAAAAATCAGAATTAACAAAAATACAAAAATAAGAAAAATCAAATAAAATCAGAAATATTCCGGAAAACACAAAAATCAGAACTAATAAAAATACAAAAATCAGAATTAACAAAAATACAAAAATCAGAACTACAGAGAACCTATTTGAAACACACTAAATCAGAATTAAAAATTCTAAAAAGAAATACATGTTTAAAATCAGAATTAAAAAAATACAAAAAAAATACAAAATAAGTTAAAAATACAAAAATCAGAATTTATAAAAACACAAATCCTAAATTTAGTTAAAAATAAACAAATAAATTTATTTTTCGTTTAAAAATTTAAAATAAAAATAAACAATTTTAATAAATATAAAAATAAAAAAAAATTTTTTGTTAAAATTAAAAAAATTTTTATTGTTGTAATTTTATTTTTGTTGGCAGTTTAACATGTGTTTATTGTGTGTTTATTGTTTTTTAAACACAGAAAAATACAAAAAAAATTTTATTTGAATAAAATTTGTTTAAAAACAAATAAAAAAAAGAATGACAAATACAAGCCAATTTACCCCAATTTAAAATTTTATGATTAATGATACACAAAAAATAATTTTATTATTAAATTAATTTATTTTAATGACTTTGTTTTGAAGAGGAAAATGAAGAAAAAAAGTAATTTTTTATTAAATTATATTTTAAAGATAAAAACAAATTTTTTGAGGGAATAATTATTATTTTTAAAAACCACACTTTTATCTTTAAATAGTGTTTTGTACAAAAATTATATATTGCAAACAGAATTTAATAAAATACAAAAAGTTGGAAAATACAAGAATCAGATTAGAAAATACAAAGAAAAATAAAAATACAAAAATCAGAAATATCAAATAAAATGAAGAATATTCCAGAAAATACAAAAAAAATACAAAAAATACAAAATTTATCGGAAAATCAGAATAAATAAAAATCAGAACCGGAAAATGCATAAATCAGAATGTCAAATATTGTAAAAACACAAAAATCAGAACAAATGAAAACACACAAATCAGAACAAATAAAAATACAAAAATCAGAACAAATAAAAACACAAAAATCACAACACTACTAATATTCCGGAAATACAGAATAAATAAAAATACAAAAATCGGAAAATACAAAATCAGAACAAATAAAAATACAAACATTTAAAATATTCTGAAAATTGTTATATAGATTTTATCTCCCCGAATAGTGTACTATTTCCTAATTAATGTGTTTCATAATTTAAAAATTATAAAATGTGTATAATGAAAGGACAAACATTACGAAAGAAATCTCAAACATTAATTAAAATTCAGTTTAATAAAAGTTTTGAAAAATACAACAAAATACATTGTAGTCTACATTTTTTATAGTGTGAATTATTGAAATAAATCTTTTTAATTAATTAATTATTAAATTTTTTTGATTTTTTGACTTCCCATTAATAATTAAAATTTTAAAATTATTTTTAGAAAAAAAAATTTATTTTTGAAATTACGTGGAATTTTTTTTAAATTATCAGGCATATTCTCATAGGTGAGAAAATTATTTAAATTAATTTTTAAAAATATTTAAAAATTTCCAAAAAAATATTTTTTTGTTTAAAAACAACCAAAAATCAACAGAATATAAGGAAGATCAAAAATTATGTAGAGAGAGGGTTGTTCTCTAAAATCAGTGATGTCATAAAATTCTCTCAGTAATATGCCTACAAAAAAATTTTTTTTTTGAATTTTTATTTTTAAATAAATTGTGTTTTCATTTAATTTTATGAGTCAAAAAAGGAAAAGTAAAAAAATTTGACAAAAGAAAAATATAAAAGAATGCTAAAAATATTTTTTGAAAGGGGGATCATTTGGCTTTTAAACAAAAAAGAGGTTTCGCAATAAGCTAAACAAGTATTTATTTATTTTATCCAGATTAAACAAAAATAAATAATAAAAAAATAAATTTATTTGGAGCAAATAAACAATTAGGAAGGGGAAAAGAGCAAAAGTCCAATTAATTTATTTATTTTTGTTGGAAAAATACAAAAAAATACATAGATTTGTTCTGTATTTTTATAGAGAAATACAAACTTTTTTATTTATTACATAGCAGCTTAAATAGGTTGGACAATAAAAACAAGTTGGACAAACAAGTTGGAAAAAGATTGGGAAAAGGTTGGAAGAAAAAGTTTGGAAAAGGTTGGAAAAAATAGGTTGGAAAAAAAAAAGTTGAAAGAAAAAGTTGGGAAAATAAATATTAAGGTTGGAGACAAGTTGGAAAAATAACCTTGGAAAAATAGGTTGGAAAAGATTATAAAAAAGTTGGGGAAAATAAGTTGGGAAAAAAGTTTAAAAAACACGTTGGAAAAAGGTTGGTACATAAAAGTTGAAAGAAAAAGTTGGAAAAGTTGGGAGAATATTAAGGTTGGAAAAACAAGTTGGAAGAAAAAGTTGGAAACAAAAGGTTGAAAAAAGGTTTAAAAAGAGGTGAAAAAAGGTTGGAAATAAGTTTCTATTAAATAATAAAAAGCAAAAATGCTGCTTTTTGTTTTCAAGTTTTGATGGATTAGTGTGTAGGTTAGAGAGTATAAATTGAAAATAGAGAGAATATATAAAACTTGCGAAATGGATGGATATACATATTCTCTAATTTATTGTTTTTAGAGAAAAATAAATATAAGAGAATATTTTGTAAATATAAAGCTTTAAAAATAAATTTTTCTTGTCAAAAGTTAGTGAAAATTTTAAAATTTCTTTTTTTAATTTTGAAAAATCAATTTTAAAATTAAAAAAAAATTTTTTTAATTTATTTAAATATTCCCAATATATTTTTTTCCGTTTTAAATTATTTAGTGTTTGGGTTGGAAAAAAGGACGGAGACACGACATTTATTTGAATGCACGAAAAAAATTAAAAATTAATAGAAAAATTAATTTTTAAAATTCAAAGACTTTATTTTTTAATAAATTTTTAAATCATTAAGGGGATTACTCTAAAAACGTGTTGTTTCTAAAGGTTAAACTTTTTTCCCAACTTATTTTCCCCAACTTTATAATCTTTTCCAGCCTATTTTCTCTCTGATTCGGGTAGTTTTTTTCGGCGGCTAGCTTTTTTTGGACAGTTTTTTGATAATTCTTTGCGGATTTTTTAGCTCAGAATTGTGGATTTTTAAAATTTGAGCTAAAAGCCCTGGTTTTATAATTGGATCACTAGCCTGGCTAGTCTCTGATCTTTGTCTGATGCCAGAACAATCATCTTCAAAAAAGTTTGTACTTTATTTTTGGATAAACTTTATTGTGCTCGTCGACTTTGGTAGACTTCGAACAACCCTCGGGGACATACCAAATAAAAAAATAATTTTTTGGCAGTCTGACTTAAGAATTAATGTAGAAAAATATAAGAGTCAAAAATTTAATATTTAAAGGGTAAAAATTACTTAATAAATAAATAAAATTTTCTTTTTTTTCTCGAATGGTTAAAAGAATAAACACACAAAAATTTAAAAACCTAAACGCAACGAATGAATGGAAAAAAGAAATGAAAAATGTGTGAAAAGAGGAGAAAGGAAGACCGAAAAAAAATATATTGGGGGAAACGTCCGCTAAAATTATTTACTAGCGCGATACTTCCCTCCCCTCCCCCTACCCCTCCTCCCCTCCCTCCCATCCATTTTAGCTTTGTTCAAAAATTATTTTTTTTTTCGTTCTCGACTCTGTGTTGACGTGCTCTTGAAGGGAGAGCAAAAATAAATAAAAAAAAGGAGAAAAAACGGACCATAGCAACCGAAGATTGGACATAAAACGAGAAAAATTTAAGTAGAAAAATGTAAATAGGTATTCAATTAAATGACCAAATTTTAAAAATTAAAAAACGAATTAATTAAAAATTAAATTTAAAATTCTTTGAATTTGTTGAAAATAAAGAAAATTTTTGTTCCTTTTTTGTGTCTTGTAGCGGGCAAAATATATTTTTTGTCTAATTGTAAGCTACATAAGCTACGTAAGCTGATCAAATAAATACAAAATACATTATAGAGTACATAAAATAGAAAATGAATTTAACTTTTAACAGTCTTAAATTTAAATATTTGAACAAACAGAAATATAATGAAGAAAGAAGGGAGAAAGATAAATAAAAATCGAGGAAAGCTTAACTTTGAAATATTTATATTTTATTACTTATTAAATGCGCCTCTTTTAGCTGAATCGAATGACACCAAAATTAAAAAGATTGGACCATTTTGGATAAAGTTATGGACGATTATGTAAAATGGAGACACTAAATAATATTGAAAATAAACATTTCTGCGCATTTTGGCGTTCCGTTTTTTTAATTTTATTTTTGGCGTTTTGTTTGTGCGTTAATTTAAATCTTTTCTTGTTTAAAAATCGATGAAGAGACGTGTTTTGTGTTTTTTGTATTTTTGTCGGTTAATCTTTAATTTCTGGTCCCTGAATTTTGTGTTTTCCGGAAATGTTTTGTGTCTTTAATTTTTGTGTTTCTTTTTATTTTTAAAATCGGAATTTATTTGTATTTTTTTGTGTTTTATTTTAAATGTATTTTCTTAAAATCAGAATTAATGTATTTTTCTGTATTTTCTATTTTGTGTTTTTATCAGAATTTATCTATTCTGATTTATTTAAATAATTCGTGTTTTGTATTTTTTTTGTATTTTTAAAAATCAGAATTTATGTGTTTTCGAAGTGTTTTATTTTTAAATGTATTTCTTAAAATCAGAATGTGTTTTTTTGTGTTTTTTTTTTGTATTTTTTATCAGAATAAATGTATTTTTCTTTTGTATTTTTATAGACTAAAATTTGTGTTTTTTTATATCTATCAGAATTTCTGTATTTTTTTGTATTTTTTATCAGAATTAATGTATTTTTTTTTTGTATTTTTAATAGACTAAAATTTGTGTTTTTTTTTTAATTTTTCAGAATATTTCAGAATTTAATTAAAATATGTTCCACAATATTGCCCCAATCGCTATGCCTTCATTGCCAACTTCCAAAGATAAATATGAACAACAAAATAAAATCGAAAGTGCCATTCTTTCTTCAATTAATGAAATTGTCCAAACAACAAAAAATTCTTTGGATCAAAAAATAATTTTAAATATGTCAAATTCTGATATTTTAAGTCTTGTAAAATCTTTGGATGGATTTTTTGCTCACGGGTATTTTTTAAATTTTTTTAAAAATTTTTTAAATTTTTTTAGTTTAATTAAAATGGATAAATGTTATTGGTCCTTTGTTAGAGAATTAATTCCGAGTGAAGAAAGAATTGATTTAAAACAAAAATGGAATTGTTCTAATAGAAGGGAGCTGTCGTTAGCGTGGCTGAAGGATTCGTTGAATAGGTTGTAATTTAAATTATAATTTTTTATGTTGAGCGTCTACCGATAGGTACGTAGCAGGGGTGTGCGAGTTTCGCTTTTCGCGGATTTTCGCCTTTTTTGGACTTTCGCATTTCGCTTTTTAAAATCCGTTTCGGCACACTCCTGGTACGTAGCATGACTGGGCTAGTTGCGCGTTTCGCTTTTTATATTTAGATTTCGCCCAGCCCTGGTACGTAGCCAGAAAAAATTCCCTGTGAATGATCTGCGAATCATTTTTCCAAAATGTTGAGCTTTATTTTTTGCCGCCTTTATTGTCAACAATCTACGTACCTGTAGACTAGAGATCGATTAAGGGTTGGGCCAAGCCATTTACTTTTTTTCCCCCAAAACCCCAACACTGGCATTTTTTGAGTTTCCTATGCTCTGCATTTACTAGGGCCCATGATTCGGCAAAGGCCATTGCTCTATCTTCAACATAGTCAATCCAGCTGATTTTTTACTTTTAGACGTACTTTACAATTCCAAATGTTTGCCTTTATTGCTTGCAATGATTCACTTAAAAAATTACATTATGAAAGGAATTCTTGTTTACGAAATTTAATTTTGCTTAAACGTGTTTGTCTATATTTGGATGATATTGCTGAATTGGAATTTTGTATTGAGGTTTTAAAAATTTTTTTCCTTTGCTTTTTTCATATTTGGATGGGTTAATAAATTGTTTTTGATTTCCAAGAAAATTTCACCCAAAAAATTATTTAGATTTAAAAAATTTTTTCTTGAGAATTAGGCTCTCATAATTCATCAAAAAATCTATTCATTGTTTGAAATCTTTTTAGTATTTAATTTCGATTAGGACTTAGTTATATCTTCTCAGAGATATTTTTTGTTTTCATAAGATTTACGCTTCTCCGGTATATCCATTCTTTAGTCGTCCTAAGGTTGTAAGCAAATTTTTTGTTAGGAGGATTGTCTATGAGAATTTACAGTCAGTTTGATTAGGACTTATGTAGGTCCCCTCAGAGATATGTTCGTTTAAAATTAACGCTTTCTACTTGTCCCGAGGTTGTAAAAAATGACCTCTTTAGGAAAAGTGATCAGAAAAAAAAATTTTAAAGTTGAATTATGAATTTTCCTTTTAACTTTTTTACCTTTTTAGCCTCCCTATGTTTTTCGTATAGAAGATACACCAATTGCTGTACCTCTAATCTCCTCTCCAATAGACGGAACAATGTCGCCAGTTCAATCAACAATAAGTGATTCTCCAATATTTAAAGGAATTAATTTAAACAATAATTCGATTGCAATGAATATACACAAAAAAAGACGTGAAAGTGCTGCTAAAATATCTACAAGTTTTTTTTTAATTTTGGGGAATTTTTGGTTTAAAATTAATTTTTTAGATGGCTCTTTTTGTGAAATTTCTCGTAATTCTTATTTGGAAGGGCTAGTAGATGATTTACCAGAAGTTGATATTACTAAATTAACAGCTGGGGAAACTTCTGTTCAGAGTGCGAAAGAACAGGTTTTTTTTGTTTTTTTCAGAAATATCTGTTTCAATTGTCTTTGAATCCCCCGGTTTTCGGTTCCGGCTCGTTTAACCGTTTGTGATTAACATCAGGTTTAAATAAAGGAAAATAACGTTTAAGAAATAGGCAAGGGAAAATAATGTCTAGAAAAACAACAAGTGAATGACTAGCAAGGGCGTAGCCAGGGGAGCTTCTGGGGCTAAAGCCCCCCTCGCTCCGTCCGAAACCGACCTTATGGCTACGCCCTTCATGACTAGTTGAGGAATTGTTTTAAAATTTGAGTTGGATACAAATTGGTAACCTGAACCGAAAACTGGAGGTGTTTTGAAAATACATTCTGAAATGTTTTGAACTTTGAAAAAATTTTCCCTGAAGAAAAATTTTAAAAAAATGAGACGTAGCCAGGGAGGCCTCTGGAGCTATAGCCCTCCCCCTGAAATGGGGAAAAGGAAAAAATATTATCATAAATCGCCCCTGAAATCGATCCCCTGGCCTTGATTTAAGATAGGAATACATATTTTTATTTAAAGAGTTATATTTTGGATCAAATGCTTCGAAATAAACGTAAAGGTTTTGCTTCATACAATACCAATCCAAATTTTATTTTTGATGATGAAGAGGAGGAGGAAGAAGAAAAAGTTGAAGAAGCTGGAGAATGTTCAAATTCTTTAATTCCTGAGGATCCGTGTACAAGTACAAAAAATTGGATTGAATTGAAAGCAGAAGAAGAAAATGGAAGCAAAGCTGAGGAGAATGGTGAATTTTATCGTCGATAAAATAATTCGATTTTTTTAATTTTTCAGTAAGAAAATTTGAATTATATCAGACTGGGTATCAAAAAAATCATGTGGAGTTTCAAAGAAATACTCAACAAAGACAATCAAATTTTGTAGCAGATGATTCAATTTCGTCTACTACTACACGTGAAGATGATGAATTGAGTCAATTAAATGAAAACGAAACTTTGTTGGAAGGAGAAATTTTGTGAGGATTTTAAAAACACTTGTCTGTTAATTGTAAGATTTGAATGCTGGACGTGGGTATAGAGCCTTGATTTTTTAAAAGTAGTTGATCCGATCTCTTTTCAACTTTTTTTTATATTTTACGAAGGGAACTGTTAAAAATTTACCTCTCTGAGTTCTAATTTTTTCCTTTACCCGTTTCGGGTTACATGCAGGGGTGTCTGCAAATGAAAAAAATTTTCCGCAGTCCGCAATTTTTATTTTAAAATCCGCAAGTCAAAAAACCACGCAATCCGCAATTGCGGACACTCCTGGTTCCATGCTTGGTTTGGAGGTTTATATTTAGAAACCGAACTCGATTGAGATCGTTGAATGTTATTTCAACTCGTTCCTTTACCTCATACAGAGATTTTTTAATTTTTTCATACTTTTATTAACGTTTCTTTTATTAAATTATTTTTTTGCAGCCTCGATTCTGGTGAAATTATACAACTTCAATTAGAATTGTGTATAAAAGATGGTGAACGAATCCAACGTTTATTTCAAGTATTTACTGGGCATGCTACAGGCTCATCAACATTTAAATATTTATTAATAACTGATCAATATATTTATTTATTGGCTCCAAAAGATGAGGAAAATGTTAAAGAAAAGTTTGGGAATAAAGGTTTTGAAAATATTAAAAATGTTGTGACTGGAACAACAAATGCAGAATTGGGTATATCTCCAGCTAGTGTAGTTATTGAAGAATTGGCAGTTGAAGCTTTTGAAAGAAATAATAATAGATTGGTTAATGGAGAACCTCCTGTTAAATTTGAAATTTTGGTAAGAATTTTTTGAAGTATTTTTTGGGGTTTTATGGGGCTTGGCGACATTTGCGGACTGAACTTGCGGATAAACCCAAGCCTTGTTGAAATTTGAACAAAAAATTACAATTAACATTTAGTTGTCATTGTTGGGGATATGTGTACAGAATTTCATTATAGTTTTATCAAATAGTGATTCTATAAATGGGTGCCCAAATATGGGAACGAGCCGATAATAAGACAAAATTCTGGGAATTCGGGAATTTCGGAGGGAATTCCCTATAATTCCCTATAATTCGGAATTCCCTATAATTTCGTTGGGAATTCCCTATACGTTGGGAATTCCCTATTTTCAGGAATCAGGACGACTCTTTCCCTGGCCCAAACATGGCTTGCGCCAAAAATACCAAATTTAATTTCTTAATTTTTTTCTCACTTTTTTTCTATTTTTTTAGATAGCCTTACCTCTACCAGATTTAGAACATTTAACAGCAAGTATCGACGCCCAAGTTTTATGTTTTCATTCAAAAAATGTCAACTTTGTAATTTCTCCTCAAGCTTCTACTGGCCATCAATTGAAAACTTTCCTCGTCGAAACTTGTTCAAAAATTCTTGGAAAAACTATCGTTTTTGCTATAAAAAGAACAATAACAAATAAAATAGCTTTGGAAGGAATTTATTTAAATTCAAAAAGTTCGTCTTCAAATTCTGAAGAAAAGAGGGAAAAAGAAAATGAGAAGATTAAACCTTTAACTGTTACAGCTTCACATTCTTCACATTTGGCGGTTGTTATAAAAAGATTTTTGTTTAATGAATTTGGACCGGTTTGTTTTTGGCTTTTGTTTAATGTTTTTAATTAAGTGTTTTAGAAAATTTTTTTAACTTTCTGCGGATTTTTTATGGAATTTTTTACGGATTTATTTTTACGGATTTATTTTTGCGGATTTTGGCTTTTTCTTTCGGACTATTTTTTGGGAATTTTTCTTGGGACTTCTTTTCGTGGGTTTTTTACTTACCCTTTTTTAGCGGACTCTTTTGCATATTTTTTGCGGACTCGGTGATTTTATTGTGGACTTTTTCTTTCCGACTATTTTTGCGGATTATTTTCTGCAGATTTATTTTTGCTGACTTTAAAAATTTCTTAAAAATATTTACATTATTTTTCTTAGAGAGAGCACGATATTCTTTTCATGTCACTAATTTATTGGCAACAAAATTTGCATCAATACCAAAAATCTTTAGATTCAACATCATCCCTTGACGGTTATATGTATATTCGAGAAATTTATCAAAAAAGTTGGAATAGGAAAACTATTACAGAATGGAAACAATCTTATTTAGTTTTGAGGTTTTTTTTAATTTAAAATATTTTTTGATTAATTTTAAATCTTTTAGAGGTGCAATGTTCTATCAATTTGCGGATTCTTCTTTTCAATATGCACAGCATTCGTTAAATTTAAGGTTAGAAAATAATTTTTTTTTGAAGATTTGAGGGGATTTTTAATTAAAAGATTTAATTCTTTTCTTTCTTTTTTTAATGTGTTTTTTAATTGAGGATTTCAAATGGGGGTTTTTTAACGAAAAATTTTTTAAAATTATTTCTGTTCGTTTACGTTAATGTCCATGAATTTGGTCTTATTATTTAAGAAGTTTATTAGATTTTTCGTTTTGTTGCTGTGTGGTTCGGTGGTAGTGTTTAATCAAATTTTGTCTTAAATTTTATTAATTAAATTATTTAAAAAAATATTTTTTTCAATTTTTAGAGACATAATGGAAGAGGTCTGCCGTATAGATTTAACAAATGATGAAAAATATGTCTTTCAAATAACATTTTCAACAGATACCTCTACTGCTGGTAATGGTTTGTGTGCCTTACAAATTAGTTGTCCAAACGAGGAAATTTTGCAGCGTTGGATTAGTGCAATTTCTATGGCTTTGTATGTTTCGGTTGGATTTTTTTAATTTTTTTTTATTTTTAAAAAATTTTTTTTGTAGGCAGATAACCCTCCCCCAGTTGCTTGTATGGCTATTTTAACATCTACCCATTTAGTTTTTGCACAGGAGGGAGTTAATTGTGCTGTTGATGGATTTATGAGATGCCTTTGTTCTATAAGTCGTGAAGAATTTAATGATATGAAAATGTTAGTTTTTTAATAATTTTAAAAATAAAAAGTAGTGTCAAATTTCACTATAAGGGGCCTACCGGTGCTGAAAATTGTCGTATTTTTGAATAAGGTGCATTTAATGTTGGGTTATCATTTAGGTGGTTCACTCTCTGTGTCTAACTAGATTTGTATTTAACTGGCAATATCTTATAGCGTCTTTTGACTGTTTACTACAGAGTTGGGTCGTGTTTTCGAACATTTATTGGCTCGAAGAAAGTTTTGGGTTTGGGCAATTTGGCCTGTCTCTGATTCACTCTACGAATTCATCCCCAATTTACAGCTTCTAGGTTAAAAACACATAAAAGACATTTTAATAAATTGATAACCTCTATTTTTTTGTTTCTTGACTCTATTTTTTGACTCTACTTCTCTATGAGAATTAAAAAAAATTTTTTGTGATACTAGGACAGTTCACCTACATACCGTATATGCTCTATTAATTACCCCCTGCAACCAGGGTCCGTAAAATAAGACGATGGTTAGGTAACCATCGTAGCGGCAGCGCCAAGGTGACTCTACGCCGCGGGTTTGGCGTCGCCGTTTCTTGTTTCTCCCTATTCAGGAAAAAAATCATAACTTTTTTTAAAATGGAGTAAAAATTTTATTTTTTTGCCAGAATATAGATTGGAGTTGACTTCTTTTTAAATTATAGGGGAAAAGTTGGGCGCTGGTAGGTCACCTAACCAGCAACCACGCTCTTATTTTACCGGCCCAGAGGTTGAAACAATAATTACCCCTCTTATAAGTAGTTACCCCCCCCCAATTTGTTGCACAGGTGTGCAACAAATTGGAGGCGGAATTTTGAAACATCAAAGGGAAACCCAAGGGTGTAGGGGTTTTCCCGGACCCATCCTCATTAATTTGCGGCATAATCAAAAGGTTTGGGTCATTAATTAGACAGGTGACAGGTTTTGATTGATGGGTACAAGTGTTTGATTGATGATGACAAGTGACAGGATTTGATTGATTGGGACAAGGTACCACCAAAACGTTGCACGTTGTGCAACATTTTGGTGGGTACCAAAACGTTGCACGTTGTGCAACATTTTGGTGGATGAAGTCGGGATCAAAGGAAACCAAAGGGTGTGGGGTACTTTCAGGTTCCCGGTGTGTCAGATTTGATTGACACGTACAAGTACAAGGTACTTGTACCTTGTACTTGTACAAGGTACAAGTGTTTGATTGATGGGTGACAGGTGATTAATTTGATTGATACCTGACAAGGATTCAATCCCGGACTGAAAGTCTGGGACTGAAAAAAGTTGGGGGGTAGGGGTCCGGGGTACGGTAGAATTAAAAATAATAAAAATTAATAAAAATAAATTAAATAAAAAATAAATTAAATAAATTTAATAAAAAATAGGGAGAGATAAAATTTACAAAATTTTACAAAAAAATTAAAATGATTTGCAAAAAAGGGTGGAAGTCAAAATGTAAGGGGGAGGTAACCAATTATTTCAAATTCTCAAGATCTTATCTAATTGATCGATGATTAATGAGTCTGGGACTGAAATCTCGGCGCAGCCCGCGGAGGGGGAGGAGGAAGATTTCCCTCTCAAGGTCATTTGCGGGAAAAATTATTCTTCTCGTAGTAGAATGGAATTTCAGTCTGGGACTGAAATATTTTGGGCTGGGAATTTCAGTCTGGGACTGAAATTTTCGAGTCAGGGATTGAAAAAAGTTGGGGGAGGGGTCCGGGGTACGGTAGTTTTAAAAATAATAAAAATAAATTAATTAAAAAATAAAAAATAGGGAGAGATAAATTTTTACAAAATTTTAAAAAAATATTAAAATGATTTGCAAAAAAGGGCGGAAGTAAGAATGTAAGAGGAAGACCAATTATTTCGAAATCTCAAAACGACAAAATGCCACAAGGACAAAATGCCAGCTCACAGAATGTCAACTCTCAATTCGCCAACACCCAAAATGTCAATGTTCAAAAGATCACCTTCACATTCTATATTAAATTTATCTCTTCATTTAAAATAATATAAAATTTAAACACCTTCAATTAATTTATATAACTTTCACTTATCCCTAACACTATCCTACAATTATCACTTAAGATAACTACAATAGATCACCTAACTTGATATTACATAACATTCCAAACAAAACCAAACATGGTTCATATAGCCTTTGACCCAAGGACAATCGGTTACGACGACCATCATATATCTATCAGCCAAGTAGGACAAGGCGCAGATGAAAACTATTACTATTTTCGTGGACTAAATCCTTATCAACGTGGATACGGGAGACAAGCGGGTGGTGGAGTCGGAGATGTACTCAGAAATTTTTGGCGTTTCCTCCTACCGTATGCAAAACGCGCGGGTACAGCTGTAGCAAAGGAAGCATTGGATACTGGTGGGAGAATTTTAGAAAGTGTGGGGAATCCAGAATTTGGCAAAGAAGATTCTAACCCAAATTTTAAGCAGACAGTAATAAGTGAAGGAAAACGGGGGTTGGACAGATTACTCGAGAAAGGAGGATTGCCAAAACAATTTGGAACCGGATTGCGAGCCAGAGCTAGTATAAAAGGACTCAAAAGAAATCGTAAACCTCATTCAACATTTTCAAAGGAAAAAAGTCATCAACTCATTATTGGAAGACCTCCATCTCTTACCCCAAAAAAGAAACGTCAAAAAATAGACACATTCGGTCTTTATTAAATAAAAATGTCTACTCATCAGAAAATTGATCGCGATTCTGGCAACGCAATAACAAACGCTTTATCATTTTTCGAAACTCCCCACACAAATGTCAGTATTAGCAACTCCTCATTTATTGAATTACTCACACTCAACCCTGTAAATATCACCCCCTTTCATTTCAAAATTCATGCGACTACAAATTATATTGATCTGGCCAAAACTTATGTTTTCACTGAACTTAGGATTAAAAAAGAAGACAAGGATGGGAAACTTGTTGATATAGGAAGGGATGATAATGTATCGGCAGTGCAACTTATAGGTCATACACTTTGGAAAAATTGCCGTATGCATATTAATGGAACTCAGGTTTTTGAAGGGAACTCCCTCATGGCATACAAAAGTATTTTTGACTACGAACTAACCTACCCACAAAGTGTGAAGAACTCTTATCTTTCTGTAGCGGGATATTATGATGATGGAGCCACACAAACATACCCAGGTGTTGATGCAAATGGATATGGAGTTAAATCAAGGAAAAGATTATTCTTAGACGAAGATGGAAATCCGCGCAGTGCACAATTTATGGCCAAATTGGATGTTGATATTTGTAATCAACCAAGATATTTAGTAAACCAGTGTGAAGTTGATATTGAACTACTACCCAATGAATCAAGTTTCCTGCTTAGTGCGCCCTGGGACACTGCCCCAAAATATCATCTAGAAATTCTGGCTTGCAAATTATATGTAAAGAAGATTGAGTTGATGGACAGCCTAGCCTTTGATATTGCAAAAAAACTTGAAATAAAGCCCGCGAGATACCCGATAAGAAAAACATCTCTGAAATCTTTATTCATCAGTGAAAATAGAACAGAATTTAATGCTAACCTATGGATGGATCAGGTGCCTCGAAGAATTATACTGGGAATGGTTGATAATAAAGATTTTGTAGGACGACAAAAAACAACTCCATTTTATTTCCAACATTTTAATTTGAGAGATATTTCCATTACTGCTGGGGGAGTGACATTTCCAGCAGCCCCTTATTCCCTTGATTTTCCGAAAGGAAACTATGCCAGAATTTATCATGACATGCAAGAAGCAATAGGGTACGCGGGATCACTAGAAAGTAACGGTATATCAATGTTTCGTTATGCATATGCAGGATATTGCTTCTTCGTATTTAACCTTACAAATAGCCAGGAAGATAACGGCCCAGAGATGTTTGATTTAATAAAGAATGGTACAACAAGTATACGGATGACCTTCAACGAACCTGTTCCTAGTGGTGGGATTGTACTAGTAGCCATGGGCGAAATCGATTCGCTGCTTATGTTAGATAGGAACAGAACTATTTCTACAGATATTTCAGTATAAATACCCTCAATTTTCCTTATTTTTTCATTCTCCCATTTCATTTTAAAAATGTGTCACATTACTATAAAAATTGAATTTTGCTTTGTTTGTTTCATTTTATTTTTCTTCCTGTATAAATTTACACAACAATATTCTATGTCTAATGAGGATGAACATCCAGAATATAGAGAAAAATTAAGAGAACGTATAGGCTATTACGCTAATACAATACTTCCTAAGCCAGAACAAATGATTAATTCGTCTTCGACAAAATCCCCAATAATTCCACAAAGAGTACAAAATAGTATTGGACTAGCATCTAACTTTAACCCTGAGAAAAATATTACAATCTTGGATTTTTGGTCAATGGAACACGTGGAGAATGTTCAATTTCCCTCTCCTTGCAAGGAATTTCCTTCATCAGAGACATCAATTGCTCAGACTATTTACTGTTATACATTAATTGCACTCTGGCTTTTATTGCTAGCAACAGCATTGACCTATCAACTGAGAAAATTTATAAAGGTTAAAGACAACGGCAAAGACATTGAACTTGGAGAGATTCAAAGAAAAGATTCAAACCTCCACCTCTTTGACGAAAATGGACACTTTACAAATCGACAAAATCTTATTACACAACAGAACAACTAGAAGATATTTTAAAGGATGCTTTGCCGCAGATAAAATTCCACAAAAATTTCGAGAATACCCGTGCTCATTGGTCGTCAACCTTGAAAAAGCTACTCAAAGAGGATCACATTGGATTGCATTTTTTATAATTAACCCCGAGAAAATATTAATTTTTGATTCATTACTACTCCCCGAACCTCCAATTTCAATAAAAAATTTTATTTCCAAATTTCCAAACCGTGTAATGAATAATGTTCCCGTTCAAAACCCTCTTTTACCTACTTGTGGACAACATTGTATCACCTTTATTTATTTTATTTCATCTGGATACTCTTATAAAAAATTCCTTTCCCTATTATTTAAACATTCAAACCCAGACGAATTTGTATTTTCCTTTATTATCAAAATGATAAAAAATATATAATAAAATTTGACAATTTCAAAAAAGTTTTAAATTAAAATCTTAACATTCTATTAAACATTAGGGTAATAATTACAGTTCCATGATCAAATTTAACAAGACTTCCGTTCATCCATCTTAGTTCAATTTCAATCTCGTTAATTTCTCTGGGTAACACAGGTATGAACATTGGTTGATCATACACTCTTTCTACAACACCTCCAGACCTATTCTCAACGGCCACAATTCTGAGTAATGAACTGACAGAATTACCCATTATTACGGTGTTAGTTAACCCCTTTGAATATACAGCAAAGCTTGTAAACCCTCCTTTGAGCAATTCCATATTTTCTAATTTGTCCATTTACCAATGGTCCCATGGGGAAACCGAGAACATAGCATAGTTGTGAAGAGATAACAATATTTCGAATCTCAGGATCATTAAAAATTACCCGAAAACGATCAATACTGTCCAAATATTCAAATTCAATGTCAGAATATAAATCTTTTGCTTTAGATTCCTTTTCTTCAATCAAAGTAACTGTTTTCTCATTTATCAGATCGTCAGTATTTTTCTCCTTTTGCTCCTTAAATATCTCTTCAGTTGGTATAATCTCTTCTGAGGAATCCAAATCTAAAACTGGGCTTTCCCTACTTTTCTCCTCCCACCTTTCTTCTTCTTCTTCGAAACTTTCCTCATCAGGTACTGTATCTTGCTCTTCATCTATTGGCTGCTCAAGGGGTATAGGCTCTCCATATTTATCTAATCTTCTTGCATGCTTTAATTGTTCCTTGCTTTCTTTCAGTTCTCTATCTTTTCTTTCATTTTCCTCTACCTCTCTGGCCTTGCCCTGCTCATAACCATGTCTGTCCTTGACAACCTCAACCATTTCATCCGTAATTACGGGAGCAGGAATTGGTACTGGTTTACCTTGATCATCTGTCTTTAGTGCATCTTCCAAATATTCCGGATGAGTTCTCTCTTCAATTTTTTGCATCTCCTTAATTTCATTTCTAGTTGGGGGAATTGGCAGCTCAAAATTTTTCCATTTCTTGTAGGCAGCATGGTGTATTGCTGTAAATCTATTTCTTCTGTAGGAAGCCAATTTACTTAAATTGTCAATCTCCTTCCCTAGTTTATTCTTTTCTTCCTCATTTTGTTCTTGTGAATGGGCATCTCGTTTTTCTCGAATTTGTCTATGTAATTCCTGTAGATCACCTAAATTTTTCTTTAACGCTGTCCAATGATCTACAGGGTGGTCCTCGAAAAATTTCTGGACAAATTCTGAGTGTGTATTTGAATTTTGCTGATGAAATTCATCTCTAGTAATTTGCAAGTCTCTTTCAATAATAGCAGATTCCAATGCTTCCAAATTCTTACGCATACGTTTTATTGAATTAATAAACCTCTGAATCTCATCACCAGATCGAGCATTCTTAACACCCTCTTCCCTGCTTTCTCTAATTTTGTCTTCTAGTTCAATGTATCTTACTATTATATTTATTTCCATCTTTATTACTTCCTCGTGATAATCATCTGGGTGTTGTTCCAAAAACTGGTTTGCTATTAGTCCATCATCACGCCTATCCCTCTTATTAGCTTCCTCTGTTAAGAGACGAATTTCCTTCTTTTTACCTTCTGAAAGGGAATGTAGGTGATCAAGTTCTTGCTGTAATTCTCCCTTATGTGTATCATCCTTCTCATTAAGAACTTGTTTTGTTTTTTCCTCTACATCAGATTTATGTTGTTCTAATTCTTGTTCTTAATCGCGTATGGCTTCCCAGTAATTGTGTGGATACTGATTAAAAAATTCCTTTACCCATAATGGCACAGTATCTACTTTATCTGCCTCTCTCTTTCTTCGTTTCTTAGCTGGCTCCACTACTAAATTAATTTCTGGGTCAATGATAACTTCATCCTCCAAAGTATCGATTGATACATCGCGTCTTTTCCTAGGTTTCTCTTTATTGGATAATACAAGTTTTAAAAAGAAGCTGAGTCCGTTGGGTGTTAGCTGTGTTGTTTTGGGGATTCCAATTCTATGCGGTTTCTTATTTTTGTAATTAATTTCGATCCATTGTTTAATGTCGGTGCCAATAGTTGCAGCCCATGATTGTGGGTATTGGATACTGTAGAGTCCACATACCCAGTTTCCACCTTGAAACTCTATTGGTTTCGGAAGATGCACTCGATATTTATTGGGTTTATTATCTGGGTAATCACTAACATTGCTAGGAAGAACAACAAAGAATGTATTAGCCATAATTTATTTTAAAGATAATAATAAATTGAACAATTAAAGTGAAAAAATAATTAAAAATGATTTATGGGAATGAAAAATTGGGCTTTTATACAAATTGATTTTCGTCTATCCATTGGGGTTGAGGGTAATCAAAAAATTTAACAAAATATTCTTTTCCTCCATCTTTTTTCATTCTGCTCTTAATAATCTTCTCAATTCTGTAGCTGGTATTCTCATCCTTCCTCACTCTGGTTAATTCCTCAGGGTAGAAATATCCTTTAAATACTTCCCCATTATCGTCACGGATACGGTATCTGTTGGGGTTAGCCTTCTTTTTGACAAGATCTATTTGAAGAATTTCATCGCTATAATTTGGGAGATAACCCTTTGAAAAAATATTTTTGTTTCTGCTCATACGTACATGATCATCTTCCTTAAATCGTGGGTTTTTTCTAGGTTTATTCTTCCCAATAGGACCAAATACCATTTCTCTAATTTCCTTTGCATTGTTAAAGTTTACATCAACCGGTCTTAATCCACCTAAAACCCTACACTTTGAATGATTTATTGCGTCAACTATTTTCGGTAATGCCTCAGTCCATTTTAATGTATGCTTCTCACTCATAAATCTGTACAGTCTCTGTTTAATGTTTCTAATACATCGTTCAGCTAGTGACGCTTTAACTGATGAAAAGGTTGCCGTGTATTTTTCAATATCTTTTTCTCTGAAAAATGCAATAATTTCCTTGCTGCAAAATTCAGTTCCCTTATCACTAAAAATACGGTGTGGGTGCATTTCCATTCTTGCCAAAATTTTTTCAAATGCATCAATCATATCATTTGACTTTTTAGTGCGAACAGGTTCAGCGAAAACTCTTTTGCTTAACACATCGATTGCCACAAGCGCATAATTTTTCCCGTTGTTTTGCCGTGATAATTTTTGGAAATCTGCCAAGTCGCACTGAACGTCTGTCATATAGCCAGATGGGGTTGTTATTGATCTTTTGAAGTGCACACGCCTAGGGCGGTGGATTGTGTAAGTTCTGTGGCCTTCCAAATATTCCTGCACATCCTTCTTTTTAATACTCGCATCTTTTTTTCTAGCCTCTGTCCATAACTGGTTTACACCAGCAAATCCTGCCGGATTCGCTGGATCATTGTAAAGTTTATCTAATATCATTTCCACTCTGTTGGAAGTCTCCATTTTGATTCAGCTATTTCTTTGGATTCAGGTATTTTTCTTTTTTGCTTTGTATTAGTTCTTTTTGGTGTACAACTTTCTCGTGCCTTCTCTATCAACGGCCAAATTTTGTTATCACTTTTTAATTTACTTTCTAAAACTGATGTCCCCGGTGGTGTCAACTCTCCCCATCTCAATTTCCCACTTATTCCTGTACGGAGAATACACTCTAGAGATTTTTGTGCATTGCTTCCCTGTATTTCTTTTCCTCCCTTCTTACTTAAAATTTTTCCATCTGTGCTCACATCATATTTATCTAGATTTTCCTGTTTCATATTTTCAAAAATTTCCTCTGTCTTTTCTCTTATTGTTGACTTCTTTGGTTCCATTTTCCTCTTGGAATCCGGAGATTCCTCCCCGGCCGTATGCATACTAAGATCATCTTCGTTTAAATCTCCACCTTCATTTAACGGGGACAATTTTGGTGTGGGTATATTTTGTTCAAGGACTTGTTGATTACTTTCTTTGGAGCTTGTTTGGAGGAGGGGAAGCAATTTTTTAATTTGCTCCAGGGCTGGATCTTCCATTTGCCTTACTGAAACATTCATTGGTCTCTCATTCTGATCCTTCAGCATGTGTAGATAACGTCTCAATTCCTGATTATAATTTATATTCTTTAATTCTGTGTTGGCATTTTGACTTTTGATATTTTCCAAATTTTCGCGTGTAAAATCCAAATTGATATTTCCAGTTTCCGGTATGGGGTGAGTAAGTAGTCCACGATATATATCCTCAGGAATTAATATAAATTTATTTGCCATTTTTATTAGTTGCTTGTTAATGTTTTTGTTAATTCGATAATGATTGGGGTTAAAAGGGCAGGGAACAATCCAATTGGTAAACCAGTTCCTTGTTGTATTACTGTACGTCGGGCTCCTCTTTCCGTTTTTAATCTGCTCACACGACGAACAAAATCAGCGAATGGTAGAAGACGAGATTTTTGTCTCTTAGTTAATTTAAATTGATCACGTACAATATTGTAGCAAATTTCAGTGAGAGATTGTAATTGGTCGATTGATGCTTTTCTTAAAAACCGTCTTCTTTTAGTTAATGAGCGCGTTTTTGCCAGCTGTTTGAGAAACTGTAGGTTGTCCTTGACAAGTTGGCTAATTTTCGTTGACATTATTTTTAATTAGAGGAATTCTTGGGTAAAAATATAATTGGTAATGAGTTGTAGGAGTCTTCTGATTCTTTGTCTGTAAATATGTTTGTTCTTAGTCTAAGTGTTGGGTCTGATGAGGGGTGTAAATCGATAAATAGGTATGAATAATTACTGCTGCTTGTAGCTTGTCGATATGCGTCTAGAAAATAATTTAATCTTCCTGGGAATAGTTGTACTCCTAGATTTCGAACGGCCAATGCACTATTTGGTGCGCGGGTTAATACAATATACATAGAATTTTGACGTGCGACCCTGAGTTTTTTCTCGAAGAGATTCTGTGTGATGAATATTATGCCAAAATTAAGATGATGAGATTTCTTTGTGAAAAGTTCCGATAAATATTTTTCGTCAATTGAGTACATTAGGTCATCGAGGATGACTAGAGAGGGTTGTTGTTGTTTCTTAATAAGATCCTCAGGGGGAACTCCGAAGTAAACTGAGACTCCGGCTCGCTGTAGTTCTGGAACAAGTATGTTATATTCACCATAGCAGTAAAGTATAGATTTTGGAATAGGCTCAATAAGTTTATCAGAATTTGAAATTAATTTTCGTACAAGTGTACTTTTGCCAGTTGAACTTGGACCGCTAATAATACAACCAAATGGAAGTTTTAGTTTTAAATCTTTATTAGAAAATAAATGATAATTCATGTTTAAATTATTTGTTGAAAATAAAAATATAAATAAGAATGATTAATGATTAAGAGGGGTAATTGAATTATCGTTTATTATTTTTTCTTTATCGTCTTCTTTTATATTTTCTTTCGTTTCTTCGTTCTCTACTTGAGCCTTCTTCTGTGTAAACTTTGACAAAAATTCCTTGACACTCATTTGCTCATTACCGGTGATAAACTGTTTTTCATTCCAGACTTGCTCTTTGTGTAAAATATTGAAATTCTTCCCTTTTGACCGTACACGGAAAACACATTGTTGAGGAATTTCATAAATATGATCGAACATTACCACTTTTTCTGATTTTAGGCGGTTGCAATATAAGGTTACGTCCTTTGGAGTAACAATAAAATCTATGTCCACATTTTCTCCCCTGCAACTTTTACATTTTCCTGCCATGTCAAACTCCACAAAACGTGTGGTTATGAGGCGTGGTGACGAAATTGTCACACCAGTAGAAGATACCGTAAATAACACCTCAGGGAGTACTTTTTCCAAGAGCTGGCAATTATTTTCGATTACTGACATTTTTCAAGAAATTTTATAAATGAATTCAAATTTTTGGCGGAAGTTTGATCTTGGGGGGAATTTTTCAGTATTTATACTCTGAAAATGGGCGTGGCCTCCGAGAATTTGGGATTAATTTTTTCCTAAGTTAATGAAAAATAATACAATTCAAAAATATTTATTTAGAATTAAAATGTTACATTTAATGAAATCAAAAATAAATAACAAAGTTGACAGAAAACATTAATCATTAATCACTTTTTCAATTTCTGTATATTCTTTTCATCCCAGTCAGCAACAATATCCTTGAGCTGCATATTTAGCTTCGCGCAGGTTTCGCATATTTCAAAGCAGATTCCGATGTTTCCATTTTCCTTCTGAGTGAATTTATTTTTATCATTGTAAAGCGCATTGGCACATTTTTTGCAAAGTTTAATTTCAATCCTAGGTGTTTCTCTTATGCGCACAAGTTTCCATAGAATACGCGGATTTATACTGTTACTTTTCTCAATTTTCCCATTTTCAACTTTTGAAGCAGAGGCTTTTGGCTTGTTTGCCTTTTCTTTTTCTTTTTCCTCTTCCAATTTAATTATCTCTACTTCCTGCTCAATTTTTGGCTCATTAACTAATTCCATTTTTGGGATCTTTTCTTTTTTTAATCCGCTCATTTTTATTAATTTAAAATAGTATTTTTAATGAATGAAGAAATGAATGAAAAGTTGAAAATCCTTCGCCTTATATACTCCTCCTAAGCTCCGCCCTTTCCTAATATTTCGAAATATCTGTCAGTTTTCAAGGTCAAATCTTTGGGTATAAAAGGCGAAATTTTCGTTCAACTTAACAATTTATCAAGTCATTCATCAATCATTCTAAATTAATCAATAAAATGACCTCTATTTTGGATGAGATTTCTAAAAAATTGAATTGCCCAATTTATTTGGTGAGATACAGATTAATGTATCAGGAAAATGCCGATTTGATCGCAAAATTTATAAATGAGAAAGGAAAGTTAGAGACAAATTATTCTGATAGGAGAGGATTATATAGCAGAGTTAGATGTGACGGAATTACAACTTCAGGAGCACATTTTGTCAAAGCCTTCGGTGACTTAGCTTACCCATTCAACATATCGGTTGCGGCATATTTCTTTGCTCACCACAAGATAAAACTCCAATATCCGTTTCATCAATGTGTTATAGAAAGAACATGCACAAAGAATGGAATATGTGAGAGATACTACCCTCTAGAACTTTTATGCTTTTCCCCCACCTCACCTGCGTCACCTATAAGTTGTTCAGAATTTGGGGCTCGACGTACACAAGCAACTTCGTCATCATCAACACTTACTCTCAACAGTATTCCGTTATCCCTTGGAAGTTTTCCACCTACACCTATTAAGAAAAAATCTAGACCAGGAATATTGTGGATTGAAATAGAAGGTAAACCGAGCCAATGGGAAAAACGCAATGTTTTGATATTTTGTGATTAATTAATTTGAAAATTTCATTTTAAGTACATGTTTATTAAATAATTTTACATAAAAATGTTAAACATTAAAAAATTATAAATTTTTGAAAAAATCGATAATGTTTGAAATAGGAGGTTCGTATAAAAATCGCCATCTTGAATACATCAAGTAATCTGTTCGATTATGTTTTCCAGATTTGAACTTTTCGTCCCAAAGATCCCAACGTAGAATCCAACGCCCCATATTTTTTATTTCACGTTTTCTTGCTGAGTCTGTTTTGTTCAGATGATAGATATCCTTTACAATCCATTTCTTAAGTAATCTTTCCCCTACATCAGCTTTATTCATCGACTGATTGCTTAATTTATCTAAGCGTTGAAGCTCCCTTGAGTTGTTTACATCTCTGCCAGGAAATATTGGTGGTGGTGTTCTCCGCCATATTGGTATTTCCACTGAACTATTTTTATCACTGATTGGAAACATTGGTGGTGGTGTCCTCCTCCATATTGGTATTTGCACTGTTGTATTTTTTCCTCTGTTAGGAAATAGTGGTGGCGGCGTTCTCCGCCATATCGGTATTTCCACTGAATTATTTTTATCTCTGTTAGGAAATATTGGTGGCGGTGTTCTCCGCCATATTGGTAATGGTGTCCTCCGGTATAATGTAGTCACTAATTCTTCTCCCTTCCATGGTTTGTTGTCAATCCTATCTGCCACTAAGGACGGAATAGTTATTAATATAATTGAAAACATTAACATTTTGAATAATGTATTTTATTAAATTATGAATTGCTTGTATTCTAAGTAAACTGGTAATTTGTTATAATAAAATATTTTTCGGTGAAATATCATTTTTCATTTAAAGACATAGCACGTAAACTTTCCAATAGGGTGTACTGTAACATCACAATGTTGTATACTGTAACTGTGTCATCCACCTAGTGAGTAGCTCTCCATTACACCCGCCAATAAGAGGGAAAGCGTGGAAAGTGTAGATATTCTTTAACATTTTACTGAAAATATGCGTTTTTCTCTTAACTTTGTACCATTTTTATCTTTTAAACCTTAACTTTTATTCAATTGTTTCTTCACATCCTTAACTTTTATTCAATTGTATCTTCTATCGCTTAACTTTACATTTTTACCCCAAAAACCTGGATCTTGCATTGCTTAACTTTGCCTAAATTATATCTTCTAACTCTTAACATTGCAACAATTGTATCTTATAATCCTTAACTTTGTATCAATCTTATCTTATAATCCTTAACTTTTTTTTAAACCCTAAAAGTAATTAAACATTTTAATAATATAATAATTTATCAACAAATTTAAATACAATTTAAAGAACATTGTGAAAATATTACAATACAATTGAAAAATTATTGTGAAAATTACAATACAATTGAAAAATTTTGTGAATAAAGTAAAGGACAAAAATAATAAAATACGGTGGAAAATATATTGTGAAAAATGAAATTATTTTTGTCCGAAATTTACAATTTTGAGGTTTGAAATTATCCCTTTTTGTATGATTGGTCTAAATATTTTCTTCATTTTAGTTGAGTAAACTATACCATCCTTCACACTGCGGCGTATAAAGTTTGGGTTCTCGATCATAATTGTTCCCTCATCATCATCTTCCTCGTTTTCGTTTTCCCCATTTGCATATTTAAGTACGCTTTCTTTGAAAGTGTCAAAGTGGAGGATTTTGCAGACATCAGCTGTTAAAGTGATGCCGCGTACTTTCAGAACAGTGCTAATTTTTGCGTTTTTGTTGTTTTCCATTCTCAGTGCATAAGCCTTGCACGCGCCTCCAACATATTCTTTTATTTCAGATCCTGCGTACTCTCGTGCCAAATCACCCAGATGAGGACCGGTTTGGAGCGGGCATTCCATGTTCTTTGGGTAAGAGAATAATATGCTGTCAGTGTCCCCATAGAGCAGATTGCAGTCAAGTTTTCCGGTAACCTTTTGCATTGCTTTCAATAGCCTAATTCTTGCTGCTGACGTTGTCCATAAGGAAATCACAATATTTGAAGTGTCATGTTCAACAATAAATTCATCTTTTGGTTTGTAGGTTATTATTACTGTCTCTTCGGTTAATTTATCTACAGATTGCAATTCAATTGATTTGTTGTAATAATATTCTCGAAGTTCATCTGGTGCATCTGTAATCACAGTTTTTGACAAGGTATTCCTCAGACTGAATCTTCCCCACAGAGAGTTTAACATTAGTTTTGAAATGTAGCGCATTGCCTTGTCTGGGACCATTTTTTCTTTTTGAAGTTCAATACCAAATTTTTCTTTGCATTCTTTTATGAAATCATCTTCACTATCTTTTCCTTCTATTCCTTCAGGGAAGCCACTCGCATGAATCTTCATTGCCATAAACTCAGCCACATAATTTTTGAATAAATTTTCATCCCATTTGTCATAATGTAAGGCTCTATAAAATCTTGTAACGGTGTACCCAACTTTTAATGCTTCTTCCAATTCAATCGATGTAACTGTTGAAACCCACCCTCTTTCATCATCATTGTGTGGACAGTGGTAGTCTTTGATGTTTGCGCCATTTGGGTATGTGAGTGAGCATTTTCTACACAGTGGGAAAAGAAGTCGTTCATCAAACTTGACCGGGATAACAGGAACATCCAGTTGAGGCGGTGGTAATATAAATACTTTCAAAATTCCTTTGAACATGATTTGCTCGCTTCTTGTCCAATAAACTTTTTGTTCAGCTAGTGGTACAACATGTACTTTCGGATGCCCAACCGGAAATGATGTCGTAGCAATTGTTGAGGGGTAAAGTGAATTAAAGTCTAAGTAGGCAATTTTATGTTGTTCCTTTTCTGCATCAAAGTACATTTGTAAGGGTCCAGTCCTTCCACCAAAATAGCAGTCTCTAATATTGATTGGCCCTTTGTTGTGGTAATTTGCGAAAGCCTTCCTCATTTTCTGGTTGCGGCGAAGCATCTGGTGAATTTCACATTCCCATATTATATCGACATTCTTTATATGTTTTTTAATTATTTCCAATCTTTTTCCATCATCTTCACGTGTTTCTCCTACGGTTTTTCCATTCGGCAATACTTTGTACAAATCATCTCCAAAGCATTTTTGGCACGCGTGCCACACACAGCCATTCACTTCAATTGCCCTATCTTCAGCCACAATGTACCCATCAACTTTATATTTTCCCGCCACTATAAATTCCCCACCTTCTGAATGTGCACTTTGAATTTCAACGCCTCTTGTTTCCTCATACCATTGTAGATATTTCAGGGCAAGCTCGCTTTGGTTATCGATGTTTTCATATCCTTTCTCCGGAACAATTGCCAAATGGTCAGGTTGAAGATGATTCAGACGAAAATGTTTCATGCAGGCCGATGCGATTGTCATTGCATCCTTCAAAATATCTATTCCTTCTGCTGCTGGCCCAGACTTGCCATTTTTTGGTTTGCTAATCTCTGTGAATTTTTTCCTGAATGCAATCAGTGCTTCTGTGAGTATTTGGACATCGTTTGTGCAGTATTCGGCCAAGGCTTCATCCAAGCAAAATTGTTTATTTTTTTCTTCTTCATACCATTTGTCAAATTCATTTTGTTTCTCAGGTGACATTCCTCCATAAAGGTAATCGGATTTTGAAGGCAGTTGCGGTAATATTTTATTGTAATTTTCAGGAATATTTGCCAAATGCGGGAAAAATTGTTTTTCTGTAATTTGTAGTCCAAAGGCGCCAACCAGCTTTCCCAAGGCAACTGGACAGAGATTAAACGAATCTCGAAATATTACTTCATTGCATTTGTTGTTGCGGGGAATTTTCAGTTCGTAAAGTTTATTACCGCGACGAATCATTGATGGAACAACTCCTTTTGAATAAATTTCTTTGAAGACCATAATCATATCATAGCGCCCTCCATTGTGTGAAAATGCCACAGTTGTATATTGAGGGTTAAGTTTAAACAGGATCCAATCAATAAATTCTTTTAGAGGGTTTGTTGTGACGATTTGCTGATCGACTGTTGTTTGAGTAAATGGCCGGTGGGAAAATGTGATTGATCGATTATTACCGCAAATTGTACAATTTTTCCCATTTTGTTTGAGAGGTGCACGCCATAATTGATCATCTTCCATACATTTTGTGCAAGTCACTGTTGCAGCAATGAAATTCACTTTGTGAAGTCGCCTTTCTTCTTCGGTAATTTCGTTTATCTTTTCATTTTGTGTTGCTTCAAAGTCAAATGTTACTAGGCGATAATGTGATGGTTTTTTCAGTTCCAGTGGTCGAATAAAGCATCCTCTTTCCATACTGTGAAATTGCCGACAAATTTGACACCACTTTTGCCCACAAACATGTTTCTTTTCACCCTCCCTCTTATAATTTTTCATTGACCAGATGACTCCACATTTCTCACACTGCTTTGTTTGGCGGCAATTGCTGTTTTTTTTGTGATGATTGAAGCAGTCTTCATTTAAATATTTTTTCCCACATTCATCACATTTTTTGAAAAAGTCTCCCGTTGCAACACAAGGTCGGTCACTGCCAATGCGCCCACAAAATCGGCAAAGAGATTTGCATCTCAAATCATGTTCCTTTGATTTCCTAAACTTCTTTTCACACGTAAAGCAATATTTTGCCCCTGATCCAAGCATTCCTCCAACATTTCTTATTGCGTCAAAATGGTTGTTTGTGTGAAGAATTGTAATAGGCATGTTGAAATTTTCATTTCCATAAGTAAATTTTGGCTTTTCGTTGTCGTTTCCAAATATAAATACCTTGAATTTGAACCCAGAATCATTATATTTGTTGTTCCAAAAATCTACAACAGTTGGTACAAATTCCACAGCATCATATTCGAGGAGATTTTGGGGGATTTTTGCTGAAATCAAAAGATTAAAAACATCTTCCATTTGTCTCTTTTTATTTTGCATGTATCTTGTAAAATTCCAACGCGCACCCAGTTCTTTAGTAAAATATTTTCTTGCTATTTCCAATGCATAGAAGAGGCATAAGTTGTTGGGGTTATCGATTTTTATTAGGCAGGGGCTATTTATTTGTAGATTACTTGTTGCTAATATTTGCGGTGCGCGGCCTCTAATTGATTTTGTTCTTGGAAGAGAGGAGATTCCAAGTGTTTGAATTGCTATTGTGAATGGTTGCTCAATAAGAGAGCCTTTTTCTATCTTTGATTGTGAAACAAGCTGGAAACGATTAAGTATGTTGTCGATCGTATCATTTTCAATTTTTCTTATAGGAATCCATATGTCGCTGTCTAATAGCTGTGACGAAATTAATGCCCCCAGGCATTCAGGTTCTATTGATTTATTTTTTGCTTCTTCAACTGTTTTATCCATACATTGTTGTATTATTTCTCGAAGCAATTCCTCCGGATTCTCAGGTATTTTTTCTATTATAAATTTTCCAGTTGTTTTCATCATTTTAAATTTGCTGCTGTAGTCAGTTTCATAATCGATTTGTCGGTAATAATTTTTTAGGGTATTTGCACCCGCACCGCTTTGTACGTCATTGAATAAATGAGGAAGGATATCGCGGATGAGGAATCTAGCGCGCTTATTGGCAGGTGCAGTTTGTCCGTTATTAAATGCCATTTTTGATTTTTAATTTTTAATTGAAGAGAGCGTTTTGTTTTTGTTTTTGAGACAAATGGTTAAGAATGACAAAAAACCTCGCCTTTTATACTCCTCGTTTCAGGCGGATGGGTGATTACGAAATATTTTTTGTCAAGGTCACGTGATGCGGAACTGGTAAAATTTGTTCCCTCTACAACTCATAATCATCAATCTGTCAGATAAGATCTTGAGATAAAAGGAAAAAATTTTTTAATAACTTACTTTACCTTATTTCATAAAATTGAAGGTCATTTTATTAAAAAATTTTCCCGCTCAAAATTTGTCTGCCCAAAAACTCATTAATCATCAGACAGTTAGATAAGATCTTGAGATAAAGGGTAATTTTTTAATAAGTTAGCTTTTCCTTATTTCGTAACCTTCAAGGTCATTTATAAATTATCCAAACTCTGTCGGCTACAAAATTTGAGCCTCAAAAACTCATTAATCATCTATTAGATAAGATCTTGAGATGTTTCGAAATAATTGGTTGAACCCCCTTACATTCTGACTTCCGCCCTTTTTTGCAAATCATTTTTATTTTTTTGCAAAATTTTTAAATTTTATTTCTCCCTATTATTTTTATTTAATTAATATTTCTAATTTTAATTATTTTTAATTTTACCGTACCCCGGACCCCTGCCCCAGCAAATTTTCAGTCACAGACTAAAATTCCCAAACCCATATATTTCAGTCCCAGACTGAAATTCCCAGACTCAAAAATTTCAGTCCCAGATTGAAAATCTCAGACTCAAATATCTCAGCCCCAGACTCATTAATCATCAGTCAATTAGATAAGATCTTGTATGTTTCGAAATAATTGGTAACTCCCCCTTACATTCTGACTTCCGCCCTTTTTTCCAAATCATTTTAATTTTTTTATAAAATTTTGTAAATTTTATTTCTCCCAGTAATTTTTATTTTTTATTTAATATATTTTTTAATTTTTATTATTTTTAATTCTACCGTACCCCGGACCCCTGCCCCCAACATTTTTTCAGTCCCAGACTGAAATTCCAGGTTTCAGCCCCAGACTTTCAGTCTGGGATTGAAACCTTGTACAGGTATCAATCAACTTAATCACCTGTCACCCATCAATCAAACACTTGTACCTTGTACAAGTACAAGGTACAAGTACCTTGTACTTGTACGTGTCAATCAAATCTGACACACCGGGAACCTGAAAGTACCCCACACCCTTTGGTTTCCTTTGATCCCGACTTCATCCACCAAAATGTTGCACAACGTGCAACGTTTTGGTGGTACCTTGTCCCAATCAATCAAATCCTGTCACTTGTCATCATCAATCAAACACTTGTACCCATCAATCAAAACCTGTCACCTGTCTAATTAATGACCCAAACCTTTTGATTATGCCGCAAATTAATGAGGATGGGTCCGGGAAAACCCCTACACCCTTGGGTTTCCCTTTGATGTTTCAAAATTCCGCCTCCAATTTGTTGCACACCTGTGCAACAAATTGGGGGGGGGGGGGGGTAACTACTCTTATAAATAGTTATAATTAGCCTGTTTAAAAGAGCTCAAATAATTACCCCCCGCTCTATTAATTATCCCTTCAGCGAAAGTGTAAAAATGTTCGCGGCCCCCTGTTTTCTTTAAAAGGTTGAAACAATAATTACCCAGGGTAATTATTAGAGCATAAACGGTATATTTATTCAATTTATACCAGAAAATACCTATATTTTTATTTAGATATGCAGTCCACACAGAATTTAATACAGGATTAACAATTCGTCGAGATGATGGTTCATCAGAAGATTGGCTTTTATTTCGTGAACGTTCAGAACTTGACCGTATAGTTGATTGTTTACGTGAAAAATGGGATTTAAAAGTTAATTTTTGTTGTGATTTTGTGGTGGAAAAATGTAAAGAATTATATTCTTGTGGAGAAGATTTGGATTTAGATGATAATTTGAGGAAAGATTTTTTTAAAAAATTGGTTTTGGAATGCTCTCAAATGACTAATTTGTGGCGTGTAATGCCTATTGAATCTGTTGATGAGTCTAGGCATTTTTAAAATGTAAGAGATGAAGGTTATTTTTTATTTTTTTTTTCTATATAAATCAAGGGTGTTGCCAGGGGGCTTCTTCTGCTTCTTCTTCTGGCTTCTTGCCCCTCTGAAATGGGGAAAAGGAAAAATATTGTTATACCCCTAGGGTTGGGGGCCCGATCCGAAAGATCGAGTCGGGCCTCGAATTTTGGCCCGAAAAAGACTCGGTCGGGCCGGCCCGAAAAGAAAGACTCGAACGTCGGCCCGACTCGAAAACCCCAACTTTATATACCCCGTTTTATACCCCATTTTAGCACCCCCTAAAATTGACACCCTGGCTACGCCCTTGATATAAATTAGAGATCGGATTGGGAGGGTCGTAGGATGAGATATCTCGAAAAATAGCGATCGAAATTTAAAAAATTATTGAGATATGCCCTTGATTCGATCTCTAATAAAAATAATGTATGAGTATTTTTAATTTAAATTTGCCTGCCTTTGAAGAAGAAAAAAATTTTTTCCTATCATTTTTTATTGTAAAATTAAAAAATTAACATTTTTAAGGCAGAAACAACATTTGATATTTAACTATTATAAATTTTTTTTATTTTCAAAAATTGAAATTTTATTTATTTTTAAGTATTTTGGAGATGGGATTCTTTTACTTTTTTTTTAAAAAAATTATTTTTTAGAGTTTTTGCCTTAAATAAAATTTATAATTTTTCTGTTTAACAATTGTCTAAATCAATTTAAATTAAAATTTATGAGAGCTTTTGTGTGTCCTTCTATAATTAAATAAAAAAATTTTTTAATTTAATTTTTCTTTTATTTATATCTCCCGTTGCTCATTTAATCCAAGCTTAGCTGTTTCTTCACTTATCTAAATTTAAAAAGAAAAAATATATTTTTTTGTTTATTTTTTGTGAATTTTCTTATTTAAACGATAAATATTTTTTAAATTAATTTTTTTTTCATTTTTTGAATCAAATGTTTTTTAGACTTTAAATTTTACTTATTTTTATTTTTAAAGAACGTTTTCATATTTTATTTTTCTAAGAATTTATGCTTTCCAGTTCCAGACTAAAAACTGGGCGTATAATTAATTTGGCTGTCTGCACGGTTTTTAAATTTTAATTTTTAAAAATTGCTTTTGAATTTTTAGGTTAATCAATGGGCACTTGATTTTACTGGAAATAAGGAGAGAATATTGAAAAGTAATTTTTAAATTTTTTTCTTTGTTTTAGGGATACTTTAAGTGTAAGGGGCTTTTTTAATTTTCTATTTTTAAGAGGTAAGGGGGATAAGGGGCTTTTTAGATTTTTCTATTTTTTCGATTCTAAAGGGATGTTGGGTATGTGGGTTTTTTCTATTTCCATAAATTTCTTGTTTTAACTTCTGTTGATTTATGGGGGCGGATTTATTTAGAAATTTATTGAGAAATTTCGAGAGTGAAACAAGGTGGTCAATCCGGGCCGAAGAACCTAAGGTTTTTTCGATCCGGGCAGAATATCATGAAAATTTTCCAAGAACTGACAACCCTAAAATGAACTCACTTCTTTTCTAGTCTTATTTGCTTGCAAATTTGCGGATTTTTCTTTCCTTTTTAATTTTTAAAATTTTCATTTCGTTTTTTAGCCTGTCGAGATGCTTATGAGAAAGGTTCAAAAATTCGTCTTGGACCAGAATTGGAAATACCTGGATATAATTGTCTTGATCATTTTCATGAACTTGACACTGAACTACATTCGTGGGAAATTTTGAAAGAAATTGTTGATGAATCGATTAAAGTTTGGAATTTTTTGAAAATTTTTTGGAAAAATTTTTTTTGAAATTTTTTAAAGATGCCAGACCTATTAATCATCACAGGAATGCCCATTCGCTATAGATTAGGACTTTACAATTGTATGGTTTCTTTGGCAAATGGACGCCTTATTTTTGTCTATCCAAAAACTGTTTTGGCAAATGATGATATTTACAGAGAAGGAAGGTTGGGATTTTTTATGAAGATATTTTTTTACTAGAGAGGAGAGTGCTAAAATTATAAAAATTTCCTTTGCAAATAACCTTTACCAATCTTTAGCTTTTTTGGTACAAAAGAAATTTAAAAATCTAACAGTTCAGAATTTTCAGTTTTCAAGATAATCCTCTCCTCAATGGCCTTAACTATGAAAAAAATTTTCTTGCTTAATTTTTGATTAAATTTTGAGCTTCTTTCTGTCTAAAATTCTTTGTTGACTTTAGCCTTCATTTCAATATTTTTCATTTTTCAGATGGTTCGTTTCCTGGGTGCACAAAAATAAAATTGTTGATTTAAAATTAAATCCAGATTTTGGATTTTCTCAGGTTTTTTAAAGAAATATTTTTCTATAAAAATTCTTTTAAAGGAAACTGTTCCCTTCGGAAATGGCTTTATTGAATCAAAAGATGGTGTTAAAATAGGTTTTGAAATGTGTGAAGAAATGTGGACTGCACGTTCTCCAAGTAATGACTTGGCATTACAAGGAGTTGAAATTATATGTAATTCTAGTGGAAGTCATCATGTACTTGGAAAATCTTATAAAAGAATTAAACAATTAGTTTTGGGAATTACTTCGAAGGTTTTTTATTTAAATTTATTTTTGGAATTTGAGGAGAAATTGGGAAACCTTGCTTTCTTTTTAGAAAGTTCAAATGGGTCAAATCAATATGGTCATAATTCTATTTTTCTTTTTATTTGTTTAAGATTGCCGGTTCTTAGAAAATTTTTCGGATCCTAGGAACTGAACCGAAAAATTCTCTGTTGAATCGACAACCCTATTCTTGTTCATAGTATATACTAGAGATCGAGATTTTTGAAAAGCCTGGACCTGTTCCTGGGTTCAGGGTTTGCTTTATTGACCTGCGCCGGATTCTTGGCCTGTAGTCCAGGGAAAACCCAGGCCCAGGAAAACCCATGAAGAATCAAAAAATGGCTGGGCTTGGACTCTGGGTACAGGAAAAACCCAAGGTCCAGACCCAGCTCGATCTCTAATATATACTCATACTTACTCGTATGCCCTCCCTTTCATTTGTTTTTAAGTTGAAAATCATGTTCCTCCTCTCTATTATCTTTTCTTTATAATTTTTAACAAAATTTAGTTGGGAGGTGTTTATATGTATTCAAATCATCGTGGAATGGATGGTGAACGAGTCTATTTTGATGGAATGTCTTCAATTGCCCAAAATAATGATCTTTATGCACATATACCTCAATTTGATTTGGAAGATACTTGTACTAAAAATTGTTTATTAAATTTGGATAAAACGACAGTTTATCGTGGAAATATTGCTAGTACTTGTCAAGAGGTTTAAATTTAAATTTAGTTGATGTCCGCAAGTTTTGTCCGCAATTTTTGTCCGCAATTTTTTTCTAATTTTGCGAATAATTAAAAATTTGCAAAATTCTTTTTGCGGATTTTTTTTAATTTTTACGAGTCTTCGTGAGTGTCTGCGAGTTTTGTCCGCAATTATGGTTTTTAATTTTGCGGAAAAATTTGCGGACTTTTCTTCTTTTAATTTTTAATAATTTTCTAGTCAAGTCGTTCCGGAGATATGCCAATAATTAATTTTGATGCAATCCTTTTAAATTCGAATACAATAAATCAGCAACTTTCACTTCCAATCGAAGTTAAACCTTTGAGTGATGTAGAGGAACTTTGTCATGCTCCAGCTGCGTTAGTATATTTTTTTAAGGTTCTTTTAAAATTTTTAAATTTTTTAAGATGGATGTGGCATTATTTGAGGAGAAGTAAACAGGTAATTTTTTTTAATTTTGTTAATGACTTGGAAAAAGTCCGCAACTTCTGTCTGCAAAATAAAAAAATTGTCCGCAAATTTTATTTTTTGGGAAATTTTATTTTTTTTGTGGGGAAAATCTTTTTTAAATGAAAAGTCTTCAATTACGGACTCTAATCATGAAAAAATAAAAGAAGATAGTCAAAAAATCAACCCCTTGTCTTTCATCTTCGTTTTAGAGCGGCTTTTTCCTTCCTCTATCTGGTGGACAAGACAGTTCTTCCGTTGCATTAATGGTTAGATTAATGTGTGAAAAAATTTGTGAAGCTGTTAGATTAAATCCAGGTTTATTTTTATTTTTAAAGAAGGGGTCTAAAAGATTTTCTTTTAAAGATTCTAACGATCCTGCCTATTTTTTGGAAGGAAAGAAAGTTAATTCTGACCCTTCTTTGTTATGTAAACAAATACTTTTTACTTGTTATATGGGTTCGAAAAATTCTTCACAAATGACGAGAGATTTGGCTGCTGGTTTGGCTAAAGATATTAATGCAAACCATTCAAAGTATTTTTTTATTTTTAATTAAAAGCTTTATCTTGGACTTAGTGGAATTAATCAAAACCCATTTTAAATAATTGCGTGGGTGAGTAATTGTGGTGTAGTTGGTAGTGATCGCGGTTTTTAGGGTAAAACACGGTGGTTCAAGTCCGTTTGGCGGTTAATTGTTTTTTACGTAAATTTATTACCTGGATTCTTTGTTTTTATTTTTTAAACTTTAACAATAGTTTCAATAGTTTTTTTTTCCAAAAACTGGAAATTTTAAGAAAAATTTGCGAATATTTCTAGGAATTAAAGAAATAATTAAAAATTGTTATAAAATAATTGTCTCAAATATCCTTTCTAATATTTAATAAAAATAATTTTTTTTGATTTTTTGTAGCATTGTTATTGATTCAATTGTTGATAGTTGTTTACAAACACTTAATTTCACTCCACAATATGAGGTTTATTTTTAATTTATCAATTTTTTAAAAATTAAAAAAAAATTTTTTTCAAGTCCCCAGATAAAAGAGAAGGCATCGCTTTACAAAATTTACAAGCTAGAACAAGAATGTTATTGGCATATTTACATGCACAAACTGATTTAATAACACAAGGACGTTGAGTTTTTTAATTTAATTTTTTAAAATCAAATTTTTTGACTTAGGCAGGTACTGGAAATTTGCTAGTGCTTGGTGCTTCAAATGTGGATGAGAGGTTTCTTATTAAAAAGAGTTTTCTGAAAAATTAAAGAAATGAAAATAGATTAGAAAAATATGATAGAAAAAAATTAAATGGATTTAAAAATTGATTTTCTAAATGGGATGAAATGTCACCTTTTCAGAAAAAAATAAAATTTTACGATTTTTTAATTTCTTTTTTCTTGCTTTATTATCTAGCTAAAAATTATTTAATTTAAATTCGAAAAAATTATTTAATTTTTGTTTTTCCAGTTTGGTTGGGTACGTCACCAAATATGGTAAGAAAATTTTTTTTAATTTTTATTTTAAAAAATAAATTTTTAATAGATTGTTCTTCAGCAGATTTAAATCCAATAGGAGCAATTTCAAAACATGATTTGAGAAAATTTCTTCAATATGTTAATTCTACACATAAATTTGTTCATTTACAAGGGTATTTTTTGGATTTTTTGAAAAGGAGGACATTTCTTCCCATTAATTTAAAAAAATCTGAAAATTAAAAAAAATTTTTTTTAATTTTATTCAAAATTTTATTATTAAATTTATAAGAAAAAATTTTTTAATAAATTTAAAAAAAACTTTCTAAAATTGGCGAAGAGTTCCTCCTATTAAAATGAGGACAAACGGACCTTTTGGGTTAATTTCAGTCACCTGGTTCAACATAAGATTTTTTGGCTGTACAACAATTGCGGATACGCAATTGCAGACGACGATGCTTATATAAAATTTAAAAAAAGTAGGATTTTTTAAGTTTTCTGTGTGCACTAGTCTAGAAATGATTCGGAACCCATCAGAATTCGAAAACTTACAGCCGGGACTAAAAAACTTGGAAATATTTCAATAATTTTAAAAAACTTTTTAAAGGTTTTAAATTCGCAATCGTCGTCCGCAATTGTCGAATTCTACATTTAATCATTATTTTTTATAGAATTATAGATTCAGTCCCTACAGCAGAATTAAGACCTTTAAAAAACGGACAAATAGTCCAAACAGATGAAGAAGATATTGGATTAACCTACAACGAATTGTCTGAATTTGGAAAGTTGAGAAAACCAGAAAATTTGGGTCCTGTTGGAATTTTTAAAAATTTGTTGAATTTTTGGAATGAAAAATATAATAATGAACAGGTTTTTTTGAATAATTTTTTTGAAAAATAAAAGATTTTTAATAGATTGCCCAGAAGGTGGAAATATTTTTTAGACGGTATACTATTAATAGACACAAGGCAACGATTGCTACTCCAGGTTAATTTTATTTTTTTCTCAAATTTTAATTTTGTGTTGTAAACGAAAAATTGGATTTGGTCCAATTTTATTAAAACAATCCCCGCATTTAGAGAGGTCAAAAAATTCTTTCCCTATGAGAAGTTTAGCAGCTCGGAATGGAATTCTCTAAAATATGGAGAACGACATTTATTAGTTTTTTTTTGAATTTTTAATAATTTCGAATAAGTTTGGTTAAATCTTTGAATATTATTCGCCATGAAAAGTTTTTTGTTCGTTTAAAAACAAAATTTGAAAAAAAATTTTTCTAAAAATTTTCGAATTTTCAAAAAAAAATTTTTCCCAAAATTTTTAAAAATTTTCTAAAAAAATCCTTTTTTTAATTTTAGCTTATCACGCAAACACCTACAGCAATGATGACCACAGAAATGATCACAGACCATTCTTATATCCAGATTTTACTCACCAATTTAATAAAATACGTGAATTTGTTAAAGAATTAAATTTTAAAAAATAATAATTTTTTTTTAATTGAATAAATTTTTTTATTTTTAATTTTTTTCGATTTTTAATGATGTTTTTTAAAACATTTTTATTATCTTTTAATTATTATTAAAAATAATTTAAAAAAAAACTTGGATTTGTTTGATTTTTATTTAATTAATTTTTTAATTTAATTATTTTTGGGTGTGCGCCAAACTGTTTTCTTAACGCGTTAAAACGCCAAAATTAAATATTGGCGTTTTTTCACGTTATAAAAATATTTTAGCGCACAGCTAGAAATGAATAAATTTTAAATTAAATTCCGAATTTTTAGTTAATAAATAAACAAATCCAATTACTGATTTTTTAAATTTAAATTTTCTTTCAACTAATGTCACAACAATCTCGACAGTTACGAAATCAAGTAATTCAACTTTATCGCACGGTTATTTTTTTAATTTTTTTAAAATAATTTTTTTTAATGCAGTCCGACCTCATTATAGACTAAACGATACCCTCTATTTAAGATCAACCCATTATAAGGTCCACACTTCTATTTAAGATAATCCCGTTATAAGGTTTCTTTCAGACCCAGGGGTTATTTTAAAAGGGGTTTTGGAGGCGAGAGAATTTGTGAACAAATACCCTCTATTTAATTGACACCCCATTATAAGGTGCTATTATTTTCCAACCCTACAAGGGGTTATTTTTAACGAGGCCCGACTGTTTTTAATTTTTTAAAGTTAATTTTTTTAATTTTTAAAGCTCTATTTTATGGGAAAGGAATACCCAAAAGGCTCTCTCTGGTTCCATCAAAGATTAAAAAATGCATTTATTCGAAATAAAGAAATTGAAGATGAGGAGAAAATTAAAGATTTAATTAAAAGAGGGGATTATGTGGTTAAGGAATTGGAATCGTTATATCAATTGAGGAAATATAGAGCACTCAAAAGTCGTTATTATGATTGAAAAAAGGAAAGAAAAGGTTTTTTTTAATTTTTTTTTAATTTTTAGACTCCCTATAAGGGAAGAGTTGATATTTTTATGAATTTTTTTTTGGAATTTTTTTTCGTTTAAGTAAAAAATTTTTTTGTAGGATTTTGACTGAATGTCGGGGAAAAAATGAAAGACTAAGAAAAATTCGAAAAAATACTCAACTCTTCTCAATCAAGTTTGGGTAGTGCTACCCGACAATCCGGACCTTTTTTGACCCAAAAATCTGATCCGAAGGAATTTTTGAAGACCGAACCATCCTTGTTCTCAATGCCTATTTTTAGCTATTTTTTTGAATTTTTTGAAAGAATTTTTTAATAAAAAATTCGGCTCTTGTCCAGTTTATGCGTCCCATGAAAGTATATGCGTCCCATCAACAAAAAATTGAATATTTCTTGGTGTTGCAAAGTAGTCTTCATGTTCGGGATCTAGGTCCACTGGGTCTGGGACCGTTCCTTACCCTATACCTCGAAATTTCTGAAAGTTATAGCCAATTTTTAAAAATTTCAGAAAAACGATTTTAACTTTCAGAAATTCCGAGGTATAGGGTAAGTAACGGTCCCAGACCGAGTGGACGTAGATCCAGAACATGAAGAAATGCTTTGGAACCATACCCCTACTTTGCAACACCAAGAAATATCCAATTTTTTGTTGATGGGACGCATATACTTTCATGGGACGCATAAACTGGACAAGAGCCAAAAATTCTTTGAGGGAAATTTAATCTCTATTTTATTTTAGCTACTTTCATGCCAAAAAAAGAAGAGAAAATTAAAATGGCTTTTATAAATAGATAACTTGTCATTTTTAAATTAAAAAAAATTTTTTTCTCAAAATTTTTTTATTGCCAAAAAATTTTTATTTAATTTGTAAATAAATAAAATTTAAAAATTTATTTTTATATTTTTATAAAAAAATTTCTTTATTTGAATATTTTTACAATTATTTTTTTTTCAATTAAAAATTTATTTTTTAGAGAATTTAGATTTTAAAAAATAAAAATGGTTATTTGTCAAGACTGCACTAAAAATCCAGCAAAAATAAAAACTTCAAAAGATGGGCTAGTCAGATGTGTGGAATGTTTTAACCGGTGGTTTGAAGAGGTTTTATTTAGTTAAAATTAGGTTCTTTTTATAAGAATTTTTGTCACTAATTGAGAAAATGTGGAAAAATTTTAGTAAAAAATAGCTGTTTGGATAACTTGAACCTGAAAGCATCCTCCATCATAATGAAATGTACTTTAGATTGGGGAGATTTTGCCTAACAATAAGTAGCCCCCATACCTCGGCCGGGAGACACCAAGACGGGCATTTCGGGGCAGACATGGGGATGACAAAAATTGAAAAAAACTGATTTTTTGAGATTCTTTACTTGTTGTGGGATAATTTTTTTTGATTGGGATAATCTTTTTTTGATTTTAGGACGTCCACAAAACCATTATGGAAACAAAAATATTTAATTTTGGAGAGAGAATAGGAATTGGAGTATCTGGAGGAAAAGATTCGACAGTTTTAGCTGAAGTTTTAAATAAATTAAATAAAAAGTATTCTTATGGATTGGAGCTTGTACTTTTGTGTGTAGATGAAGGAATTGAAGGTTTTTTTTTATTTTTAAGAGGATAGGAGGGAGGAGGGATTTGAACTTGTTGGCCCCTTTCTCTCAACTCTACTAATTCCCCTTATAATACACCTTTTGGCAACCAAATAAATCTGAAAAAGATTATGGGGTTAAAAGCTTCCAGAAAAATTATAAAAAAATTTTTTTTTAATTTTTATACAATAATTTCTCGTTCTCAAACAAAAAATTAGCCACCGAAAGGATTCGAACCTTTCTCCTATTTCTTGTAATTTCCACTAATAGTCATTGCTTTAACCAACTAAGCTACAGGGGCAAGAATTTTCTGCCTATTTTAAGTAGAGACAGGACTGGGAGTGTCGAATGAGAATCGAGATCTCGTCTCGGTCCTGTCTCTAATTTTATGGTTCTTTCCCCCTCTCGCCAAAAAAAATTTTTTTTTTGGAAAATAAAAATTTCAAATTTCCACAGGTTATCGAGACGATTCAATAAAAGAAGTTTTAAAAACAGAAATAAATTTGTCATTACCCTTAAAAATAATTAGTTATAAACAACTTTATGGTTGGACAATGGATGAAATTGTTTCAAAAATTGGAAGAAAAAATAACTGTACTTTTTGTGGAGTTTTTCGAAGACAAGCTTTGGACAGAGCAGCTTTGATTATGAAAGTTTTAAAATTGGCTACTGGACATAATGCTGATGATGGGGCTGAAACGATTTTAATGAATATTTTGAGAGGAGATTTGGGGAGGTTACAGAGAGGGGGAAGTAATTCTAATTTGAAAAATAGTGGAGAAGATGATGATGAATTATTACCTAGAGTTAAACCGTTGAAATATTCTTTTGAGAAGGTAAGGTTGGGATGGGACGAATATGGGGATTTTGCCCAGTGGGACAATAGGAGATTTGGTAATCTTCTGCTTCATTGGTCCCTAGAAAAAATGAGAAAAAAGTGCTAGTTAGACATTTTTGAGGTCTGCCAGTAGGTAATCGAGTGTGCTGAGTTCGAATATGGGCTTAGAATTTGTTTATTTTGAACCCCGGACCCGAATTCGACCAAGTCGAATTCGAGGTAAAAATTCAAAATATTAGGCTATCGCTATTCTGACGCATCTCTTCAAGCTGAGTCGAATGATATCAAAATTATTGTGTTTCGACAACTTTAGACTGAGTTATGATCAATTAAATACACGCTTGGTTAGATTTCCGGGTATAAATCAAACACCATAACTTAGTCTAAAGATGTCGAAACGTAATAAGTTTGATACCAATCGACTCAGCTCGAAGAGACTAGTCTAATTAGACATAAAATTTAAAATTTCAAATTTTTACCTCGAATTCGACTTGGTCGAATTCGGGTCCGGGGTTCGAAATAAACAAATTCTAAGCCCATATTCGAACTCAGCACACTCGATTACCTACTGGCAGACCTCAAAAATGTCTAACTAGCACTTTTTCCTCATTTTTTTCTAGGGACCAATGAAGCAGAAGATTACCGGAGATTTTTGTTCAGTGGGACGAAATGTGCATTTAGCCCAGTGGGACGAACCGGGGGATTTTGCCCAGTGGGATGAACCGAGGATATTTGTTCAGTGGGGCGAAATGAGCGATTTAGCCCAGTGGGACGAAACGAGTTTTTATGTAAAGTGAAACCGGTACACCTCAATTGAGTCCCGACTCAATTGAGTCCCGGACCCTATAACTTATGAAGGGATGGACACTTTTTGCTACTCTTGGTACCATTGGATAGGGCATTAAATAGGCTACAATATACCAAAAAATCAAAATTCCCGACCGACTGGTAAAAAAGTTATGATCGATAAAGTGCCGAAAAATCCGATTTTTTTGAAAAAGTTAGTTTTTATATCATAACTTTTTTATCAATAGGTCAAAAATTCTGATTTTTTGATATGTTGTAGAGCTTTTGATTCTCTATCCAATGATACCAAGAACATTAAAAATTATCAACCCGTACTTGAGTTATAGGGCCGGGACTCAATTGAGCCGGGACTCAGTTGAACTGCTCCGAAGTGAAACGAATCGAGGGATTTTGCCCAGTGGGACGAATCGAAGATATTTGTTCAGTGGGACGAATCGGGGGATTTAGCCCTATGGGACGAAATGAACGATGTAGCCCTATAGGACGAATTGGGGTTTTATGTTAAGTGGGTTATGTTGCACTCCCGAATTTTTTAAAGAATTTTTTTTATTTTTCAGGACATTGTAATGTATGCCCACTTTAACAAATTAAACTATTTCTGCACAGAATGTATTTACTCCCCAAATGCTTATCGAATGAATGCACGTTCATTTATTAAAGAATTGGAAAGGATAAGGCCTCGGGCAATTTTGGATATTGTCCGGTCTGGGGAACAATTTAAATTGAGAGCTAATGTGGCTGAACAAATATTATCAAAATGTGTAAAGTGTGGGTATATAACAAGTCAAAAATATTGTAAGGCTTGTTTGCTCCTATATGGACTAAACAATGATGACCCAACTGTTGGAATTGCTAGGGTTAGTTTATTTGAAATAATATGTGCGATTTTTTACGAAATGCCAATTAGGGGGTGGCGAGACAAAACGCCTATAAGGGAGGTAGACGACACAATGCCTATAAGGAGGGTACTCGACAAAATGCCTATAAAGGGCGATCGGACATAATGCCTATAGAAAGGATAAGTGACAAAATGTCCTCGAGGCGGGAACCTCAAAATGCCTAACTGACGGGTAATCGACAAAATGCCCAACTGTCGTTACTGGACAAAATGTCCATAAGGGGTAGTTGATAAAACGCCAGTGAAAAAATCAAAATACCAGTAAGAATATACAAAAAATATTTTTAGAAGTCAAAATGGCTAGCCAAGTTAGATATGGAAACAGAACTCTCCAGATCAACAAAGACTGAAGTAGAATTCACCTTCAACAACACAACAAACAAAACCAGTGATTGTCTAACAACAAATGGGTGTAGTTGTAAAAATAATTTTAATAATAATGATTTTTAAATTTCTCTTATTGTTGACAAAAAATTCTTTTTATTAAACAAAAATATCAAAAGAATAATAAGAAAGTATTTGGGGGAGAAGCACTAAAGAAACAAAAAAATTTTTTCAAGAAAGACCTCAAAAAGAGGAAAAAAAGAAGAAAAAAGCAATGGGGAAAAGGCGTCGGGAAAAAGTCTGGAGAAATTTTTTCGTTAAAATAAAGGAGAAAAGTAGTTCATTTTAGTAAAACAACCCAAATTAGTTTTCAATCTTCATATTCAATTAATGCATGTTTGTGATCATTCTTTTTTGCTCTACCTTTTGATCTGTTAATATTCATTTGTTTCTTTTGTTCACCAAATTGGACTAGCTAAAATTAAAGGGAATTTAAGGAAATTATTATTAAAGTTTTTTAATCATGGGTAATAATTTCTTGGGAGATTTGGTAAAGTTGCCCTTCTATCAATTATATCAACCTGTTTCGAGTTGCTGAAAGTTAGGGACTCCTAGTCTTTTATTAATTATCAACCAAAAATATTTAGAAAATTTTAAAAAGGATTTTTTAAAAGACCAAGGCCTTCGAAGAACTTGAAGACCAACTAGGGTGTCAACTTTCAGTGGATGAGAGTGAGAATAAAGAACAAATCTATTAAAAAATAAATTCCCTATAATGCCCCCTACAATTAAAAAAATAAAATCACAAACTCGTTCAATCTTTTGCGACTTGCTCATTTTCACAGGTTCTTCAATCGACACAACAGGCCCAAGATCAAAAAGTTCTCTCAATACTAAATTTTTGGTTAAATGTCCATTTAAATCGCTCTAGAAATTATTTAAAAATTAAAAAAAAATTATTTAAACAAAAAAAAAACCTTCAATAATTGACAAAGTAAATCATATAATAATTTTTGATGACATTTTTGTATATCCAAAGTTTCCCGTTTATTAAAACGAATAGATAATTGTTCAAGTTTTTCATTACAAATAACATCATTAATATGTCGAAAAGTTAATTTTTGAAGTTTTTTGTCTCTTTTTGCTCGATTTTTTGAAGAATCTGCTGCTAAATTGCCGAGAATTTGTTTCAAATAGTTTTGGTTGCTGTTGAAATAAGAAAAAAATTTTTTTTTGAAAACTTGGATTTTTTTTTAAAAAGTTGGGCCTAAAATAAGTGTTAAGGATTTTACAAAATTCTTACAACACGTAAGGATTTTACAAAATTTTAAAATTATGTTTTCAAATTTATTTTCGTAATAAAGAGATTGAGTTGCTTTTCATCCCGAATGGCTCAGGTTTACATAAAAAAACGCTTTGCGGCTTACGACCAAAAATAACATTTCTAGAGTTTGTCTCTGAATTTTTAAAACTTCTGATAAGACATAGAAAACCTCTCCAAAATGACAAGTCTTGCTAACGTAAAGAATCTAAAGAATCACCATGGAAGATTGACTGTGGTTACAATCTCCTAAACCTTTGCTTAATCTAGAAGGAGTTGCTTTTTATGCAAATGAGGAATTAACGGAACATTTCCCATAAGAACAGGACCTTGGAACCGTTGGAAAAATAAACATGGATTTTTAAGAATAAAAAAATAAAATTAAAAGAAAAACCTAAATTGAAATTCATCATCAATATTTTCAACACCAATTTCATGTAAAATCATCAATGACTCTCCAGCTGAAATACGAGCCTCAACTGTTGTAGACTCCAAAAAAGAACAAATTCTCGGTTGCATTTCTCCAATTTGGGTTGAAATAAAATCAGAATCAAACTTTAAACAAATTTTTTGGAAATAATTTTTTTAATAAAAAAACCCGTTCTAAAAGTAAAGACCAAGAAGCTAAAGCAGAAGAAAAAAGAGAAGTACCACCAACACCCGCAGGTTTCATTGCTGACCAGATACTTTTAAGTGTTTGCATTGATTCCAAACGATCGTTGTGACTCTGAAAAATATTTAAAAAATAAATTTAGGAAAAGAATAAAAGGTTAAAGTAAACTAGGGGATAGGCTAAGCAGAGGCTAAGATTAGGGTGGCCCATGTAAAGCTCATGTGGAGTTCGAGCTGGTGCCTTCCTATACCAGGAGCCAGACCCTGGTGTTTTCTGAATTTCCTAGACATTCTTGATTCCTTGAACTCTAGGCTCAGGTCTTATTTTAAAAAATTTAAATAGTTTTGAATTGTATCTAAATGTTATCAGGCTGTTTAGACCGATTTTTCAAAAATAAATCCGTTCTCTGGATCAAGTCTATCATTCTAATAATATTTCCCAAAATATAAAAAATAACCTCAACACTCAAATAAACACAAAGTCCAATCGCCTGAGCACAAGAAGAACGAACAACTTCAGAAGCACTCACATCCGAACAAATTTGACGCATCAAATTAACAATCTCGCAAATATCCTCTTCAATTCCCACACCCAATTGTAAACTCAACAAAGCAGCCAACGAACATACACGCGTAGCTTCCTCAGAAGTTCTTTTTAAATTAACAAGAATAATTTCTGCAAGTGTTCCACGCCATTTTTCGACACTTTCAGGAATACAATTTTTGTTTAAGACAAGTAAAAGACTGTCAATTGCTCGAAGGCGTGTTTCTATTCTTTAAAATTTATTTTTTTTAATTAAAAAAAATTTTTGAAAATACCTTTTGTCTTGTGCATTTTCTACCAAATCGCCAAAAGAGTCAACAAGACTGGCAAAGTCGTTTTCGTTATCTTAAAATAATTAAATATATTTGAAAATAGAAGAGAAAAAGAGGAGCAAGTTTTGACCACAAAACAATCCCAAATTGAGAAAATAAAAAATAAGTGAATAAGAAAAACTTTAAAAACCCAGAAAAAAATATTAAAATTTTCAGCCAGGAATTTATGTGGCTAATTATGGAGTTAAAAGAAATTGTAAAAAAAATCAGTTTTGTGAATAGAAGGAACCTCTCAAACTAACTACTAAAAAGTGAAGGCCAAAAAGCAAGGAAATTCATGGAAAGAATCCCCAAGCAAAATGTCTGGACGTCGGGGTTTCGAAAATTTTCAGGAGTGTTTAGTTCGAAAAACGACCAAATTTTGGGTAAACCGTCCATTCAGACTGGCTAGTTAAAAAATTGTAGGGAGTGAATTTAACCATAAAACTACTCCAAATAGAGAAAATAAAAATTAAAAAATCAAACCTGAATCAGCACCTTCACCAACCACCGACGCAGAATAAACAGATTCCAAATCACTCGTATCACTCGGATCAGGACCTCCAATCGATCCACCACCTTCAAAAAATTAAAAATAAATTTTCTAAAAAATTCTCAAAAAACCTTTCCCTCCTCCAATCGCCGCTACACTTAACGGCACAGCCAAAGTAACTTTATTTGTATTTCTCTTCTTTCCCATTATTTATCAAAATATAGAAAAACTTTCAATAAAATTTCCTCTAGAAAATTGACGGCGACTTTTTCGTTTTCTTTTAAGTGGTTGACAATCAAATATTTCGACAATTTGTTGTTTATTATATTTTTTTAGATTCTCAGACATATGAAGATTGACGAGTTTTTTTTATTTTTTTAGTTTAGAGGAGCGTTTAAACGCCTCTTTTTTTTTTGCTTAAAAAATTTTTTTGAAAAATTTTAAAAAATTGAAAAAAATATTTTAATGGAGAATAAATCCATTTAATTAAAAAAATGAGAAAAAACTAAATAGAAAATCTTTTTTTTTAATTTTTTGAATAAATCAATAGACAGGTAAAATAAAGGTTGTTGTCTCCACGTAGACAAGAAGAAAGGAAAAATGCAGTCTTTTTATAAAAATTAAACTTTTTGGTTTTAGAAAATAAAAGAAAATTTCTTTGAAAGGACGGGGAGATAAAAAAAGTTTCTATAAATAGTTTACCTGTTTTAATCAGAGATCGGACCGAGACGAGATCTCGAACAAAAATTTCGTTTATCGAGAATCGAGATTTTTCGAAATATCGATTCTCATATGACCCTCCCAGTCTGGTCTAATTTTGAGTTTAAAAAATTTTCTAAAGGGATGGAGGAAATAAAAATTTTCTATAAATAGGTCTCTTAATTTTAAGCAAAGAAAAAAAATTTTTTTAGAGAGGCCCCCGTTTTAAAAGAAACAAATAAAAAGACAACCCTCCCACTAATTAGAAGCAACAACCTTATTCAAAAAAATAGCAAAAAAGGCAAGAAATAATTTTTTGGGAGATCAACGTGAGCATTTAAAGTAAATATATTTTTCTATCCTTTTAATTTCCTCCATATTTAGAAATTAATCATGATATCGCGAACGGCCATTATTATAATAAGAAGAACCGCGATTATAGTAAGAACCGCTTCTAGAAAAGTTATTGGAATGACGACTGAAAGGAGAAAAATAAATCGGAGTAAATTTATAATGACTAAAATGACCAAAAAGGATTTAAAAAGTATTTTGAAAATATTTTAAAAAATTAATTACAAAATTGAGAATTTCATCACAAAAAATTGTGAAATCAAAAGGAAGCGAAAAATAAAGTTTACTAATGTTTAAATATTTCTCAAATACTCTCATTTTTGTGAATTATTTTTTTTATTTAAATAGAACAGTCATCCGCCGAAAAAAATTGTGATGAAATCCAAAAAAATGTTTTAAAAATTAGTTAATTTTTGCTTATTTCAAAATACTTTTTAAAAATAAAATTAAAAAGTTACTCAAATGATAAAGCAAAAATTATACATGTCGGGCTAAATCACGTAACGACAAATCACGGAATGACCAAAACATTGAATATTTTAAAAAATCTGATTTTTAAAAATATTTTGATTTTTAAAATATTCCGTACTTTGGTCATTCAGTGAGTTGGTCGTTCCATGACCTGTCTGTTCCGTGATTTGGAATTCTTCGAGTAAGCCCCCACCCAAATTATTTAACAAAGAAACTTACTTAGGTCCAAGAGCATAACTAGTCAACGAATAATCCACCCTAACACGAACTCCATTTATTTTAACATCAGACATGTGCTCTCTCGCCTTAAATATTTATTAGAAAATTTTTTTGAAAAAATTTTTCCAAACCTCTGTTGCATCTCTAGTTCGCCGAAAATAGATAAAACCAAATCCCTTCGAATCCCCATAGACTCTATCATAAACAATTTGCACACTTTCCACTGGCCCAAAATATTCAAAAATACGTCGGAGATCAGCTTCTGTTGTATTCTGAATGGAAAAAGTAAGTCTCAAGTCCTCTTTAAAATTCAAAAAAAACCTTAGTCATTCCAAATACTCCAAGACAACTGGAAACTGAAGGGTTATCACGTCCATCATTATGGCGAAAGCGTCCACCGTAGTTGGAGGAACGCGAGTAATGGCGGTCATTGGACGAACGCGAGTAATGCTCACGAGAACGACTGAATTTTTGTCCTAATTAGTTTTAATGTGAAAATACCTTCGGCTCCGGTATCTACGAGCTTGACTAGGCGATTTATGATAATGACGAGGCGGAGATCGAATAATACCCTCCTCACTTAAATTTAAAAATATAAGAAAAGTAAATTTAAAAATAAACCCATAAGTTTCTGTAGAAGAATTACGATGGCGCCTTTCTTCCTCTGGAGTGTAATCCTAAAAGGAGAGAAAAAATTATTTTTGATAATTCAGAATTATGAAAAATACCCTTGATCGTCTTTTGTAGGAATTAGACATTTCAAGAAAGATTTTCCTGAAGAGATTTCGTAAATAATTTTTTGGTATGAAAAAAAGGTATTCAAAATTTAAGTTAAAAAATTTTTTAAATACAAGAAAATAACCATAAATATTTTTATTAACAATAAATTACAAAACCATAATATTACAACAATTTAATATACCTATAGGGGAAAAAGAAAAAGGGAACACAGAACAATCAAAATTACATTTTTAGAAAAAAAATATTTTTAAGGAAAGGGGAGATCAAAAGGGGAGATCGAAACAAAAATTAACCTAGAATAAATATTTTCTCCAATTTTCTTTCTTTATCCAAACACTTCTACTATTTCTTATTACGAGCGTCGATCTGGAAAAGACGCGAACAAACTTCAACAGCTACAAGCTCTCCATTATTTGATTTGATAAAATGGAAAAGCAATACACCATCATATCCAAGTACACGGTTCACAAAATCGGCAACCGTTTTGCGATCTGAAACATTTATTTTTCACAAATGTGTCATTTTATGAAAATATTAAAAAGTGGACATTTTGTCCCAACGTTTGAAAAAAAATTTTCGAATAAAAAACTAACCAGTATTGAGACTCTTATTCTTGTTAGCATTAGAAACGGCAGTACTAGTAGTAGGGACAGCAATCACGCCAAAAAGCTCATCACAACGATCAACCAACCTCAGATAGTTGCTCACCGTTTGGATTCGCTTGCAGCAAAAAATTCCATAAAGGAATGAATAAGCATTGATCAAAGTCAGCACGAAGAGAAAGATGAACCAGAAAAAGAGTATCAGGAAAATCTTAAAAATTGAATCAATAAAAAAAATTTTCCCAACCTTCTCATTGATGACGTTGAAGCCAAGTGTGCATCTCGCCTCCTGGACAAAATTTCCAGAACTACTTCCAAGAAAATCACGGCCAAAAGAGCAATAAGCAACACGAGGGAAATAACCAAATTTATCCCAGTAGAGAGAATTGCCTGCAATCATTTCTTCCGCAAACTAAATTTAAAGAAAGCTACTCCAATTTAAAAAATTTTCAGACCTTAATTCCCCAAAAAAGATCTTGCTTTCCACAGAATGCAGCGAGGAAAATAATTTGGCTAACGATCACCACAATATTCAAACACTTGAAGGTATAGTAGAATGTGACTGCACCTAACCCAATACCATGAAAGCCGCGATGTTTGGCAACCTATAAGAAATTTTTTTAAACGTTCAGACGATAGAAAATTTTAAAAAACCTGATAGATTTGCTTCGCCGCCCTGTCCAAATGTACTGTGCGATTAGCTGCTTCATCTGTACGCGCCTTCGCACAAAGCGAATTGATATGCGAGAAGTCAACATCTAAAAAAATAAGCATTTTAGAAGAAATAGAAGTAATAGAACAAACCAGTAGACCAACTCTGGCAGAAATCCCAAAACAGATAAGGCAAGTACATAGCAACTGCTTGAAGGACGAGCACAAAAGGCACCCATTGATAATAGCCCACAAAGACCTTCTCCATCACACCATCAGCATCATAGTTTTTGACATAGGTGCCAGTGACAAAGCAGTATTGATGAACAAAATTGGACCAAATCTCTAAAATTATTTATGGGGAGGTCAGTGAAGTTCATCAATTACAAGAGGTTCAAAACCTGTAAACTCCGCCGGTACCATACAATTAATTGGTTTCCCAAAAGTGTCGATGGTTGTCAGCAAAGCAAAAACGAACAGAAGCGTAGAAGTAGCCTTGTAGCAAAGGCGATCCACAAAATCGTCCAGTTGAACCTTGACAGGACTTGAAAGAAAAGAATAAGATTAACAAACAAAAACAGGATTACCCAACAATTTTGACGGCAGTTTCGACAATTGTATTCATGATAAACACTAAAATCTAGAAGAGAATAAGAAAAATTTAGGGAGTGAATAACTAAGAACAAACAACAAACGAAAAACAAATAAAGCTTTTATACTAAAAATTTTAAATTGAAAAAATTTCCGCGTAAAAATCACAACGCCAAAATTTTTACTATAAAAGCAGCAACTTTTTGGTGCTACAAATTTTTATCAGTTCAAGATGCGATACATTGATGATTAGAGATCGGTAAAATCGCGTTTTGCAGGATCCTGTATCAGGATTGGGTTTTAAAATTTCGAACAGGACAGGATCCTGCAGGATTAATCCTGCAAATCCTGGTAATCCTGAAAACTGAAAAAGAGGCAGGATTTCGGACAGGATCCTGAAAAATCCTGTGCAGGATCCTGTCCTGTGTCGATCTCTAATAATGTTTATTGTGAACAATTTTAGGAATGAATTTCAAAAGTTTATGGTTTATTATTCTAAATCTATTGTTAAACGTCATTGTTGTTGTTACTTTTACAAATTCACCTCAATGGGTTATGCAGGTGAGAGAAAATGCTTACTTTAATAAACTAAAAAAAACTTTTTGTAGCGCAAAAGTGATCGTTACAAATTTAATGAACGATGTATGAATAGACAAAAGGATGAGCTAGAACGTTTTGGAGTACAACCTTTGCGTGCTGTTGTTGCAGTTAAGAATAGTTCACTTTGGCTGCGCTGTTTTGAATGGTTTGTGGAAGGATTTTTTAGATAAGTATTCACTTTTTATCTTTTTAGTCTTCATCCAGACGATGCTGATGAATTAGAAGATAAATGGAAACCAAGTCCTTCGGTTTATTTGTTTTGAAAGATTTGAAAAAATTTTGTTTTTAGGCTATTGGGCGCAGAATACAGTCAGTGCTTAAATTCATTAAGGAGGTTGTTTTATTTTGATTCATCCCTTAAGACACCTCTAAATTTAGAAAATAGCTCAAGCGCGAAAACACAAAAGAAGACCAACAGTTATCGATGAATTGGCTAAATATTACTGGCAAAAAAGTGTTGAATTCAATAGAACTCGAATATGGAAAAAAGCATCTCAAACGTTTGACGACAAAGGGAGAGGCTTACAAGAGGAAGTAATGAATTTTATTGACAGGTTTTTAATTAAATTTCCAAGAAAATTTTCAATTTTTAAAGAATTTTTGCCAAAGACAAGGATAAGGAGGAGCGAGTAATGGCGGTCATTGGACGAACGCGAGTAATGGCGGTCATGAGAACGACTGAATTTTTGTCTTTATTGGTTTTAATGTGAAAATACCTTCGGCTCCGGTATCTACGAGATTGACTAGGCGATTTATGATAATGACGAGGCGGCGATCGAATAATACCCTCCTCACTTAAATTAAAAAAATAAAAACTAATTTTAAAAATAAACCCGTAAGTCTCAGTAGAAGAATTACGATGACGCCTGTCTTCCTCAGGAGTGTAATCCTAAAAAAAAAGAGAAAAATTATTTTTGATAATTCAGAATTATGAAAATACCCTTGATCGTCTTTTGTAGGACATTTCAAAAAAGATTTTCCTGAAGAGATTTCCTAAATATTTTTTAATCAGAGAATATTTTTTAATCAGAGATTTTAATCAGAGATCGGACCGAGACGAGATCTCGAACAAAAATCTAGCCTATCGAGAATCGAGATTTTTCGAGATATCGATTTTCATATGACCCTCCCAGTCTGGTCTAGTTTGAAGTTAAAAAATTTTCCTAAAGGGAGGGAGGAAATAAAAATTTTCTATAAATAGGTCTTTTAGATTTAAGAAAAAAAAAATTTTTTTTTAGAGGGTTTGGTCCAGCATAATTTTTATAGAAGAATCGGTTTCAAAAAAATTTTTTTAGAAAGGCTCCCCCGCTTTGAAAGGAACAAATAAAAAGACAACCCTCCCACTAATTAGAAGCAACAACCTTTTACAATAAATAGACAGCAAAAAAGGCAAGAAATAATTTTTTGGGAGATCAACGTGAGCATTTAAAGTAAATATATTTTTCTATCCTTTTAATTTCCTCCATATTTAGAAATTAATCATGATATCGCGAACGGCCATTATTATAATAAGAAGAACCGCGATTATAGTAAGAACCGCTTCTAGAAAAGTTATTGGAATGACGACTGAAAGGAGAAAAATAAATCGGAGTAAATTTATAATGACTAAAATGACCAAAAAGGATTTAAAAAGTATTTTGAAAATATTTTAAAAAATTAATTACAAAATTGAGAATTTCATCACAAAAAATTGTGAAATCAAAAGGAAGCGAAAAATAAAGTTTACTAATGTTTAAATATTTCTCAAATACTCTCATTTTTGTGAATTATTTTTTTTATTTAAATAGAACAGTCATCCGCCGAAAAAAATTGTGATGAAATCCAAAAAAATGTTTTAAAAATTAGTTAATTTTTGCTTATTTCAAAATACTTTTTAAAAATAAAATTAAAAAGTTACTCAAATGATAAAGCAAAAATTATACATGTCGGGCTAAATCACGTAACGACAAATCACGGAATGACCAAAACATTGAATATTTTAAAAAATCTGATTTTTAAAAATATTTTGATTTTTAAAATATTCCGTACTTTGGTCATTCAGTGAGTTGGTCGTTCCATGACCTGTCTGTTCCGTGATTTGGAATTCTTCGAGTAAGCCCCCACCCAAATTATTTAACAAAGAAACTTACTTAGGTCCAAGAGCATAACTAGTCAACGAATAATCCACCCTAACACGAACTCCATTTATTTTAACATCAGACATGTGCTCTCTCGCCTTAAATATTTATTAGAAAATTTTTTTGAAAAAATTTTTCCAAACCTCTGTTGCATCTCTAGTTCGCCGAAAATAGATAAAACCAAATCCCTTCGAATCCCCATAGACTCTATCATAAACAATTTGCACACTTTCCACTGGCCCAAAATATTCAAAAATACGTCGGAGATCAGCTTCTGTTGTATTCTGAATGGAAAAAGTAAGTCTCAAGTCCTCTTTAAAATTCAAAAAAAACCTTAGTCATTCCAAATACTCCAAGACAACTGGAAACTGAAGGGTTATCACGTCCATCATTATGGCGAAAGCGTCCACCGTAGTTGGAGGAACGCGAGTAATGGCGGTCATTGGACGAACGCGAGTAATGGCGGTCATGAGAACGACTGAATTTTTGTCTTTATTGGTTTTAATGTGAAAATACCTTCGGCTCCGGTATCTACGAGATTGACTAGGCGATTTATGATAATGACGAGGCGGCGATCGAATAATACCCTCCTCACTTAAATTAAAAAAATAAAAACTAATTTTAAAAATAAACCCGTAAGTCTCAGTAGAAGAATTACGATGACGCCTGTCTTCCTCAGGAGTGTAATCCTAAAAAAAAAGAGAAAAATTATTTTTGATAATTCAGAATTATGAAAATACCCTTGATCGTCTTTTGTAGGACATTTCAAAAAAGATTTTCCTGAAGAGATTTCCTAAATAATTTTTCAGATGGTAAAAAAGGTATTCGAAATTTAAGTTAAAAAATTTTTAAAATACAAGAAAATAACCACAAATATTTTTATTAACAATAAATTACAGAACCATAATATTACAACAAGTTATTTAATATACCTATAGGAGGGAAAAAGAAAAGGGGACACAGAACAATCAAAATGAATTTTTAGAAAACAAATAATATTTTTAAGGAAAGGGGATATCAAAAGGGGAGATCGAGACAACAAATAACCTATAATATTTTTCTCAAATTTTCTTTTTTTTTATCCAAACACTTCTACTATTTCTTATTACGAGCGTCGATCTGGAAAAGACGCGAACAAACTTCAACAGCTACAAGCTCTCCATTATTTGATTTGATAAAATGGAGAAGCAATACACCATCATATCCAAGTACACGGTTCACAAAATCGGCAACCGTTTTGCGATCTGAAAAATTTATTTTTTCACAAATGTGCCATTTTATGAAAATATTAAAAAGTGGACATTTTGTCCCATCGTTTAAAAAAATATTTTTTTAAATAAAAACTAACCAGTATTGAGACTCTTATTCTTGTTTGCATTAGAAACGGCAGTACTAGTAGTAGGAACAGCAATCACGCCAAAAAGCTCATCACATCGATCAACCAAACTCAGATAGTTGCGCACATTTTGGATTCGATTGCAGCAAACAATTCCATAAAAGAATGAACAAATATTGAGGAAAGTCAGGACGTAAAGAAATAAGAACCAGAAATAGAGTATCAGGAAAATCTAAAAATTGAAGCTCTAAAAAATTATTTTCCGAAAAAAACCTTCTCATTGATGACGTTGAAGCCAAGTGTGCATCTCGCCTCCTGGACAAAATTTCCAGAACTACTTCCAAGAAAATCACGGCCAAAAGAGCAATAGGCAACACGAGGGAAATAACCAAATTTATCCCAGTAGAGAGAATTGCCTGCAACCATTTCTTCCGCAAACTGAATAGAAAAAGTCTACATGAATTTAAAAAAATATTTTCAGACCTTAATTCCCCAAAGAAGATCGTTCTTTCCACAAAATGCAGCGAGGAAAATACCTTGGCTAAAGATCACCACCATATTCAAAAGCTTGAAGGCCCAGTAGAGGAATAATGCACCTGATCCAATGCCATGAAAACCGCGATGTTTAGCAACCTATAAAAATTTTTTAAATGTTTAGACGGCTTAAAATTTTAAAAGACCTGATAGATTTGCTTTGCCGCCTTGTCCAAATGCACTGTGCGGTTAGCTGCTTCATCTGTACGCGCCTTTGCACAAAGCGAATTGATATGCGAGAAGTCAACATCTGAAAAAATAAGCGTTTAAAAAAGAAAAGAAAAAATATAACAAACCAGTAGACCAACTCTGGCAGAAATCCCAAAACAGATAAGGCAAGTACATAGCAACTGCTTGAAGGACGAGCACAAAGGGCACCCATTGATAATAGCCCACAAAGACCTTCTCCATCACGCCGTCAGCATCATAGTTTTTGACATAGGTGCCAGTGACAAAGCAGTATTGATGAACAAAATTGGACCAAATCTCTGAAATGGGAAGGTCAGAAAAGTTCATCAATCATGGGAAGGTTCAAAACCTGTAAACTCCGCCGGTACCATACAATTAATTGGTTTCCCAAAAGTGTCGATGGTTGTCAACAAAGCAAAAACGAACAGAAGCGTAGAAGTAGCCTTGTAGCAAAGGCGATCCACAAAATCGTCCAGTTGAACCTTGACAGGACTTGAAAGAAAAGAATAAGATTAACAAACAAAAACAGGATTACCCAACAATTTTGACGGCAGTTTCGACAATTGTATTCATGATAAACACTAAAATCTAGAAGAGAATAAGAAAAATTTAGGGAGTGAATAACTAAGAACAAACAACAAACGAAAAACAAATAAAGCTTTTATACTAAAAATTTTAAATTGAAAAAATTTCCGCGTAAAAATCACAACGCCAAAATTTTTACTATAAAAGCAGCAACTTTTTGGTGCTACAAATTTTTATCAGTTTAAGCTATGATACATTGATAACATTTATTGTGAATAATTTTAGGAATGAATTTCAAAAGTTTTTCTTTTATTATTCTAAATCTATTGTTAAACGTCATTATTGTTGTTACTTTTACAAATTCACCTCAATGGGTTATGCAGGTGAAAGAAGAGATAAATACTTTAATAAAACCTCTTAAAATTTTTGTAGCGCAAAAGTGATCGTTACAAATTTAATGAACGATGTATGAATAGACAAAAGGATGAGCTAGAACGTTTTGGAGTACAACCTTTGCGTGCTGTTGTTGCAGTTAAGAATAGTTCACTTTGGCTGCGCTGTTTTGAATGGTTTGTGGAAGGATTTTTTAGATAAGTATTCACTTTTTATCTTTTTAGTCTTCATCCAGACGATGCTGATGAATTAGAAGATAAATGGAAACCAAGTCCTTCGGTTTATTTGTTTTGAAAGATTTGAAAAAATTTTGTTTTTAGGCTATTGGGCGCAGAATACAGTCAGTGCTTAAATTCATTAAGGAGGTTGTTTTATTTTGATTCATCCCTTAAGACACCTCTAAATTTAGAAAATAGCTCAAGCGCGAAAACACAAAAGAAGACCAACAGTTATCGATGAATTGGCTAAATATTACTGGCAAAAAAGTGTTGAATTCAATAGAACTCGAATATGGAAAAAAGCATCTCAAACGTTTGACGACAAAGGGAGAGGCTTACAAGAGGAAGTAATGAATTTTATTGACAGGTTTTTAATTAAATTTCCAAGAAAATTTTCAATTTTTAAAGAATTTTTGCCAAAGACAAGGATAAGGAGGCCAAGAAAGGACAACTCCGAAATATGTTTTTGGGTGACCATTATGAATTGGAACTTCGGAAATTAACTGCAGAAGATCATTCAGGATGGTATCGTTGTGTTGGCGAACGCAAAAAGAAAGTCGATGAAGGGAAGGGAAAAGTTACAACGATTACAACAACAAAGAAGACATCAAAAATCAAACAAGTTAAAACTACAAAAACTCCAAAGACAAAAAAACCTGTGAAGACAAAAAAGCCTGCAGTCAAAGCAACAAATAAACCAAAAGTCAAAAGAGCTGTTAGATCAAAACCAAAAGTCAAAACAACAAAAAACTTAAAAAGCAAAACAACAAAAAAGCCAAAAATCAAAGCAACTTCAACTAAAACCAAAACAACTAAAAAACCAAAAAACACCTACTTGGACATTGCCCAAATTCAATTTGTTGATGTTATTCCAACAATGAAGATTAGAATGGTATAAATTTAATATTTAAAAATAAATTTGAAAAAAGTTAGCTCCAGCCCTAGAGGTCAACTTTATAGAGGTCATCTGACTCTGGAGGTCGACTCTAAATATTTGGTCGGATAAAGGACTCAAGGTCAAGAACACATTGGACTGCTCCCTTTTGCCTTATCTGACAGTTACACGAGAGAATTTCCGTCTTCTGTCCCTTAATTCTCGCAAATCCTTCTTAATCCGCCTAAAATTCTTTATCCGCCCAAATATTTGGAGTTGGCCTTCGGGGTAATTTGACCACTAGGGAGTTGACCTCTAGGGTTTATACCAGAAATTCTTGTAAATTTAAGGTTCATGTTGAAAACTCTGAATTTTCTTGTGCAAATAAATCCGTCATATTGTGGAATTGTGATCAATCACCTCCTCTAAAAGAATCTGAAGCTCAACGAAAATTTAAAAATTTTTCTCTTTCTGCCGATTTAATTAAACTTTTGGAGGTTTATGGTCGCGCAACAGAATGGAGCCAATGCAATAAATGTGGAAGTACTCGTTTTGGAGAAACTAGACGTACTGTGCAATGTTATATAAGGGTTAGTTTTTGCTTATTTATGTTGGTGAATGCAGGGTTTTCATTCCTGGGTTGTAGTCTCAGTTATATTTGATTGCAGTCTCCGTTATAATTAATCTTCCTCAAAAATATTTTGTTTGAACTTTTTTCTGGGTATTGTCTGTACGAGTGATGTTACGATCTGGGAAAAAGTTTGGCGGGGTTTTAAAATTTCGAATCGGGGTTTGGGTCGAAAAGGATATTTTGGGTATCGGGTTTTGGGCAGAGGTGGGTCGGAACAATCTGAGGTGTCGGAAATCAGAAGAGCCGGAAAAGGAACTGGCTCAAAAGTAATCGGAAATCAACTTTTTTCGGAAAACGGAAGGAAAAAAACGTCGGAAATCGCAAAGTCGACCCACCTCTGGTTTCGAGGGACACGTGACATTTCTTTATTCTTTCCTTTTTCCCACGCTGCTTTCCTCGTGTTTACTATTTTGCGCATAACTTTTTAAGCTTAAATTTTATTTCAGAGAAAACCAATTTCTCAAGTTCCCGATTTTTCTAATTATACCAAAAAAGAACTAGATGTTTTTATTTTGTTTGGTGAACTTCCATGTTTGAGTTCTTTAGTTCCTTCAAAAGTTTTTAATGCAATAAAAAATCTGGATCTGACTATTGTTGAAGAATATACAGAATGCAGAGTATTTTTTAAATTTAAATAATAATTTTAAAATTAATTTTTTTTATAGATTTCTTGCAAAGACTCGGGAATAAATAATAAAGTGGCTAGAAATGTAACTTTAGAAGAAGAGGGAAAGATAGAAGTTGTTGATGTACTTGAACCTGGAGAATTTACTGCAGACGAAAGATTGCCTCCTTTGGCACCGCCAATTATTCGACGAACAATTTTTGTATGTGAATTTTTTAAATTTTTAATTTGAAGAATAGAGGGGAAAGCACAACCCCATCTTTCTATTCGATGGATGGGGTTGTGTAATTAAGCCGTTGTTTTAAGATTTTTCTGAAAAAGGTTTTTTACCTTCTGTTTCTTGTAAAAGACGAAGAAGATCATTGACTAGCCTGGCTAGTATGATCCAATTATTTTGCCATTTTGGTACAAAGCAGGCATTGCTGTAGAAGCACCACTGTATATCTCGAAACACAATAGATGTTCTGTTTTTAAAACAAATTTTTTCGGACTTATTTAGTTTTAAGAACACTTTCCTCTTTTTTCAAACAAATTTCCCTCACTTTTTTCTTTATAAAATAATCTACTAATTGTCTTTCTGACATTTAATAAATTTAAAAATTAATTTTTTTAGGCAACAGAAAGTCAAATACTTTTACTTGATTGTTCCAACCAAGATGGGCATTCTTTAATTTGGCGCAAAAATTTGGAAGAATTAAACAACAGCCACATTTTTGCTACCAATGAAACAAAACGTGTGCAGCTAACATCCCATGGCGAATTGATTATTCATAACATTATGGCTAAGGATGGTGGATATTACTCGTTAGTTTTTTTTATTTAATTTTTATTTTAAAATGGATAGTCGTCGATGGAACATTTGGACCTTCTACCCCTCCCTTTATTTTTTTAAAAATGGAAAGGTGTAGTATCCTCTGACATACCTAACAGGGGTGTGCCAGTTTTGCATTTCGCGGATTTTCGCGTTTTTGGACTCGAATTTCGCGTTTCGCTTTTTAAAATCCGTTTCGGCACACCCATGATATCTAACTTATTTTTAAGCGATTTGGTGCTCCAAATGCTATCCTTTCTTTAACTTACTTCGGAATTGTTTACCTTCGGTTATTGACCTGTACCTCGGTTTTCGGTTAATCCAAAATTTAAGGCAGTTTTCAATTCGAATTTTAATTATAGTACAATTTTAAAAAATTCACTCATTTTCAAAATTTTCGGTTTTCGATCGTGAACAATTTTATTTTACATATATTTTTAATTTTTAAACAATTTTTCAGTTGCATAGGCTTTCCAAGTGGTCACATTCTTCGCACTTTCCGCATAATTTATATAGCTGGTGATAAAACAAAAGATTTTATTGAAAAAGTTACAATTGTTTTTCGGGTTATTCTATTCTTTTATTTATTAATTTTAATGATAGATTTACTTAGTAGGCATGCACCAAATGTTTGATGTTTTTAGAGGAGAGCAGTTCATCTTTTTTGGGTTGAGATTTTTAAGAGGGGATCCCCTCTAAATTATTTGAAACCTCGTGTTTGCCATTAAATTTTGTTTAGTGATCGGCCTGGATCTGGATACAGTCAAAATATGGCCATTTTTCAGTTTCCTTGATTTTTCCTTGAGTCAAAGTCAAGAATACACGCCACTACAACATTGTCAGGACAATACTCGGTCCAGACAAAACTCGGTCATCCCAAACCCCCCAAATCTATTAACCCCAAATCTATTTAAATTCTAATTTAATTTAAACATACCCCGTCGAATTGAGTCTTCAACAGCTTGATCTCCGCCGCCTGAAAAATAAATAAATTTAAAAGCTAAATAATACATTTTCCGCCACTGATGATGGCACATTGTCATACACTTTGTCTTGCTTCTCCATTTAGGTTTTTAAATTCTAAAAAATCAAAAAAACTTCAGTCGGCTCGTATAAGCCGATTTTAGATGGGCACTTTAGAGTTTAGATGGGCACCTAAATGGAGACTTTAGCTTATAGCGTTGTTGGGAATTAATGCGAAAGTACCGCTCATCTACTTTACAAAACTATTTATAGTTGGACACCGAAAATGGTCGGCTCAATCGTCGTGTTGATAAGATCGAGGCGAAGGTAAACCGCTATCACCCTGATTTTCCAGGGAAGAACAAAACTTCGCCTAAAAAAGCTTCGCCGAAAAAGAAATAAGAAGTGAAGGAAGAATTTAAATACAACAATGACGTAAAGAAAAAAAATTATTTAATTACATCGAATAAATTGTCATTGTTTTTGTATTTTTAGGTTTACTAAAAAAGCTTTAAGCTTCTAGATTAAGATAAGAAAATCGACGTAATTTCAACATACTTCTTAAAATGTGAACTTGAATTGAGAAATGGGAATTTTAAAGGAAAGGCTCCTTAAATCTAAATTAAAGTTCTCAAAATATTAGAAGGGGGAATATCTAAACTAGAGTTAAATAAGAAACCTAAAAATACAAAAACAATGACAATTTATTCGATGTAATTAAATAATTTTTTTTCTTTACGTCATTGTTGTATTTAAATTCTTCCTTCACTTCTTATTTATTTTTCGGCGAAGCTTTGCCAGGCGAAGTTTTGTTCTTCCCTGGAAAATCAGGGTGATAGCGGTTTACCTTCGCCTCGATCTTATCAACACGACGATTGAGCCGACCATTTTCGGTGTCCAACTATAAATAGTTTTGTAAAGTAGATGAGCGGTACTTTCGCATTAATTCCCAACAACGCTATAAGCTAAAGTGCCCATCTAAAATCGGCTTATACGAGCCGACTGAAGTTTTTTTGATTTTTTAGAATTTAAAAACCTAAATGGAGAAGCAAGACAAAGTGTATGACAATGTGCCATCATCAGTGGCTGGAAATGTATTATTTAGCTTTTAAATTTATTTATTTTTCAGGCTGCGGAGATCAAGCTCTTGAAGACTCAATTCGACGGGGTATGTTTAAATTAAACTAGATTTTTAATAGATTTGGGGTGTTTGGGATGACCGAGTTTTGTCTGGACAGAGTATTGTCCTGACAATGTTGCAGTGGCGTGGAAGGTATTCTAACAACGTGGGAGGTATTCCAACCACAGGGTAGTGATGGTCGGGATTCCCGGTCTCGGTTCCCGAGTCGGGAAATTTCCCGGGTTTTTTGAGCTCTCGGTCTCGGTCTCGGTGTTTTAGTCTCGGAAAACGAGACTAAATTTACACCCCTAATGATGGAAATTTTTTGAATTTTACTCGTACCTCGCGTACTTTAACATTTATTTTTTAAGGAAAAGGGAAAGAGATATTTATATTTTTTTTCAGAATTTATTTTATTGGTCGATGGTTGAGTGGTTAGTGTGTCCAACTTCAATCACTTAATTATTTTGTTAGGTCTGGGTTCGAATCCATGTGTGGAATTGGGGGTGGAAAATTTTATCTTTTCAAAAATAAATGTTTTTAAACGTTGATTTTCATTTAAAATTTTTAAATTTATTTTTTTCCTTATTATAAACTTTAAAAAACAATAAAAATTTTAATTTAGTCAAGATTTTTGTCTTAAGGATCGTCCAAAATTTTCAAAATTTTCGCCTGCGGCGCGAAAAATGGAAGAAATCTGGCTTAAGGGCCTCCAAAATTTTCAAAATTTTCGCCTCCGGCGCTGGAAAAAGTAATAAATCTGTCCATTGTCCTTCCAAAATGCTCGAAATTTTCGCATACGGCGCAAAAAACGTCGCAAGAAATTTTTTATTTATTTTATTTATATAAAAAATCATCCAACAAAGGGGGAATCCTCTTACATGTTGGTAGCAAATAAAAAAAGAGACTTGTTCATGCCATCGAGGGTATATCAAGTGGTATCCCTCCCAATCTCTTGGTCTCGACTCTCGGTCTCGACTCTCGGTCTCGGGTCGGGACTCGGTCTCGGGGTCGATTCCCGGTCTCGGTCTCGACTCTCGACTCTCGGGTTTTTTTAACTCCCGACCATCACTACCACAGGGTAGGTATAATGAATGACAACTTGGATGTCTAAAATTTATTCAAAAATGGGGGATGTTGTTCCCCATAGTTGGAACTACTTTCTCCGTAGTTTGAACCTTCCGGAACTTTGGAAGACAAGGTTAAGAAGACACCGTCACCAACAAAGAAGTAATCTAAATCTAGACCTTGTTTTCTGTGGATCTAGACCTTGTTTTTTACTGGATTCAGAGTTAAGCTCAAGGCATTTTTTGATTTTCTCGATTTTTCCGTAATTCAAGGTTAGAAATCTGGTCAAGGTCCTCAACCAAAATCAAGAATCAAGGTCAAAAGTTTTTTTTTTAATTTCGATCTCTATTCATGTATTCCTTATTGTTAGGTGAACTGCTTTGCCTTTTCTTTAAATTCCCGATGTTTATTATTGCTTTTTATTTCATTATTTGAATTTTTTGCCTCATTATTTAATTTATTAGAGTATTATTTTTTTTTAATAAATTATTTTAAAAAATTTTCTTTGCATTTTTTCAAAATTATTTGAATTTTATCAATATTTTTAAATAATTTATATTAATTATTTTTAGAATTATGAAAGTGCCAATAAAAATCTTTTACAGCGTCTAGACAGGAAATCTAACCTTGAGAGTGAAATATAACTAAATTATAAGAGACGATAGACAGTCAACTTGTTAATATTTTTTCTTTGTGCCGGTGATTGTGAAAATTTTGTATTTTACTTAACTTATTCAATTAAGGTTTTTTTAAAAAGTTAAAATTTGTAGTTAAGATTTGGATTTCCTTTTTCTGTTAAATTTCCTGTTAAATTTGATTTTAATTTTCAGATTTTCAAATTTATCAAAATGGATTATTTTTACAAATTCAAAATTTTAATTATTTCTATACTTTTGCCTTTTATGCTGTCTTCAGGTGTTGAGCCAAATGTCAATAAAAAAATAGAGGCTGAAATTAGAAAAAAGTTTTTGGAACATAAGGTTTTTTAAAGTTATTTTGGAGGGGTTTTGTTAGGCTAATTTTTTTAAACTTGGTCAGCTTAAAATTAATTTTTAATATAAGAAAAAAGAGTAAGGAAGAGATTTTAGCGAGTAATATCCCATCCTTAAGGATTAATATCCCACCCTTGTACATCCACCCTTAAGGTCGCTAGACCACCTATACGTGGTGAGCGAAAGCGCATAGAAATAACTGCCGGGAGGAAGCAGGATCGATGCCTTTCTGGTTTAAACCTTTTAGTGCTTTGATCTTACTCTTATTAAAATTTGTCAAACCAAAAATTTTTTCAATTTTCAGCAATTTGTGCACCCACCAATGAAAAATAGTGAATTATTATGTAGATGTAATCACGATGGTTGTAGTCGTGAAATTACTGATATTGCTGGATCTAAATATGAAGGAATATGTAGAGCACATACTGGAGGACAATGCAGAAGAATGGTCCATTTGGGAAAAGATAAGAAAATTAAAGAAGTTGTGCTTTCGTATGTTTTTTAAAAAAATTTTTTTGGAAATTATTTTTAAATTTTTAGTTGTATGCACGCTGACCAGTTAGTACCTAAAGAACGTCCTTTTGTCTGCCAAAGTGTTAATACATCACAGCTTATTCAAATAGTAAAATGCTGTAGAGATGGTTCTTTTTGCAATGATAAAAAGGTTTTTTGAAGTTTCTTGGAAATATTTTAATATAAATTTTTTGGAAATTTTGTTTTCTGGGAGACCTTGTTTCTCATTTATTTAGTAAGGGAAAATATTCTATTTTAAAGCCATAGGCTTGAAAATTTAAAAACTCATGTCAGCTAGAGACAGTTTGAAAAATGCTCATAATTTACTTACAAATAAAGGAAATTCGTTTTTCAAAGATTTTAGTGTTGAAACATTTTTAAAAAATTTCTAAAAGAATTTAAATTATTTCGGATAATAAAATCTTTAGACATATTAATTATTTCTTAAAAATACTTCTTTAATTCCAAAAGCTCTTTAGTGTAACGTTCACCTATCTAAAAAATCACAGGCTTCAACTTTACCACCTTTTCTGATGGTTTTTAAAATTTTAACGAGTAATAGCCTCAACTAGCAACCATAGAAATTTTTTCAAAAACTTTATATTCGTTTTTTTATTTTTTTTAAAGTTTTCCATCGAAACAACTGGACAAGGTTTTCCTGAAACTTCAAACGATAACGACAATTCAAATACTTCATATTTATATTTTCTTTTACTTTTTGCTGTTTCTGTCCTCTTTTCTGGGTTTGGACTTTGTGTTGGAATTAATTTTGGTGCTAGAATTAAAAAAAGAATAAAGAAGTCTTTTGATAATTTGGTTACTCGTTTGAGGAATTTTTAGTTGGTTTTTTTTAATTTTATTGGTAATTTGAAATGAGAGATCTGAGGATTTTGCGGTTCAGTTCCTCGATTGGTTCGGTTTCTGAGAGCTGTCGACCTCCATTAATAACACATTTTAATCACTTCCTCAAAATTTCTTTTCAATTATATGGATGACATTTGCGAACTAAATTTGCGGATACCCATTAACATGAACCAAAAAATCAAGTAATAACCCAGGGATTGTCTTGGCCAGCCGTGGGCGAAACGTTTCGAGTTTTCGTAACCCAGGGATTGTCCTGGTTATGATACAAGGATAGTTTGTTCTAATTTCAGTAGGCTTCGATTTTGTCCGCAAACGTCAGTCCGCAAAAATTAACTTTTCTGAATAAATAAATTTTTGTAGCAATCGTCGTTTGCGTTCTTCAAGAAATAACAACAATTTACCAATGGAAGAAGTTTATAGAGTAAATGAAGAGGATGATGAAGAATATGATCAATTTATAACAACTGATACTGGCGAAAAAAGAAAAGTTTTGAAAAAATTAATTGGGGATTTGGAAAGAAAACAAAATCCAATATCAACTGGTTCTGGTGCTGGAATGCCAATTTTAGTTCAAAGAACAATTGCTTGGCAAATAATTTTGAAAGATTGTATTGGACGTGGACGTTTTGGAGAAGTTTATATGGGGGAATGGAGAGCTGAAAAAGTTGCTGTAAAAATTTTTTTATCGAGAGATGAGCCTTCATGGCAAAGAGAAACTGATATTTACAAGCATAATATGTTGAGACATTCAAATCTTCTTCGATGGATTGGAAGTGATACAAAAGGTTTTTTGATATTTTTTTGGGGGAAAAGGATATTTAGGAAATTTTTAAATCCGATAATTTTTATGGTTAAGTTGGTTGGGTACGTTTTTTGCAGGGTGATGGACGTGAGTTCGATACTCACTTGGTCCTAAATTTATTTTTGGTGAGTAAAGATTATTTTAGGATGTTTTTAAAATAACAGCAGTAATTCCTAGAAGAAGAAACATTTGAATAGTATGTAGTTAAATGGTTAATGTTTCTCTTTCTATTCCCTCTATAAGAATTTATCTTTGGGGTTTTTGGATTCAGAAAAAATATGTTTTACCTATTCCCTCTATAAGAATTTTTTATCTTTTGAATTTTGGCATTCAGAAAAAAATATTTTTTTCTTCTTTAAGATGCTGGTTCATCTACTCAACTTTGGCTAGTCACAGAATATTTACCAAATGGATCTCTTTATGATTTTCTTGAACAAAACAAAATTACATTGGAAATGAATATTCAATTTATGCGTTCAATAGCTCATGGATTAGCTTATTTACATTCTGAATTGCCTGGAGTGAATAATCAATGCCGTAAATATTTTTTTTGGATTTTTGAGAAAAATTTTATTGTTAAAGATAAGCCTGGAATTGCACATAGAGACATAAAATCAAGAAATATATTGATCAAAAATGATTGGACTTGTTGTATAGCTGATTTAGGAATGGCTATAAGATATGGGAACGGTTTAATTGATATTCCACAACAAGATAGAGGAGGCACAGTGGTGGGTAAATTTAAAGATTTTTGGACATTTTTTAATTTTTAAATACTCCTAAAAAACAAAAAAAATTTAAATACCCCTCTACTTTATAATTTTAAAAATTTTTTGGGCATTTTTTTATTTAGCGTTATCTCGCGCCCGAATTTCTTGCCAACAATTACATCCGTGACTCTTTCACTTCTTATTTACAAATGGATGTTTATGCATTTTCCCTCATAATGTGGGAGGCATGCAGACGAACAGAAATTCCAATTGCAGATATTTTTGCTCTTCCATATGAAATTCCATATCAAGAATATGTCCCAAGAGAACCATTATTAGAACATATGCTTGAGTGTGTACATATTCAAGGAAAGAGGCCAACAATCGATCCAAGTTGGAAAAATTGTGAATCATTAAATGAATTGGTAAGGATAATGACTGAAAGTTGGAGTGCTAGTCCAAAATCAAGACTGACAGCATTAAATATTCGTTGTTCATTGGATAGAATTTGTGATGAACAAAAATTGAAGATTACTACATGAGGGAAGATATTTTGTAAAAAAAATTTTAAAGGCTTGTAGCATAATTTTTAAAATTTTCTGTGGGGTTGAGGTATAAGCGCATTTTTCTGGCTCACCTCTCGATGATTTTGACTTTTTAATTTAAAATTCTCAGTCCTCTGGCTTCCATCAAATCTTCCTTAAGCCCTATCCCCGGAAGTAACAACCAGCGCTGGGTATGGCCCAGAACAGGAGCCAGGATTTGAGGGTCGAAGCCGGAGCTCCGACAAAATTACCATAGAAGAAGCAGAAAAGCAGCTTCCTCTTGTCATTCTTAAAAAACATATACTTTTAATAATGCTACGAGTCTACCGAACAATGCGCAATATGTATTATATATTTATATTTTTGTATATCTATTTATGTAAATATTCATTTTTTAATTTTTTATTTTATGACAAAAAAGTGAGAGTATGTATAAAATGAGATTAATTCATTAAATTTAAATCGTTTTGTTCGTTTAAAAATGTTTAAAATACATTTTTATATTTCTTTTTTTCTCTTCAAATTTTTAACTTATTTCTTATTTTAAAGAACGCTTTTAAAAGATGCCTTATGCAAATCAACCTCAAGTGACAATTTTACAATTAAGCAATGAATTGGTTCGTTTCTGTCTGGAAGATACTGATTTGAGTGTAGCAAATTCTCTACGTCGTGTTTTCTTGGCTGAAGTACCTATAATGGGTATATTTTTTTATTTTTTAAATTTAAAATTTTCTTTTATATAGCCATTGATTGGGTTCAAATAGAACAAAATACTTCTGTACTTCATGATGAGTTTATTGCTAATCGAATGGGAATGATTCCTTTAACTTCTGATGGAATTGTGGACAGAATGCATTATACGAGAGTTTGTTTGGTTTGGATTTTTTAATTTATAAAATTAATAGGATTGTACTTGTTCTGAGTTCTGTTCCAATTGTTCTGTTCAGTTTGAATTGAATGTTCGTTGTGATGAGGATACGACTAGAGCTGTTACTTCGGATGATTTGGAGTCCAATAACATTGAGGTTTGTTGAGTTTATTTTCTTTTGGGTTGTCTATTTGGGATAAATTGAAAGCTGGAATTAATTTTGGAGTTATTACTCACTCGGGATCAACCCAGAAGGTCAAAATCTAGAAGGTTAATACCCAGAAGGTCAAGACCCAGGAGATCAAATGACCCAAAAGTTCAAATACAAATTTTTGGCGGATAAAGAAGGAGATATGCATATTAAGACGGATTTGCTGGGATTAAGGGGATTTGCTGGATTAAGGGGATTTGCTGAAGATATTAAGGGGGTTTGCTGGAGATATGCATATTAAGACGGATTTGCTGGGATTAAGGGGATTTGCTGGATTAAGGGGATTTGCTGAAGATATTAAGGGGGTTTGCTGGAGATATGCATATTAAGACGGATTTGCTGGGATTAAGGGGATTTGCTGGATTCACATTTAAAGGAAAAAGAAAATTTAGGAAAAATTGAACACGAAAATTGTTATTTTTTTAAACAAGATTAAATTTTAATTAAAGGTTGTTCCGGCTTGTGGTTCTCATGCAAATCGTGATACTCTTGAAATGGATGGAATTTCCGATGAAATCTTGATTGTTAAGCTTCGAAAAGGTTTATTTAATAATTAAAAGCAGAAAAGTAAATTAAAAAAATTTTTAGGACAAGCAATTTCAATGCGTTGTTTTGCCAAAAAAGGATTTGGAAAAGAACATGCCAAATGGAATCCTTGTTCGTCCGTTGCATTTGAATATGATCCAGACAATGCTCTTCGTCACACAGTTTTAGCAAAACCGGAAGAATGGCCAAAAAGCGAATTTAGTGAATTATTAAATGAAGAAGATCAACGAGAGGCTCCGTATCGCCCAATGGACAAACCAAGGAAATTTTGGATTAGTGTGGAAAGTGCTGGGGCTCTGAAAGCAGAAAATATCATTTTGAGTGGAATTCAAGCTTTAAAGAAGAAATTGGTGGATTTGCAGCAACAATTGACGATTGAAAGAAATGCTCCTGAATTTTATTGAAGGAAAGAGATTGGTATATTTATTTTTGATTTTATGATAATAATTTTTGGAATGTTTTATTGGTAATATTTAGTTTAATTTCATGGGAGTAGGTCTTCTTCAGATTAGGCAAGTGCATATCAAAAAGGACCACAAGTTTCAATGGTTACCACAAAATATTGTCCTCCTAAGATTACACCATTTTTTCCTTCTATTTTTTCTTTCCAATGGATTTATTAAGTATAAATCCAAATCTATAGAAATAAGTGCCCAATTCGTTGAATCATACTACTGATCTGCAGCGGTGGTTGAGTCATTATCTCGTTATGGCATTGAAATCCATGATATGATTAGAGTGTACCTAAACATGCCCAGCGGTAGGCATGACTTGCAGAAATATGTACTCAGATAGGGTTCGGGTAAGGGGGCAGGAAAAAGCAAGTAGAAAAGGGGGCGTTCACCAGAGTATTTATTACCTTTTAAAAAAAAAAATATATTCTAGGAATTAAAAGCAGTTCACAGGAAGACCTTAAAACGGCCAATGGAGTTTCACCTAAAAAGATATTTATTTTTTGATAGACATTTTTATTTTTTTATATTTTTTTAGCTCACATTCTTAATGAAACGTGTGAATGAGGTTTTTTCTTTATATTATAGTATTTACTTATAATTTTTAGCTTACTTTATCGTTTGCTGACATTTATAAGCAGCTTGATGATTTATTTACTGGTCGAAGTGTATCGACTGAGAAGTTTCCACATGAAGAAATGAATAATTAAAAAAACTTTAAGCAACAATTGTTAAAATTTAAATAAAACAACGATAAATTTAATTGACAAAAAATAAGCAATCGGTTTTTTAATAAGGGGGATATTTTTTTTTAATTATCGGCTTTAACAATCTCTCGTTTGACGATAAAGATTAACAGAAGAAAAGATATCTAAAACGATACCGATAAGGAAATATAATGAAGAGAATGATAATTTAATAATAATTGAAAATAATAATTTAGTTTAGCATATTCTCTTCATTATATTTCCTTATCGGTATCGTTTTAGATATCTTTTCTTCTGTTAATCTTTATCGTCAAACGAGAGATTGTTAAAGCCGATAATTAAAAAAAAATATCCCCCTTATTAAAAAACCGATTGCTTATTTTTCGTCAATTAAATTTATCGTTGTTTTATTTAAATTTTAACAATTGTTGTTTAAAGTTTTTTTAATTATTCATTTCTTCATGTGGAAACTTCTCAGTCGATACACTTCGACCAGTAAATAAATCATCAAGCTGCTTATAAATGTCAGCAAACGATAAAGTAAGCTAAAAATTATAAGTAAATACTATAATATAAAGAAAAAACCTCATTCACACGTTTCATTAAGAATGTGAGTTCAGGCTAAAAAAATATAAAAAAATAAAAATGTCTATCAAAAAATAAATATCTTTTTAGGTGAAACTCCATTGGCCGTTTTAAGGTCTTCCTGTGAACTGCTTTTAATTCCTAGAATATATTTTTTTTAAAAGGTAATAAATACTCTGGTGAACGCCCCCCTTTTCTACTTGCTTTTTCCTGCCCCCTTACCCGAACCCTATCTGAGTACATATTTCTGTAAGTCATGCCTACCGTTGGGCATGTTTAGGTACACTCTAATCATCTTATGGATTTCAATGCCATAAAGAGAGACAACCTTAACCTTAATTAGAACAACAAATATGTATGCTGTTAAAATTCTTTGTAATTTTACCAATTCTTTTTAATATTACCAAAAAAAAATTTTTTTTGCTTTTTTCAATTATTATTTTATTTTCAATTATATAAATTGTTTCTTTGATGATTTTTATCTAATATATTGTATTTTTTCTAATACATATTTACTTTTATATTTTTTACTTTTAATACTAGCGATTAATCATTAAAGAGTTACATAAAAATGGCTACAATTGAAGGAATTGTTGATCTTTCTGCAATAGATAATCCAATACAGAAGGAAATTTTGGCTGATTTTGATCGAAGGAGAAAGGTTTTTTAGATTTAGATTATTTTGGGCTATACGAACTTTTGGGATGTCTGGTTATTTCTGGTTTTATAAATACATAGTTTTTCTGTCTTTAAATTTAATAGTTCTGAATAGGTGGAACTGAGTAAATATGCTTGCAAGATAAGTTGTACTTGACCGTTTTTATTATTATGAGATGACTGATTTTATCAGACTGCTCATGGATACTGATTTTGGTATCCGTATATTTACGGCGGATATCAGCAGGCACCTTGATATCTGTGTCCATATCCGTATCCATGAGCAGGTCTGGATTTTATTATTACAGGTGTTTCTCGATCCATCGTTGGAAACTCTTAGCTTCCTTACTTTATCCACCCATCCCATTACTTTTAAAAATCGTCGGCTGGGGTATCGGAGTCTGGGACCATCTTTACTATTGCAGACAACTTTTTCTAAAATTAATTTTAAAAAACAATTTAAGGCAAGAAGTCTAACTTTACCAACAGATGATATCCAAGTAAAATTAATGTTGCGGAGATGTAATGAGCCTATATGTATTTTTGGAGAAGATATTTTGGATAGAAGAGAACGTCTTCGTTCATTACTTTCTCGAATGTCAGAAGACGAAATTCATGCAATTCTTCATTTGGACGAAAAAGAAAGGGCTGATATTCAAGATGATCAAAGTACTTGGTATCATCGAGGACCTGCCGCTCTTCGAGATGCGAGGGTTGAAATAGCTGATTTTAGTTTGGAAAGAGCGGTTTGAATTTTTAAAAATAATTTTTAAAAGAAATTTTTTTAATTTAGAAACAACGCCTGGAAAGAGCGAGAGTTCAAGCAATGCTTTCTCAACAAGAAAGGGCTTTAATTAAGCAAGCAACTCATAGACGTATTCAAACTCTTCAAATTTATGGAACACAAGTTTGTTTTTAATATTTTTTATGGGTGGATTCCAGATTGTGTAGAAGTTTGCTTTTAATCATCACTCAAGATTACTTACCTTTGCAATGTCCGTAATTACCGAGAGAAATTTCCGACTTATTTTTTCTTTAATGTCAGAAAATTTTTCTTTTAATTTTTGTTTGTGAGTTTTGTGTTCCGGCTCCGACCCTTTGGGTCCGAGCCCAGATTCAGATCTATGTTCCCATAACCATTCCCGCCCGATTTTTAAGCAAATTAAATAGAATTTTTACTTTAAAATCCTTGAGAATCGTTAAAATTATTACATTCCTTTACTTTTTTTTAAAGGTTTCCGGCATTAGACCAACTTCATTCGCTGAATTTTCTCCTGATTCTAAACACATTATTACCGCAAATTGGTCCGGACAAGTTTCTATTTGGTCAATTCCAGATTGTGTAGAAGAACTTAAACTTCAAGGGCATCCTTGTCAAGTTGGAGCTGCGGTAGTTAATTTTATTTTTTTATTTTTAATGAACAATTTGAAGGCTTTAAATGTCCGCAAAAATATTTTTTTTCAGCGTTTTCACCCCGGCGCTTACAAAAGTCAAGATCCTCTTTTATTAAATGCTGCATCTTGTGATCATTCTGGAAATGTTTTATTTTGGAATTTGGTAGATGGAGAAAAACCTTTGGCAAAATTAGAAAGGCATGAGGATAGAGTACCTAGATTAGCATTTCATCAAAATGGAAGACATTTGTGCACAGCTTGGTTTTTTAATTTTTTTTTTAATTTTTAAAAATCTTTCTTGTTTTCAGTTTTGACTCTTCCTGGCGTTTATTTGATTTGGAAACCTTACAAGAACTTATTTATCAGGAAGGACATAGCAAATCTTTATTTGATTTGGATTTTCATGTTGACGGTTCTTTGTTACTTACAGGGTATTTTTATTTTTTAATTAATTCTTTTTTTATATTTTAGAGGTCTTGATTGTTATGGACGTGTTTGGGGTTAATTTTAATTATTATTAAATGGAAATTAAAATTTTTTTTATTTTTCAGATTTAAGAACGGGTCGTTGTATAATGTTCTTGGAAGGTCATCAGAAGGGTATTTACACTGTTAGTTGGCATCAAAATGGGTTTGTTTTAAAATTTTTATTTTAAACAACACGTTCGCAAATTTTATCCGTAAAATTTTATGAAAACTAGATCTAGTTGTTAGTACTGTTGTATCCAGGGTTTGTCTGGTTGTGTCCAAGCTCGTGTGTGTGTCGACAGCACAAGATTAACAATTTGTTGTACCCTGGGTATCGAAATTTAATTATTAAAATTTAACTGTTTGGACCGAATTTTTTTGAACGAATTTGCGGACGTTTTGCTAATCCAACGGAAACTTATTTTCATTTTCTCTTAAAAATTTTTTTAAAGATTTCTAATGGTTACCGGAAGTGCTGATAATACTTGTAAAATTTGGGATGTCAGAATGCGTCGTCAAATCTATACAATGTCTGCTCACAACAATTTAGTTTCGCGTGTGAGAATAGATCCTTCTGGAGAATATTTAGTTACTGGATCTTATGACAATACAATGAAATTATGGACATGTTCAGGATGGCAACCTTTAAGGATATTTGATTCGCATAATATGAAGGTTTATTTTTATGTTAAAAAAGTCCGCAAGTTTTGTCCGCAAATCTAAACTTTCATTTTAAAAAATTCCTCCCTTCAATATTTTTTCTAATTTTTTAGGTCACTTGTGTTGATATATCACCTGATGAAAATTGGATTGCCTCAAGTTGTTACGATCGAACTTTTAAATTGTGGAACTTCTCAAGGGAAAATTAATTTTGTTCAATATCTTTATTATTTTTTTATTTTGCAATTTTTAAATTAAAAAATTCCAAAATTATTTGCGTTTAAGCTGCTAAAAAAGGGATTATTTAGGACTTCAAAAAACAATAACAATAGTTTGAACCAAGACAAAGCCCTGACAAGCAGGTTCATAATACAAATAAAACTAAAAAAACGCATCGTCATCTCCATAAGAAAATGTATTTTTGTTTAAAAATTTTTGCTTTTTTTCCTTTTTCAGGCTAGTCTCAAAGTAATTCTTTCATTTCTATGCTTGAGACACTGTCCTTGCGGTCTTCGGTTGTGGTGAGCCGATGACCGCAAGGACTTCACCAACTTTATATAATATGTGAAGAAAGTTAAGGAAGTAAAAAATGGTCAGGAAAAAGAAGTAAAAAATGAGGGCGACAACCAAAATATCTGTTTAACAAAATTCAGGTATAGTATTTATTGTTTTTTTTAGCTTTCACAAGTTTTTGCCGATTTGTTAGAAGATCTCAATCAGATGAAGGTTGATATTCAGAAATTGGAAGAGTTTCATCGTTGAAGCGATATTTTCTCTTCTTTATTTTTGACTTCAATTTATGATAAAGATTCACTTTGACTTTAAAGATTCACTTTGACTTTATCATAAATTGAAGTCAAAAATAAAGAAGAGAAAATATCGCTTCAACGATGAAACTCTTCCAATTTCTGAATATCAACCTTCATCTGATTGAGATCTTCTAACAAATCGGCAAAAACTTGTGAAAGCTAAAAAAAACAATAAATACTATACCTGAATTTTGTTAAACAGATATTTTGGTTGTCGCCCTCATTTTTTACTTCTTTTTCCTGACCATTTTTTACTTCCTTAACTTTCTTCACATATTATATAAAGTTGGTGAAGTCCTTGCGGTCATCGGCTCACCACAACCGAAGACCGCAAGGACAGTGTCTCAAGCATAGAAATGAAAGAATTACTTTGAGACTAGACTGAAAAATTTGCAGTTTTAGGACTAAGTGGTAATAGAAATAAAGTTTTCCTTATGAACTTGATGGTCAGGGCTCAGTTTTGGTCCCAACTCTATTATTTTCTCATTAGAACCCTAAATATTTTTAGCAGTTTAAACGGAAATAATTTTTGAAAAACCAAACAAAAAAAGAACCAAAAACATTTTTCCGTTAATCTTCTTCACCACCCGAAGCATTTCCCAAAAATATTTTCTCCAATTCATCTTCACTCATCTCAACTTCTGTTTTCCCCTTCTTTCTTCTCTTACTCTTTTTAAGAAGTCTTTCAAGTCGTCGAATTTCGCGGTCGTCTTCATCCAAATCATCCTTTAACCTTTTTGAACGAACTTTTTCGGCCTTTAAAAAAATTTTTTTTAATTTAAAAAATAATTATTTAAAAATAAACCTCTTCTCTGAACTGTTCAATAGTACAATTTTCATCTTCCCCTTCCTCATCCGTTTCATCAAAATTTTCTTCATTTCTCCCTTCAATCCTCTTTTTCCTTTCCAATTCAATTTTTTCTTTTCTCTTTTTATTTCTAAGCCTTCTTCGTTTTTCAAGTTTTTTCTTTCGTTTGGTATCCTCTAATTGTTTAGCAACAATTGAATCTACCTGAAAATTTTGTTGAAAAATGGGGAAAAATTATTTTTTAATTAAAAAAATACATTGATTTGTTGGTGAGAATGCCCTTTCTTACAAGTTGATTTTAACTGTTTGGCCGCTTTTCTCTTCATTTTACGTTCACATTTTGTATTAAGTAAAGCAGAAAAGTCCCGACTTTCAGTAGACATTTTTAGTTTCTTGAGGAAAATGTAAAAATGTTCAAAAAGAAGCGAGAAATGATTAAAATGGACGAGACTCTAGTGTCCACGTTTTAATTTTCCGCGACTTTTAAAGATATTTATTTTGGCGTTCTGTATTTTTAAAACCCAAGCCAAGCCCTTTTTTCTTTTTAATTCTTTTTTCTGGTTTTTATTTGGACAATTTTATGGGCTCTGCGATGTATTTATTATTTTTTCGAAAGAAATTTTGCACAGGGAAGATTCCTTGGCTCGCGCCTTTAATATTCCTTGTTTTTTATGTTTATCGATTTATTTAAGCTTCTATTTTTTTCCAATTTTTAAACAAAGTCATGTGACAATTTTTAGTAATTTTAATGGGAATTTTTGTTTAACTTGAATATTTTTTTAATCTTTTGTGTTAAATATTTTGTAGACGGATTGGATTTTTAAGTAGAAATGTTTGATATCTTTTTTATTTTCAGGCCTTCCTATGAATTGATTTTTTTCAAGTTTTGGCTCCTTACCTTGAATTTAAGTAATACGGACGGCCATTTTTAGGGCATACGGACATTGCGATATTTCAATGTACGAACGAACGGTACCCTACTGATTTCGGGACCTACGGCCACTGAGTCTGGAGTACTACCTTTATTTTTGAAGGAAGGGTTTTTGTTAAAGAATTAACGTAAGCGTAAGAGGTTATTCTTTTCTCCTCAATCCCGATATGTCTCTCTATCATCATCCCTTCTCAATCAAAAATTTCATTTTAAAATTTCAGATATTCTTTCGATTCTATTTATTTGCTATATTTTAAAAAATGAATTCGCAAGCTCCAAAGAGACGTGGCCGTCCAGCGAAAGCAAAAGCTGCTCCAGCTGCATCTGTTCCAACTACAGACAAATCGCCACCGAAGCCTAAATCTCCAATTGTAATTTTGTCTTTTTATTTTTCAAATTTAATTTTTTTAAAGAGTGCTCCAAATGGTGAAGCCAAGTCTCCAGTCAAACCTCTTTCTCCAGTCAAGCCGTCTTCTCCAGCTAAATCCCCTGTTGTTGCCAAAAAGGGACGTGGGCGTCCTAAGGGTGCTGCTGTTGTGAAGGTTTTTTGATTTTAGAAAGAATTCTTAAAATTTTTATTTAAAGAAATCACCGCCAAAGAAGCCGGTGGCGAAGTCTGTGGCTAAAGGTGGAGTGACGAAGAAAGCTGGTGCTGGAAAACGTGGACGTCCGGCGAAGAAGAATGCAGCTTCAGAGGAGAGCAGTGGGGATGACGCAGGTATTTGTCTTAGTATTAATCGAAGGATTTTAACATTTTTATGGCCCAAATATTTTAAAGTAAAAACATTTCCGGAAACTATTCTTGTCAGTAAACTTGGAAGGACCTGGGAATTTTTTACACGATGGGAAAAACGCGTTTAAAAAATCATTGGGATTTCTTTTCATAAATTTAGCCGGGAATTGTTTATATTATTCGCATTTTATTTACACCAAAACAGTGAACCTGGTAGTCCCTTTTAAGACTTTTGAAGTCTGAAATAACTGCTTTCCAAATTTAATTTTTTATTTTTTTTAGCCAAGAACAACACCTCTCCTTCTAAATCGCCTGTAAGCTTTAAATAAAAATTTTTAAATTATTTTTTTTTTAATTTTAGTGACTTTAATGGAATCTTTATTTGACTGAGTTGGCGGAATCTCTCTCTTCATTTTATTTTTTTCTTGTACAAGAACACCAAAATTCAACAATAATCTACAAAAAACGTTCCCGGCCTTTTATGTTCTTTTTTGGTATCTCACCTATATATAAACTTGCATTAATTTTTGTTTTTTTTGACACACTGCTTAGATTTTCACCCATTTTTTGTGTGAAATTTTGAAGGAAATTGAAAAAAAATTTTTCGAGGTTTTTAAAAAATTTTTGATTTTTTTTTGAAAAAATTTTTCGAGGCCTTTGGGATTTTTGGAATTTTTTGAAAATTTTTTTCGAGGCTTTTGAAATTTTTCGAAATTTTTTTTTGAAATTTCCAAAAAAAAATTTTTCCGATTTTCTTCAAAATTAAAATTTATTTAACACAATATAAACATTGTATCAACCCAAATATTAAAACCACAATAATTTCCTCGCTTTTATTTTGATTTTGTGACATTTCAATAAAAAATTTAAAAATTATTTTTAATTTTTTTCTTTAAGTTGATTTAATCAATTAATTATTTGAGACATTGTTTAGGTTAACTTTTTTTTAAAGAAATTCTCTTTATGTTAGATTGCTTTCTGGCAAGTGTATTTGAGGTTTCGGATATCTGGGATCGAAAAAAGTTGGAATATTTGAATATTTTCCCAGAAAATGTTTGCCCTGGTTTAATAATTTTTTTAGAATATTTTGTTAATAATTGGGTTGGACTGTTGTTCTTCGATACTGGGCCCCTTCTCTTTAAACTGCGTCTTCTAATCTGTTCGGCCATCCAACCACCCATCGGCTGTTGCGAATTTATTTTTTTTGACTTTTTCTTTACTCCTACTTTTTCCTTCGCTAATAAGTTATTTTGTTTTAAATATTTACGGGATTCTGCAATCGCGAAAAATTTGTTCTCTATCAGCTTTCCATATCCATAGCTTTAAGTTTTGTTGTTAAATTCGTAATTTGCTTACTACCTTGGAGGCTATGAGAGATTAATTCTTTATTTTTTTATTAATTTTTTAGACCCATTTTTTATGTGAAAATAATTCCATTCCCCCATTTTATTAAATTCTTTTTTTATTTTAGACAAAATAAAAATAAATTTTTTTCAATTAAAAAATGATTCGACGTCCTCTAAGTTCATTAAAACTTAAACAAACGGATATTGAAGAAATGGATGCAAACATGGTTTTCTTTTTTAATTTTAAAAATTCATAAGAAAATTTTCTTTTTTCAAGTCTCGTGTTCAAAAACCAAAAGAAAGCACAACAATTAGCGGTACAACAAGTGAAGCACACAAAGAGGGACAAACAGAAAGACAAGATGAACCACAAAAAATGGATACTTCTGAAGATTCTTGAAGAGAGAAGATTGAGAGGAGATTACTTGACATCCTTTTTTAAAGTAAAGTTTGTTTTTAAATTTTTTTAATTTGATAAATTTTTATTAAAAGAATTTTGTGAAATTAAGGGAGTGGAACGGGAAGGAACTCTTTACTGTCCAAAAATTTCTTCACATTTATAGAATGTCTTTTAAGAATAATTGTTAAAATATTAGTCTAAATCTGACTCATGATTTTTACTTTTCAACTTTTTGTCTAATCCTTCCTGTTTGTTTTGTGATTTCTGTTTCTTGATTCCCAGAATCTCTCTCTCTCTTACTTTTACTGTCCAAAAAAAAAATTCGGTCCAGAAAAATTTCCCCCTTGGCTCCCTCTAAAAAATCTTGGGTTTGAATATATCGAAGGCTAAATTAAAGAATATTTCGGGCATACCCAAGACCTCTCTCTCTTTTCTCTCCCCCTTACTTTTATTTTTTTTCACAAAATAATTGGAAAAATTTCTTTCAACTTAACTTTTCAAAAAAATGTTAAAATTACGGTTAAATTTATTAAATTGTTCCTTTCCCTAGAAAAAAGCCCAAACAATAAAATCCAAAATTAAATTAAAAAATGTTTTTATTCTTTTTTCAACATTTTTCGTAAAGCAAAAGTAAAATATATTTTATTATTTTTGATTATTTTTGATAGTGATTTGGGGAAAAAAGACAAAAGGAGAAAGAGGGAAGGGGAAAAAGAGTGAGAGAGAGATCGATCAAGCCTCCTTTAAATTTATATTGCTTTCTCATTTCCTGTCCTTTTACTGGCCAAAAAATTTTTTTAATGTGTGTTCTTTTAGCTTCCGAACTACTTAATACTCTCAAGAAAATATTTAAAAAAACCTGACAGATTTTTTTCTTTTGGGAGATAATCTATGTTATATAATTTTAGTAGATACGAGCTTGAAAGGAGCCCCTTTCCCTGCAACAATTTTTTGATTTTTAAGCTAACATTAATTTGTAAGTAGAAAGACCGAAAAATGGGGGTGGGTATTTTTTGGGATTTTTTGATTTTTCAGAAAATTTTTCCACATACTGGTTTTCTCTCCATCCACCGTTTCCTAGCTTGTGATTTTGTCTCATCCTTATATCTCCTTTCCTCTCCTTTCTTAGAGAGATTTTCAAGGGAATAGTTCTTAAGATTTCGAGCTAGGTAAGGTAAAGGGTGATCAAACATGAAAAATTCCTTAAATATATCTTGTGACTGATTTTCTCGCATCCTAATCTCTCTCATTTCCTCTCCTTCCTTGGGGACAGTCCCGAGAGAATAGTTTTTAAGATTTCGAGTTAGGTAAAGTAGGGGGTGATTAAAAATCGAAAAATTCCTTAAATATCCCTTGTGTCAACTCGAAAATTTTTTAAAATATTTTTTGTTTTGTTTTTAAGACTTTCCCCGCCCACATAATTTCTGTGATAGATTGATTCTCTTTTTTATTTTCATGATCAAAAATAAAAATTGTTTTTTAGTTTTTTCTGATTAAAGCAATGCACAAACACGTAAAAATCAAAGAAAAGAAGCATTTGTTTCCCCTTTTTTTTATTTTTGTTGGCACTGTTCTTCTCTCGCTTTACCTCAACCGATTTTATTTTTCCTGTCCTCTTCAAGAAAATATATATATCGGCTTTTTCTGGACCTCTGTCGCCTAAACATTTATCTATCCTCAAAGAAATCCTTCCCTATTCTTTTTACTTTTTAGTGATCAGGCGCTTGTGACGATCGTTCGCCTGGCTTGGGGGGAGGGTTGATTACTTTCTTGATATACACACAAATATCCTAGAAAAAGAGGAACTCTTTGAGTGAAAATAAAAAGCTTTGTGTCTTTCCGGAGATATATCCATTCAAGCTTTTTACCTAGTTTTTTCAACTTTTAGATAAAAGTAAAAATATATTTTTATATTGGGGGAGAATAGGAGATGTACAACAGAAATGCTCTGCCCCCTCTACCTCTATTTCTCCTTAAACGGGACAACCCCTCCTTGTCCTGTCCTAGCAGAAATGCTCTGTCTTATCCCAACAGAAGTTTCTGTCCTATCCCAATATTAACCTAAGTTTTGAGGGACTTGATTAATCTCCTCTTTCCGCTCCTTTCTTGCTTTTCTCTTGAGATATGTAGGAATGTGGGATATATGGGAGATTGGGATAAATAGAAACAGAGGTTGCTATTCGTCTCCGAAAATCAGAGAATCTGAAACCTTTGAAAAAACTTTTTTCGATGATTTTCCCATAGCCCCCTCCACCTTCTCCTTTTCCGTCTCCTTCAACAGGGAGCTGCCCTATATGAGAAAATTATTTCCTTAACTTCTTTTATGGAATGTTAAGTTTATCTCGTTTAGAACTTGTCCCATAAAATTCTTTTTTTAAACGACTTTACATTTTTTAACTTTTTGATTGTAAAACTAAGAAATATGTAAATCCTATATATTGAGTTGAAAATATTATTTTTTATTTCCAGCAAAAATACTCTAAATAATGGCAGACGTAGATGAAGACCCATATGCAGTCAGTTCAGACTCTGACGATGAAAACAGTAAAAAGCCTCCTCCCAAAATTGCAATTGAAGGCAGAACGGGCGATTTAAAACAAATTGTAAGTTTAAATTAATTTAGTAAATCGGAAAAAAATTTTGGAGTGAAATTCTGCAAAAATAAAATTATTGGTAGCCAGTGGGGTTCGAACCTTTGACCTTTACTCTTTAAAAAAGTAACGATTTTCCAACTACACCACACTACACCTTGGGGGGAGTAAATTAATTTAGTAAATTGAAAAAAAAATTTTTGTATGAAATTCTGTCAAAAATAAAATTATTGTCCATTAGTGGGGTTCGAACCTTCGACCTTTACTCTTTAAAAAGTAACGATTTTCCAACTACACCATGCTACACTTTCTTTGGGGGAGATTTTTAAAAATATGCTTTTTTGTTGAGTCTTTTTTACTCTCAAATTTATAACCTTCAACAAATATTTTCCTCTCAATAACTAAATAAATAAACTTTACTCGATATTGTCACTCAATTCGTTGTTAGTTACACACATTCCAGTTAAATACACCCAAAAATATATTTTTCTTTTTTTAATTTTTTCTTCTCAATACACCGCCCATCTGTTTATAGAGAGTGTCCATTAAAGTGACAACCGGACACAATAAATATATTTATTCGTAGATTAACTTGTCCTCCTTTCCTCACTTTTTAATGTTCAATTTTCTCTTTAGTTAGTTACTAACCCTCCTCTCCCTTTAAAATAACCGTTAAATTCCCTCACTTTTTTATTAGATTTGAGGTGTTTGTGTGTATTTCGTCTTTTGACATTTTTAAAAGTTGACATTTCGAAATTCGACAATTTTTCAAAATGTCGAATTTTCTTTTTGATTTTTCAAAATGTCAACTTTCGTTTCAAAACTTTAAAAATTTTTTAAATTTTGATAATTTAAATATTTTATTAATTCCGGAAATATTTTCCAACAAAGAGAAAGACACTCATTTATTAACGATCAACTCGATTTATTTCTCATTTAATTCCCCGTCACTATTTTCTCAATACAAAGAAAATAAAAAGGATTTATTGCATTTACCACCCCTTACAAATTCTTCCCCTTTAAATATTTTCTTCTTTTTTTAATTTCTTTTTAACTAAATTAAAAAGGAAGTCACTTCTCTTCTCTTTATTTAAAAATAGCACAAAAAAATTAAAAAAAAATTTATTTTTGTTCTATTTATTTTTATTTTTTTTATTTAAAAGAAGCAGTCATTCCTCTCTTAATCAGAAGAAAAATGTCTTTTCTCTCGCATATTTTTCTCTTTAAAAATTATTTTTTTTATTAACGTGTGAACTAATAGTATATGTATATTTGCACTAGTCAGTATGACTCAATAAAATAAACTTATGGAAATGTCCGTAAATTTTTTTGTCCGCAAGTTTTGTCCGCAAAATTTTTTTTTGGGGGGGGGGGGGAATTTTTACCTCTTGCGGATAGTTTGCTGAATTTTCTAGTCTCCCTCATTCGAAGAAATAATTTTGTTGACTAATTCAAAAATAAATATTCTTAAAGGTTCTCTTTTTATTTTTCAAATTTTTTCAGAAAGAAGCATTAAAAACAGACGAGAAAAAATCAGTAAAAGACGAAAAGATGGTTGAAGAAATTGAAGCCTTACGACGGGAAAAGGCTGAAGAAATGAGTCGTATGAAACGTGATTTTGAAGAAGGACGTGCTGGTGGTGTTGCGCAAATACAAAAGGAGTCTTTGGAAGGTTGGGGAATTTTTTAATTTAAATAAAAAAAAAGATTTTTTTAATATTGTTAGAGGGTAATAAGCATCACAGAATATTATTTTTCTCCTGGGATTTTATTTTGTATGTCTTCCCTTATTAATTTTTAGTCTTATTTCTGAACATTTTAATAGTATACGACGACTCCCTGTTCAGACCAGCATTTTATCATTGCCTCTTTTTATTAGTTTGGGCTAGGATTCAGATTTTGATTTTCTGGGTTCGTTGTCATGATCGAGGAATTTTCAGACCAAAATTTGGTCAAATAATTTTCAGACCAAAATTTGGTCAAATAATTAGACTTAAGTCTCCACGATTTTGACTGCTTAAGGAAAAGTTTTCAAAGTTTCTTGAACCTTTTTTCATTTTTTTTACCCTTAATCTTATAGGTGTTGGAAAAGAAAATTTGGCCTCAATGAAAGAAATGTTTGAAAAAGAGCCTGGGAAAGAATTTGTCCCTCAAAGAGACGATTTATTTAATGAATTACAACAAAAAGCTGACCATCGAAAAATTAAAAATAATTTTGAAAGGACTGCAGAAGACGAAGAAAAGCAAAAGGATTGTTGTATTTGTTCAAAAGTTGTTTATCCTGTAGAGAAAATTTGGGTGGGGAAGCAACTTTATCATACAAATTGTTTTAAATGCTCAAAATGTGGAAAGAAATTGAGGTATATTTTTTGGTATTTTTGGTGCTTTTTAGTTTATTTTTGCGGGGTTTTTGGTCCCTTACCTAGTAGAGATTGGAATTTTTGAAAAGTTTCCTGGGGTTTATTGACCTGGGACGGATCCTTGGTTTTTCCTGTAGTCCAGGAAAAACCCAGGAAGGTCAAAAACTACCCAGGCCGATCTTTATTACATAGTTTTTAAGTGAAGTTTCAATTTTTAAAAATAGTCTTCTTGACCGGAAATTTTAACATTTAGTTGGCAGGGATAAGACTTGAAGAAATGGGGAAGAAATGAAAATTATGGGGTCCTAAAAGTTCAAAATTATTGGAGTGATTTTCGTCTAAAATTTTTATGGACTCTTTTTAACGTTCACCCTTCATTAAACACCCCTAAAACTCTTCTTAATTAAAAAAATATTTTTTTTCAAAGTCAAAATGCCTTCAATTCACACAAAGGAGTTCTTTACTGTAAACCACACATGTTAGAAGTACTTCATCCAGATAGGGTAGGACAATTTGCAGCAGAAGAGCTTGATGATACCCAAATGGATGAGGAGAATGATGATGAATTTGCTGTTAGTTCTAAACCTAAACAATTGGCTTCTGATGTTGTTAGAGGTTTTTTTTAATTTTTATTTTGAGGGGGGGGGGGTAAGGGATTCTATTTTAATTAAATAATTGAAAAATATTTTTGCAAAAACCGGTTAAAATAAATTTATATATTTAATAATTTGGGTCAAAACAAATTAATTTCTATAAATAAGTTTTCGTTCATCCTTTCTCTTTGTTCTTGATTTTTCATTTATCCATTTTTAAATAATATTTTCGATTACCTCCTCCTTATTTTTGAACTTCTCGATTCTCGCTAGTATTGACGCCTGGGAAATCTCCGGATACCCTGTGATTTTCGTGTTCCAGATGAACTAACCGCCAACCCCACCTCGGGTTCGTCTTTGATTTCGACTATTTTTCTTTCCATTTTATTTTTAACTATTTTGCTAAAACATTACTACAATTAATTTATTTTTAACATCTGTTCACTCCTTTTTACATAAAAAGAATTAAATAGGGGGGAGAGAGGGAGGTTCTTCTTTGAGCTTTTCATTGACCTTTGTTTATTTGTGGCACACAATTCTTTTTATTTTTCTACATTCTTTATTTAACAAAAATTTAAAAACAATATATAAATTTATTTTTAAAAGGTTTTTGCAACAAAAATAAATTTTTTTCGATTTTTCCCTATAAAATTTCAAATTGATGGCTACTAGCTTTGAGACTTCCTTAATTTTAAGTAGGAGGAAAATAATTTTTTTTAATTAAAAAAATTTGCTTTTTCAGCTGGTGGTACAAACATTGGAGATGAATTGGCACAATTAAAGTCTTCTTTAAAAGACAAAAAAGAAAGTTGGCAAAGTTCAGCAACAGCAGGTGCTCAAACAAGTGCTGTAGATGAAGAAGAGAAGCGTCGACAATTGGAAGAAATTAAAGGATCGGTTGGGTCTTTTTTGTAATTTTTAAGAGTTAATTAAGAATTTATTTTAAATTTATTCTTGCCCCAAGGCCAAGAAAAAATTTTTTCTTAAAAATTTTCTAAAATCCACCCTTTTTAAAGGTTAGCGAGGTAAAACAAAAATGGAAAACGGGTGATGTTGAAGGAGCTAATTTAGCTGATGATGCTGCGAAACAAGAAGAATTGGAAGCGTTGAAGAAAGGTGTAAATGTTAAGGAACGGTTCCAACCTCCGTCTGGTGGAGATGTACAGAAATGTTATGATCGTTCGGAGTTGGATACTTCAGGTTTTTTGATTGGTATTTGTGGGAAAAAATAAAACCCAATGTTAATGTCTCTGTGGTTGAATTGGAGTGTGTTGGGTTCGGGATGGGGGAGGCCGGGGGTTCGAACCCCTTTGAGTGATTTTAATTTTTATTTAATAAAAATTAATTTTTTTAGCAATCAGTGATGCTCGCAAGTCTTTTATCGAAGGTTCAGCATTTACCAGCCCAAAAACAGAATCTTCTGCTGCTGGAGAACTTAGCGAATTGAAATTTACTGAAATGAATGCATTCAAAGATAAATTTGAAAAAGGAAAGGGGGATGTAGAAGAAATTGAAAAGGCAAAAATTGAATTGGATCTTCAATTGAAAGAATTGAAAAAGACATTTGAAAAGGTTTGGGGTTTTTTAATTTGATGTAAAGTTTTTAACTTTTTTAAAATTCTAGCCGGAAAGCGAGATGAGTCCTGAGGAGCGGGCAGCAAAGAAAAAAGTTTGTTTTAAATTTTTTATATAAATAAGATTGACTTTATAAAGGTTGAAATTGAGGCTGAATTTGCCCGTTATAAATTGGCCAGAAAATTGCAGGCAAAGAAGGCTAAAGAGGAGGCAGAAGGAAGTGGCGGAGGTGTTGATGAGGAACACGAAGAAGGAGGTATATTTTAAATTTGATTTTTAATTTTGAATTAAAATTTTTTTTCGGATGGGTTGGGGTTTTGAAATAAAGGGAAAGAAAATTTTTCTATAAACACTTCCTTTCTCATCCCATTCAACAGAGAAGGAGCTGGACGTGCAAATCAAATTGGCGGGCAAAGCGAGGGAGAAATTCAAACAAATCGAGGCACAGGGACAAGCTGGGATTCCGCAGCCTGGTACTGGAGCAACTCAACAGAAGACGCCCTCCAAATGGGACAAGAAAGTGGAAGGACCCGCAGAAGTTGTCAACAGGTTTTTTGGGGGGATTTTTTGTCTATCAATGAAAAAATTTAAGACGCGTCGTCGACGACGATTCCGAGACGGAAGAGGAGTTCGATGTGAAGAATCTGATGGCAAAGTTCAAGAATATAGCTACGATGGAACCAAAGGAGAGGGAGAAGAATTTGGAGGAATTGGAAGCTTTGAGGTTGGAAGCGAGGAATTTGAGAGAACAATTCGAGAAGACGAATCAAATGGAATCGAGCGAGAAGAGCGAAGAGAAGAGGAAACAAATGGAGGAAGAATTCAAGCAACTCAAAGGTTTTTTTCAAATTTTTAAGTAGGAAGAATTTTTGTAAATATTTTTTTAAGAGGAGAGAGCGAGGGCCCAGAAAGAATTGGAACAAGAACAAGCCGAAGCAGCAGCCTCCACAAACAACGCGGAAAAGGACGACGTTCAAATAGCGGAAGCCCATGCTTCAAAGATGGCAGCCAAATGGGAGAAGATTCACAAGAAAGAAGCGAAAAAGGCAGAGAAATCGCGAATGCCCCAAAAGTAAAAAAAGTTGTTTGTTGTAACAGAGAAACTTCACCATTTTGCCCTTCTCCAACATCATCAACAAAATTAATTGACAACAAAGCCTCTGCCGCCTCCGCTCTTCGACTTTTTTCAGCTTTTTTGACAGGATTGGCTATAGGACTTTTGCTTGTTCCACGCATTTTTGGACGTTAATTTTAATATTTTTTACGAGTGTTCCCCCCTTTCCTCTCCCCTTTTATTTGTTGCCTATTTAAAAATAACCTTAAAAAATTTAGTGCCAATCACATTTTAATTATATCTTGACTTTATTTAGCATTTGTATTTTTATTATTTGAAATTCTACGAAAATTTAATTAAAAATTGGATAATCCTTTGAGGTGCAATGTTTTTTTATTTCGTTGCAAATTTAATAAATGTCTGTAGCAATTATTGATTTTCTTTTAAATTGGTTTATCGATTTTTGGGGTTTCTGAAAATTACTTTAAAAATTTCAAGAATGGATGGTTGAATTGTTGTTGATTTTGTACTTACAAATTAGGTGACCATACTCAATTTTCCTTTCAATTTAATGGACAAATTGTCATTTTAATTTTGTACATTATGCCAAAATTGTGCGGAAATTTAAAATTTTAAAATTACCATTTCGTCCCAAATAACAATAATACACATTTCGTCCCAAAGAACAATAAACCCCATTCGTCCTAAAGAACAATAACCCCCATTTCGTCCCAAAGAACAAAATCCTAATTCGTCCCAAAAAACAAAAATCCCTAATTCGTCCCACAGAACAAAAATTCCTAATTCGTCACAAAGAACAAAAAATTTTAAAAAATTTCAAAACAAAATTCAAAAACATTATATTTATTCAATAAATTAAGTCATTGTATAAAAAAGTTGTGTGGCAATGTGTGGTTGCCTCATATAAATGCACGTCAGCAGCGATATATAAAACGCAAAAACAAAATGTTCATGGGAGAGATTGGTTTAGAGAGAGACTGGGAAATGAAAGGAATGTTTAATGATCTTTTTTTAGTTCTGGAAAGAGTTGAGTGGTTGTGTTTTTGTTGTGGTTTTGTATAAATCACCCATCTCAAAATTTTAAATGATTTATTTTTTAGGGTTATTAGAGTCTGGCGTGAAGTTAGACAACTGAGAAATTCAAAAAATCCTCAGACTCTAATAACCAAAAATGGGTATTCTAATTAGAGACCGGACAGAGAAATTTCGGTTCAAATTCCTCAACGTTGGGTCAGGAAATCAAAAATTAATTTTGCCTGTGGCATTAAAAAATAATTTTGTGTCTTCAACGTCAAACATTTAATCATAACATTTGAGTCCCCATATAGAGCCCCTTATATTCTCTAAAGATACTCCCAGTCCAGTCTCTAATTTTAACATATAAACTTGACAAAGAGATGAAGTGATTTCTTTAAAAAAGAGTGGATATACAACAAATTAGTGAAGAAAATAATAAAATAAAATGCAAAAATATATATTATGCGCAAATGAGAATTATTTTTATTATGTTTGTTGGTTCAAAAAAAATTTTTTAGAATGCCATAATTTTTATGAGAGAGAAAATTATGAGTGAACAAAAATTTTTAATTTTTGGCAAAAATATTTTTAAAAGACACACAAAAATGCTTTTTTTTTGTAAAGATAAGATTATGCCCAAAAATAAATAAAAAGATATATTATTAATTTAAAGCTCTCAAAATAAAAAAAATAAAAATAATAAAATAAGAACGTGTAAAAATAAAATAATGTTTTAAATGCTTATCCAAATTTGAGAGAGGGGTTTTTTAAATGACAAAATAAATGAAAATAATAAAAGAGAAAAATATAGCTAAACCTAACTTTTAAAGACTCCAAAAATATTTTTTAAATTTTGTTGTCTAATAGATAGGGGAGCCACGAGAATAGTAAATAAGGTTGACGATCCGGTTTGGTTTGACAAATTGAATCGAGCATCGAATTTAGGCCCGAAAAAAATATTCAAAAGAATGAGGTGAACCCCGAAAAGCAGGAATTCCCTCTCCAAATCATAATTTTATTTTTTATGTTGGCATAATCCCTTTTGTATACTCATATTTTTAGGTGGGTAAATAACTGGAAAGTTTAAAAAATTTTAATAAAAAGGAGGTACTTAAAAGTGAGGCTTATCTAAATTTTAATTAATCAAAATATAAATGAAATGAAGAGAGGAGAAGGCTCCTTTTTTAACAAAGGTAAAAGTCGTTAACATAAAAAAATGTTTTTTAATTTAAGTATATTGGTCATATCGGCAATTAATTTTTAAAAATACTTTACAGAGACTATAGATTATAAGAAATTTTATAAAAAAAATCAGTAGGAAAAATTTTTTAGGAAAATAGAAAAGCCCTTAGGAAAATCTGGCAAGGCTTTTTCTAACACGTGCCCTAATAAATCTGTCAGGAAAAATTTCTAAAACTCTTTCAAAAAATAAATATTTTCATTTAAAATTGCCCAACATGACCAAATACCTTTTTTAAAATTTTAAATTCCAAACCTTAAAAAACATTACACAAAAAAAGTCAAAAGACTTCTATTGACTTTGTTGTTCCAAAATTCCATTTAAAATGTGTGTAGAATTTAAAAAAGCTTCAGCAGTCATTTTTGCATCCAAAACAGATTGGTGTTGTTGTTCACGAATTATTTCTTCTCCCCCGCCTTTTTCCAAACTTTTCTTTCTTCCATTAGTATTTCCACCTCCTCCCCCACCTTCCAAAGCAGCCAAAACTAAAGCAGCTGCAGCAGAACCATTTACGGCTAAATTAATTAATTGTTGCTGATTTTGTTGTTTTATTTCATTTTTTATTACAAAACTTGGGTTATTTTGTTGTTGTTGTTGATTCTTTCTTCGAAAACGTTGTTGAATAAAATCCTTACGCATATGAACTGGACGATTTGTCTAAAATTTTTTTGAAAATTTTAAATTTTTTAGAATAATTTATGTTCAAAAAATTATTTTTTAAAAGAGAAGAAGGGAATCCTATTGAAAATTTATTTAAAAATTGTTATGATGTAAGGTTGTCCAAGGAAGCCCCAAGAAAATTTTTTTCGAAGCAGACTGGAAGGGAAAAATTTCAAAATTTCCCTATTTCGGATTCGGAGTGACCCCTTAATAGACATAAATAAAAATTAAAAAAAAATACTCTGTGTAATCTAAAATAAAGTCCGCATGCATTACAAACTAAACTTCCAGTAGCATCACGACGCCAAGCTGTTGTTTTTGTTGTAAAACAATTATTACAACGAGATACTGATGTTGTTGTTGACGTTGAATTGGCACCATTTTCAAGCTAAAAAGTTGAATTAGCCATTTTTAAAGTTAAAGATAAGTTCTGACATTTAAAATCCCAAATTCAAAATAGATACCTTTTTAAATTTGGTTAATAAGGGTGGTGGGTAAGGTCTCCCCAAACGATAACCCTAATTGAAATTAAACCCATATCATAGTTCAGCTACAAGGAAAATCTAAAATATCCGGTCGACAGTTCCCGGAAAACAACCAGAACCGCTAAATGAACCTAAAATTTCAGGATACCCGGGACTTTTTCCTGTTCCAAATAATCAGAACCGCTAACCCTAGTTCGAGTGTATTAAAAATAAAAAAACCTGATTTTCAATCTGTGGAGACCCACTACTTGTATCAGCCAAAATATTATTACTATATTCACTATTTTCATTATCAGTTATTTCACTTTTTACTACAAGTCCTCCAAAATCTTCAATATTTCCTCCATTTCCAAAAAGTCCAGCCAACAAATTTGAAGTTTGAGGATTTTCTAAAGAACAATTTTCTTCAGTCTGTTGTTGAGGAGAACCTTCAACAACATTATTTTCTTCTTCCAAATTTTCAAAATTATTTTGTTGGTTTTCTTCAAAATTTTCGTCTTTAGTTTGAAAAAGTATTTGATATAAAGATGTCGGCGGTTGAAAGGGAGGAGGTTGGGGAGGAAGTGTTGTTGTTGTTATACTTGGAGATGAAGGATTGCTTTGAGGAATGTTTGTGGTGGTTGTTGTACTCATAGAAAGTAAATGGGCTAATAATTCGTCTGTTGTACTTTTTGAATTAAGTAAATCTGTTGATGAAATGTTTTGAAGGTGATCAGAAGAAGAAAATTGAAATGACTGAAAGAAATAAAAATTTTTTAAGGGGGAGAAAATTAAAAAAAAATTTTTTTTGGGCAATGTGACATCCCTCGTTCACTTCTCCTTATTATAGAATCAAGAAACCAATTTTAAAAAATTTTCTTAAAATTATTTTTAACATTTTTAGACCCAAAGCGAAGCAAAAACATGAAAAACAAAATTTTCAAAATTTGTGGTGTAGTGGGTTACAAACAGAAAAATAACGGATTCTCATGAGGGTTCGAACCCCAGTGGTTGTTAAAAGTTCAATATCCTTAATAAATTATTTTAAATAGTTTTCTATATTTTTTCGGAACTTAAGGATCTAAAAAAATATTTTTAACCCCAGAAAAATTAAATTAAAAAAATACATTAATTTGTTCCTCAGTAGTTGAAGGTTGTTGTGGCAATATTCCAATTAATTCTGCTGGTAATTGCATTGTTGTCATTCCTTTTTTAATTGTTGTTGTTGATTGTTTACGACTATTAACATCTCTTTTTCGTTTTCGACTTCCAATATTTAAATTTCCATTTATTTTTAAATTTCCCCCTCCACCTCCCTCTTCTCTTTCATCAATTATTGATTGTGGAGATGTTGAACGACTACTTGAATTAATTATTGCTTGATTCAAAGGATTACAATTTTCTGTTTGTTGTTGATTTGATTCTTTTGTTGATGAAACTTTTGGTTGTTGTTGTGAAGGTGGAAATGAAGAAGAATTTCCATTTTGTAAATTGTTTACTTCCAAAATGTTGGACAGACTGGAAAATAAATTTTAAAAATAAAAGGACTTAAGGGCTGTTCAAGTTGAACATTAAACTAGAGACCGGACCGAAACAAGCGTTTAAAAATTCCAGCTATCGAGATTCGAGAGTCCATACGGATTTTTTCGGATGGAGGGGAGGGGGGCAAGAAGGGAAATTTTGAGAATTTGGAGAACCATCCCAACTCCCCCCGGTTACGGCCCTGCTTATAAGATTCTCGTATACACTCCCAGTCCAGTCTCTAATTTAAAGTTCACAAAATATAGGACCAAAAAATTTTTAAAAAATTTTTATCGATTAAAATTCGCAAGTCACTTATCAATAAACATATAGTCCCAGAAAAATAAAATCAAAAATTAAGGGTACAAGTAATTTAAAGAAAATTATTTTAGTTAACCCCTTTCCATGCCTCTCTATTCTCTCCTATATTATCGATTTATTCAATAAACCCCCTCCCCCCCCCCCCAAAAAAAACATAACGAAAAAATTAAAAAAAATACCCATTGTTATTATCAGTCGTCGAATGAAACCCAACAACAACACCCACGATTTGTGCCAACTGCTCTGACAATCTATCCAATTTATTGTCTAATCTAGTCATTGATTGCCTCATTTCATTACAAAAAAGCTCACAATGTGGACAACAATTTTTACAATCATGTTTTGAATTGTTTAAATTTTCTTTTGAAGTTGTGGGTAACGAAGATGAAGATATTTCTGTTGGTTGATGATTTACCATATTTTTTGTTTGTTGTTTTTTGGTTTTAAATTAAATAAAAATGAAGTTTAAAAACATTTCTCTACTGAAAAAAAATTAAAAATTTTTTAAAAAATCAAAAAAAAATTTCAAAAAATTTTCAAAAATTTCAGAAAAATTTTTCAAAAAATTTTTCTGAAATTTTTTGAAAAATTAAAAAAAATTTTTTTCCCAGCTAATTAAAAACACCATGGAAAGGGCAAAAAAAATAAATAAATATACTTAGAAAATAAAAGTAATTTGATATTTAAAATCAGAAAAAGTAAGGGGAAAAATATCACAGCGGGGTTTTTTGAGGGAAGAAGTGCTTTTGTGGGTGCCTGTCAGTTTTTCCCCCTTATTTTCATCGATTGCTACAAATATTGGCTTATAAAAACAGTGATAATGCACAGATGTGGGAAGAGCATAAAAAAATAACCATCATCATCATCAGCAGATGATGACTTTCTTCAACAAAGGAAAATTTTTTTATTATCCGTAAGGCAAAGTCCCCCCAGTTTATGGGTATATTGCCGGACTGATGAAAATATGTGTGAGGGAGGGAGGGAAGGGGGGAGATATTGAGGAAGAAAAGAAGAAAAGCAGACTAGAAAGATAGAGAATGTTTAAAGATTTGGTAGAGATAAAAGGGCAAGCCAAAAATGACATATAGCCAAAAAAAGAAAAGGTAAAAAAAATTAGGCACGGAAATAAAATTATTAATCGCCAAAAAAAATTTTTTTTTTGAAATTTCAAGGTTGGTATGTATCAAAATGGAAAAAAATTTTTATCACCTAAAAAGGCGGAAAAGATGAATAAAAAATTAGCGGATAGCAAGAAGTGTGGTTATTGTTTGCTGTATGTACTATATAAACTTGTGACTGATAACAGAGAAAATTAAAAAAGAGAAATAGTGTGTGAAAATGAGAGACTGGAAGAAAAAGTTTCTTTTTTGAAATCTGGAAATAAAAAAAAATTAATTAAAAATTTTTTTGAAACTTTCGAAATCGAAGTGATAAAAAAGGAGGAAAGAAATCAAAGTTTTGCAGACATGTAAATGAGGGAAGGAAAGGAAAGGAAAAAGATAAATGAGAAGCCCAAGCAAGCGTAGAGAGAGAGTTTCAACGCTGCTGGGGTTGAACGAGCAACCAATATCAGTGGCGGACACAATGTGAATGGGGCGGAGAAGGGGGGATAGGAAGAATAAAAGATAGAAAAGTAGGGGGAGGCAACGGTGAGGGAGAAGAAAAAAAAGTAGCAAAAAGGGGATTGTGGGAATGAAAAAAAAAATTGAAAAAAGGAGGGAAAAATCGGAGGCGGCAGAGCGCCGCTGCAAGGGATGGCAGTATCAGGCGCTGTTTGTGCGCTGATGATGTTGATGAGGGAAAAAATGGGGGAGCGTCGTCGGACACCAAGTGGTGGTAGGAAGGGGGGAATGATAGTAGAAAGGAGAGAGGGAAATTGCTGTTTAGTCTATGCGAGGTTTTGAAAGGAGGGAAATCACTAAACAACAACAGAAATACTTGCGCGGCACAAAAACATTTTTATATATTGCTGGGTTGTTTGTGAGGGGAAGGGGGGGGGGGGGGGGGAGGGGGGAGATGAGGAAAGAAAGGACTAGGAGTGACTGACTGTCCAACTACCCCCCCCTCCAACAACAATCACCATCAACAACACTAACAACTAACTAATCTATCTAACTTTTTCTACGTTGACCAACAAGCCCCTTATGTTACAAAAACACTAAAAAACCTATTAGTAATTTCTTTTCCTGATAGAGGAAAAAATGAGGAAGGAAAAGAAAAAAGGACTCACAACTTTTAAAAAATCATCCTAAGTTGTTATTATTGTTGTTGTTTTCTATTTATCTCCTTTCTTCTCCTTAAAAAATTTTCATTCAAAAATTTAAATTTACAAAAGAAAGAGCAAAAATTAAAAATACCCCCCAAACTTTTTTTTTGAATTTGGAAGGAACAGACATTTTTAAAAAATAATAACAAAATACATAATCCATCAAAAAAAAAGTTTGAGGAGTATAAATTAATTAATTTTAAAAAAAGAGATTAAAAAGAGAGAGGGAGAGACTAATTTAAATTTAAAAGCGAAACAAAGAGAAAGGAAAGAAAAAATTCAAAATTTTTAACTGAGTAAAATAAATTTTAAAATTAAATTTTAAGAATTAAAATTTTTAAAATTAATAAGTTGCCTAATTATTGATTTAAAAAAATAGAAAAAATTAGCTGGCTAAAAAGAAAAGCTGATAACAAATAATAAACAAGTGTTTGTGTTGTGTCCATAGACATTCTTTTATTGTGAAAATTAGAAAAAATATTTTTAAAAATTATTTTTTGTATTTTGATTATGAGGGTGAAATTGATCGGCTATAACTTTTTTACGCTTAATCTAATCCGGCTTTCGAAGGCTTTCGAAAGCCGGCTTTTTATAGCTTTCAAAAGCCCTCTATAAGCCTATCTATTTCCCACTGAATGGATCAAAGTCTGATGATCGCAAGTCTGATCTAATTTTCTAAAAATTTTTAAAAATTTTTATTTTCCATCTTTTGATAAAAAAAGGAAAATAAATTTCCTTCTATTAAAATGCTGATTAAAAATGGGTCACTGGATTAAAATAAAATAGATCGAAACTGAGTGTTAATTGTGAGGGAAAAGCAGTGTAAGAATGATTGTTTTTTTGATTAAATTTATAAAACTAGAAAAACAAGTTCGAGGGACTTCTTAGAGAAGAAAGGAATGTTTTTAAGATATGATTAATTAAAAACTAGAGGATATGTTGGAAAAATAGACAACAAAAAAATTTTTTTAATTAAACAAAATTAGTGATAAATTAATTTTATTCTTTCCCCCTCCCTTTTACAGTAACTAACCAGAAAATAATCAAAAAAGGGAAGGAATATCAACAACTAACAACTAACAACTTTTACTCCAATCAAATACAAATATTCAACTGATTTCTACTGTTTTGCGAGAAGAGAATATAATAAATGTTTTTGGGGGGAGTGACCAAATAAAGATATATTCTTGTGCGCAAAGTTGGGAGAAACGAGAGAGAGAGAATGAAAAAAAGAAGGAAAAATTCAAGAGAGAGATTGAAGGAGAGAGAAAAGATTTTCGAGAAACTAGCAACTCCTAACAACAACCCCTTCTCCCCTCTCCTCCTCACCCTCAGCTCCCCCTCTGCCTCCTCCTTTACCAAAATCGGAATAAAATGAAAAATAAAAATGTTAAATTGCTTGCCTCAATCTCCTCCCTCCTTAAATATCCCTCCTTCAAAATATATATCCACGTCGAGAAGGAAAGAAAAAGTTTTTTCTTTCCTCCATTTTTCTTTTGAGGTTTTTTCAAAGAAAGAAAGGAGGTCACTCATTCAAAAAAGAAAGAAAGATTTTTCAAAACAAAATTGTTAAAAATGTTGAGGTCTTTCCCCCTCCTCTCAATTTCGCTCTCAAGTCTTTCCCTCCCTTCCATTTTTGGTCAATCAGCTACCAACTAAATTCTTTGTCCGACCGCGATAAATACAGACAAAAAATTTTTTTAATTGCACAAATTGCTGTCAAAAAAGAGGCCCAAGACAGACACCTTTTTTTACAAAATTACAATCTTTTCTCAAAGCTATTAATATTTTTCTTGGTTTTTATTAACAATAGCACCTAGGCGCGCAAAATGAGAGAGAGAGAGAAAAGGAGAAAGAAATGCTGAGTAATGATTTGTGTGTGTATTGTGTCAATTGGAAAATTAAAAAGTTTTTTTTTAAAAATCTAAGTTTGATTATAAGAAACAAAATTAAAATTAACACAATAAAAGACAGATTGACAATTTTCGAATAGTTATTGAATCTAAAAAGCTGGAAGATTACAAACCAAGACTTTAATTGGTCCCCCTCCCAATAATTAAAATTTTGTTGACGACTGGATAGGTGAGAGGTGTGATAGTGATAGTGATACGTGTGATAGTGATACCACTAATTAAAGGTTAGGTTTGATGGTTTGAAAACTCTTAAATACCCCAAAAGTGAGGCACTTGTTCACTTAAGATATCTTTTTTAACCTATGATGATAACTAGGTAAGGCGATAAGGTGGAAAACTCTAATCGGATATCTCTAGGTAATCCCTCTAATTTAAGGTTAGGTATAAGTAAGAAGAGCTAACATCCAAATTCCCCGACCAAAGTTGATTGAAATAATCAAGTCAAGAGTCAACCAAAACCGCTCAATCCCTCCTTCTTTATAACCCCTTTTGCATAAATTTTCTAGTTATAGTACTTTTTAAAAATCAGATCACGCAATAAATTTTAAGGAATAAGAGAGAGTTTAAATCCAACAGATTAAAGAAGGAATCCCAAGGATTTTCAAAATAGTTATTGAATTCAAATTAAAAGTAAGGAGAGAAAGAGTGTTTTGTGCTTATATGTCGACCTAAAAATAACCAATAAATAAACGATAAAATTGCTGATTGAGGGGGTGAATGAGGAAGGAAACTCTGCGCGTGTTTTTGTTGTGTTTGTTGGAAAGAGGCAAAGATGAGGGAAAAATATATTTAAGGGATAGAAGGTCACGCTGGCACCAATCAGCACGGCGACCTGATGGAGGGAAGGAGAAGCTTTTGTGGTGTGAAGAAGGGAATATTTTTATAGATATGTGAAGAACAATTATCATCATAATTCTCTTTTTTTTGAGGTGAATAAAAGTCTGAGACTGATGAGGAAAAAATAAAGTGCATAGATTTTTAAAGAATATTATTATAAAAAAAATTGTCTTAGAAAAGAGAAAATTGGATGATAATTTTTAAAAATAATTTTAATATGTGGTTTGGATCAAGAATGCCACAGGAAAAGAAAAAAGTCGGGTCGGATTTACAAATTTCTTCGGATTGGGATTTCGGATAGAAAAAAGATAGAGTTTCGGATTTCGGGTATGATAATTTGGATAACCTTTGAGATCCCTAGTTTAAATGATAGAAGAATAAGACTGAGAGAAGATTGATTATACATATATCGGGATTGGGGTGACAAAAATAATTTCTTGCGTGTTTACGTTTGTTCTAAAACATAAAAACTCACAATATACTATCCAAGACCCAGTGGCCGTGGATCCCGAAATCAGTAGGGTAATTGTATCCCGATATGTCCGCGTGCAGAATAAGCAACCACACCACGAAAAATTGTCATTTTTGGTGTAGTGGGAAAATGTTAGATTTGAAGAGCAAATGGGCACAGGTTCGAATCCCTTGCATAGAAAATAATTTTATTTGAATGAATAAATAGAAATATTTGTTGTTTTGGTTGTTTTTAACTCGCTAACAAAGGGAGAAATGATCAAAAATCAAACTAAAAAATTTAGAAAATTTTTACAAAGAATAGAATTATTTTACTTCTTCCAATATCAAAGTAAATTAACATATAAAATTCAAAAATGCAAAGAATGATAATCAAAAAATCTTTTTTTTGAATATATTTTTAGAAGGAGTGTGTGGCGCAAAAGCCTTTATTAAGAAAAGTGCAAAAGAGATCCGTTCAACTGATAAAAAATAAAAAAGACAAAGCAGAGAAATACTCGAAATTTTTGTTGTTCTTTTACCGGGGGTTTATCAAAGAAATGCAATCAGTCCTTATATATTTTTATTTTTAACAAACAAAAAGCTTGTTAAAAAGAATTCTTATTTTATTTTTTAATCAATTAACAAATCAGCTTTTAAATGAAAGGAATTGATGAAAAATAAAGATAAAAATAAAGACAAGTCTTGTTTAAAAGATATTTTGAAAGAGGAAAGATGTGTTGTTTAAAAACACAGATTAAAAACGTGGAAGTAAAATTAATTTTATAAAGGTCTTATCAAGAAAGAAAAAAAGTAAAGATAAAAATGTTAATGAAAAATAAAGCCAACAAGACAGAACTCACTCGGAAATACAGCAATTTTTAAATTTTAACTAACAATAAGTTGGGGGTAGAAACTAAACTAGAGAAATAGACTGAAAGGAGGTCATAGTACAAGAATCTCGAAGAATATCGATCTCGATAACCACAAAAATTTTTTTGAGATCCCGTTCCGGTCACTAAACTAAAAACCGGCAATATCCCCAATAAGCCTTTCAAATTAATTTTTCCGACCTCAAAATGAAAATTTTTCCATAACCGAGGTCTGACTGTAATCTTGAACTTTATTAAAAAACATTAAACTCACGAAAAAAACGCCTAGCCCAGAAATGTTTGTCAAAATGTAATAGAAATATTGCACAAAAATCATTTAAGCACTAGATTAATTTTTGGAGATATTAAAAAAACCTTTTAAAATTAATAAAAAAAATAAAATTAAAAGTTAATCCCTTTTTAGGGTATGAATATAAACAAAAAATTAAAAAGTTTCCGAAAAATTTTTAACTTTTATTTAAAAAAATACCAAACAAAAAATATTTAAAAAAATAAACATATTAAATAATTCAATCATTAAATTCTCAACAATTAAATTATCGTCCATCTCTTCTAAACTATCCACCAAAGTTTGACGAACCTTTGAATAAAGTTTCATACAACAATCAAAAGCTAAAGGAATTTAACCGAAATTTGAAATTCGGTTAAAACAATCTAAAAAGAAAAGGAAAATTCTTTGTAATTTCGGAATTTACAAAAAATTCCAAATATTCTTAAATTAAAAAATACAAGAATTTTTACTTTTCAAATACTCTTAAAGGCAATCCGGGAGAAGTAAACCTATGGGAGCCCCAACAGTCGGCGACTTATGTAATAAATTTGTTAAAACATGTCCAATCACGTTAATTTTGGTGTCATTCGATGCTGATCGATGAGTTCTATATTCTTTTGAAAGACTAGCATTTTATACAATGGCCGAAAAAGTCCGTGGTCAAATGACCAAACCCAGGTTCGAGATTCGACATTTTAAATTATCAGCTCAGATTCGTAATAAGCATAATTTAACCCTAGAAAAATCCTTTTCCTTATCTTTTTTTTCGCGGGGACCCCAAATTGTCCTGGACTGCCCTCTTAAAAATTCCAAAAATTTTCTTTAAATTTTTTAAACTTCAAAAAAATTTTTCTTAAAATTTTTACCTTACCTTTGTCTACATAAAAATTAATACGATTGACTGACCATTCAACTGACACGTGGAGGATTTTGCCAATGCAAAGGAAGCAGGCATATCCACCGCCGTAAAAATAGGAATAGTATTATGTTACTGACTTGGATCCCAGATACCGTTGACTACCCGCGTGGCGTGTGCCGCAAAATCCCGAGCGAAGCGCGGTTTTTCAAATCCGCGCGCCGAAGCACATAAGTATTGAAAATAAAAAACTTTTTAGAAAAATGAAAGTTAAAAAAGAAAAAAATTAGCTAAAGATAACAACGAATATTAAAAATAAAAAGTATTATCGATGTTAAATTAGAAGAATTCTAAAAATTAATGAGAAAAAATTAGTAAATGAGAAAAAATTGAAAATAAAACTATTTTTTAAAAAAATAAAAGTTAAAGAAAAAAGTTAGCTGAAGATGACAAAAAACACTTAAAATAATTTGACGAATATGTTTATTCCATGTTTTCATTATTTTTTCATCTATTCGATTTTTATGAATTTTTCCAATTGAACTTTGCTAAAAGATTTTATTGCTAAAAATAAAAATTAAAATCTGCAATCAAAATCTTTTAGCAAAGTTAAATTGGAATAATTCACAAAAATCAAATAGATGAAAAAATAATGAAAACATGAAATAAACATACTCGACAAATTTCTTTAAAAATGAAAAATGAAAAGATAAAAAATTCAGCTAAAAATGAAAATTAAAATCTGCAATCAAAATCTTTTATCAAAGTTAAATTGGAAAAATTCAAAAAAATCAAATAGATGAAAAAATAATGAAAACATGGAATAAACATACTCGACAAATTTCTTTAAAAGTGAAAAATACGAAGATAAAAAATTCAGCTAAAAATAAAAATTAAAATCTGCAATCAAAATCTTTTATCAAAGTTAAATTGGAATAATTCAAAAAAATCAAATAGATGAAAAAATAATGAAAACATGGAATAAACATACTCGACAAATTTCTTTAAAAGTGAAAAATACGAAGATAAAAAATTCAGCTAAAAATAAAAATTAAAATCTGCAATCAAAATCTTTTAGCAAAGTTAAATTGGAATAATTCACAAAAATCAAATAGATGAAAAAATAATGAAAACATGGAATAAACATACTCGACAAATTTCTTTAAAAGTGAAAAATACGAAGATAAAAAATTCAGCTAAAAATAAAAATTAAAATCTGCAATCAAAATCTTTTAGCAAGGTTAAATTGGAATAATTCACAAAAATCAAATAGATGAAAAAATAATGAAAACATGAAATAAACATACTCGACAAATCTCTTTAAAAATGAAAAATGAAAAGATAAAAAATTCAGCTAAAAATGAAAATTAAAATCTGCAATCAAAATCTTTTATCAAAGTTAAATTGGAAAAATTCAAAAAAATCAAATAGATGAAAAAATAATGAAAACATGGAATAAACATACTCGACAAATTTCTTTAAAAGTGAAAAATACGAAGATAAAAAATTCAGCTAAAAATAAAAATTAAAATCTGCAATCAAAATCTTTTAGCAAAGTTAAATTGGAATAATTCAAAAAAATCAAATAGATGAAAAAATAATGAAAACATGGAATAAACATACTCGACAAATTTCTTTAAAAGTGAAAAATACGAAGATAAAAAATTCAGCTAAAAATAAAAATTAAAATCTGCAATCAAAATCTTTTAGCAAAGTTAAATTGGAATAATTCACAAAAATCAAATAGATGAAAAAATAATGAAAACATAGAATAAACATACTCGACAAATTTA